ATAAGACCCGATGACGAGTAAAACTACACAATTCTAGTCCCCTACAAGGTGAATCTCAACACAAATTCCCACTTGTGGCCCAGTCAGCGCGGCAGCCAGCCCGCGGTGCGAGAGCCGAGCCATGAGGCGCAAAACAAGTGCGCACAAAGCCTCGTCAAATAGGCCCAACTCCGCGCAATCACAGCAAACAACGAATCAACCCTTCGAAAGAGTTGGGGCGGACGATAAACACCAAGTTTTTGACCGGCCCCCAGCGCTCGTTATATGACTGGTCTGAACTATCTGTGTCCTCTTGACAGTCCCCCAAGCCATTTCCATCTCAGGTCAGGAACAGCAGCATGTTCAACACTGACGTGATTGTCCAATCTGCTGCCATGCAGATTACACTGTAGAAGATGGATCCAAGTATGGATACGGCAACAAGGACACAAGATGAGGACGCAATTGGTCCCGTGCCCGACCCCGAGTTGGGCCTTCCAGTTGGGGAGAACAGCAGTCGAGTCCATGCAGAGGACGCAGCTGCTGCTTCTCCAAAGCCAGCGGGCGGCCTTGGCAGGAGAAAGTCGAAGGGGAAGGGGAAGGCGTCAGCTAGCACAACTGCTGCTGCGGCGAAAAGCAAGAAGGAGGCTAAGAAAGCGGCCCTGCGAAACGACATTGACTTCGTGAGTTGCAAACTGGTCTTGAGCTCCTGACCGATTATGAAAGTTCTATGGTCTTTTCCCAAAAGGGTGCGGCAGCTCTTCTGTGCAGGGACGTCCAGCTAATACGTGAAGCTTCTTTGGATGAACGGAAGCAGTACGGTTCTGGATGCTGGTCCAAGGGATCAATTCTCAGTTTGAAAGCCGGTTTCTTTGCAGATTGAGCACACATGGCCTGAAGATCAGCTGTACACTCATTACGGAACCAGCCCTGAGAAGGTGAGCAGCTTGACCGGATGAGACTAGACAAGCCTTCTATCAACCTAAGGTTTGAAAGCATCAAGACGGGACGCTTAAACTGCCCTGGACGTTCCTGTTGCCTCAATTTGGCCGTCCTATGCCGTCCAAATTAGGCAACTTCTACCCTCTGCGCTCCCCCCCCCTGCCACTTTTACGCAAAAGGTAAGGTCGCGCGGATCCCTGGGCTTTTACTTCTTTTCAGCTGCTTGCTGCAGAGCGCTTCTTTGTTGTCTGACAAGCACACTCTTTATTCATGTCCAGGGCCTGCCATCAGCGCAAGTGCTAGTAAACCGGGAGAAGTACGGCAGGAACATGCTGACGCCCCCCAAGACGAAGCCCGCGTGGGTCAAGTACTTGGAGCAGTACAAAAACTTCTTCGCCGTCCTGCTGATTGTGGCATCCACCCTGTGCTTCATCGCCTTCGGGGTCGACTCCAGCCATGACAAGACCAATGTAAGCCTTCTGTCTGACGAGGAATCTGAAAGGCGGGCTGATTCAAGCTTGGAGTGGCTCTTGGCAATGCTCGCGCATGGATTAACAAGATAGAAGGGGGTGCTGTTCTAGCAGACTTGGTAGAATTCCGGTTGCTGCTTTTGGGATCGATCGTGACCACTTTCTGATTGCGTTCAACGAACTGTCTGCAGCTGTATCTTGGCATCGTCCTTCTCCTAGTGGTGGTCATCACAGCCAGCTTCTCGTACCTACAAGAGTCAAAGTCGGAGGCTGTCATGGAAGGTAAGCTTCTGACATAATGGCAGACCTGAAAGGGTACAAGGATCTGGCTGGAATTGAGTTTTGCTCTCCCTTCTTGGTCACCGTTCCTCCTGGTGAGCGGAAGCTACTGAAAGCCTTTTCAAATTTGAAATGTATGTTGCAGTTGCCTTCGTCAAGACCTTCCATTTTGTTCCGGTCTCAACAGTATCTGTTTTTCATCAGGGCCTTCAGTATCTAAGTCGGTTTGCCAGCCAGTCTATGGCCACGGGAAGCTATAAGCGATTCCTTGTTTGGTTTTGCAGGCTTCAAGAAGCTCATCCCCGCTCGCTGCCACGTCATCCGCGATGGTCTCGAGGTTGTGATCGACGCTGTGGAGCTGGTACCTGGAGACGTAGTGAATCTCAATGACGGAGATCGGGTGCCAGCTGACATTCGCATTATCAGGGCCAATGAGCTCAAGGTGAGGCAGTGCCGTGGACGCACAAACTCAGGTCTTTCCATTTCTTACGGAGGAGCAAAGTCGCCTGTCACGTTGCTTTCAAAGCTTTGACATTACTGCGTTATGGCAGCGAGCTTCCCTGACGGCTTTTTAACCCGTAGCAGAAACTTGGAAGTCTCTGGAAGAAGACGCTCGTGAAGTCCGTCAAGCTTGCGGGCAGCGAAAAGTCTCTCATACACAACTGGACTCAAGTTCCCAACAGACTCGGGTCTTGTAACAGATGCCTTCCTTGTGCCGGACAAATCAAAACGAGCCCCTTTTCGCATCTTCAGGTGGACAACTCCTCCCTCACCGGAGAGTCCGAGGCGGTGGAGCGCACCCCCGAGCTGGCGCGCGACCGCTCGGGGAACCTCATCACGCAGCCCCTGGAGGCCTCCAACCTGTGCTTCTACACCACGATCGTGCAATCCGGGTCCGGTCGGGGGATCGTCATCGGGTCGGGGGACCGCACCGTAATGGGCCAAATCGCCGGGCTTGCGACCGAGACCAACAACGCCAAGTCGCCGATTGCGGTGGAGATTGAGAAGTTCGTGCAGCTGATTGCGTACCTGGCCATCGGCATGGGCGTTCTGTTCTTCATCCTCAGCCTGGTCATCGGGAACGGGGTGATCTACACGGTGGTGTTCGCCATCGGTGTGATCGTGGCCAACGTGCCCGAGGGGCTCATGCCGGCAGTGACGGTAAGCACTTCGTGCCACATCTAGTTGCAGGCAGCTTCTATCAAAATGAGGTCTAAGAGTTGGCGTCTTTCCATGTAATGTTTTGGGAGTCCCTTGGGTCATCGGAGGGACACTTCTTGGGATTTTGTATCCATTTTTCAGCCAAAAGCAAGGACCAAAGATTTCTGATGTCCAGCTCTCTGATGTAGAGTGAAGCAATTGTCTGTAAAAGCCTGAAGAGACCGTTAATCGACGTTTCTCAGCTGTAATTCTGTGGGTTTGAAATTTGGTCCTTGACGCAAATTTGATGCAGGTGTCGATGGCGCTGGCCGCCAAGCGGATGCACGCCAAGAATGTGCTCGTGAAGAACCTGCAGTCGGTCGAGACGCTCGGGTCGACCACCGTCATTGCGTCGGATAAAACCGGCACGCTCACGCAGAACCGCATGACCGTTCGTGAGTGCACAGCTACTTGGTTGGGCAGCCCTCCAACAACATTGATGCACGCAAGTGAATCTGGTCTTTTAGCCCTGGCTATATCCGTGATCACTACTCTAGGAGGTTGCGATCTGCTTCGACATTGCCGCTATTTTATATTTTACTCTTCTTTTCAGAGCCTATTGGCTTGACGGCCCGCTTGTCAACTGTTCCCAAGATTCATTGTCTGTTTGTGACGTCTACCAGCCGTTATCGTCCTCCCATACGAGCGCGGCTTGTGCTCACTTTCAGGCCGACAGCAGCCTGAGCCGTCTCTCTTTCCCCGCAGAGCACTGCTGGTACGACAACCAGATCTTCGACACGCCCGCCCCCAAGAACAAGACCGAGTGGAGCGCCCTCTTCGCCAGCCACAACAAGACTCGCAAGGCCTCGTGCTACGACCCGTCCTCTCCAACATTCGCAAAACTTCAGATGGTCGCGTCTCTGTGCAACAACGCGAGCTTCCTGACGTCAACTTCGTCGGGAGTGATCGACCTGGACCATGACATGCTCAAGCCCGACTTCAACCTGCTGGCGCTCGACTGCTCGGGGGATGCCTCCGAGCAGGGGCTGACCAAGTTCGTGGAGCCCATCCGCGCGACGCGCGACTACCGGGACAAGAACCCCAAGCTCTTCGAAATCAAGTTCAACTCCACCAACAAGTGGCAGGTGTCCATCCACAAGCAGGTGCGCGGAGCTTGTAAAACCCAGCCGACAGGTTCTTCTCCAAAACATGTTTGTTGTGTTCGATCGAACTACTAGAGTAGGAAAGCGTTCTTCGTTCAGCAGATACTAAATAAATCCAGGGCTTCAGTCGCGCGTCCCTTTTCGCTGCACTGCTTCTGTTCTTTGCGGTAAGCTGTACGCAGCATCAGAGCTTCAGGAAGATCCGTGCAATGATATGTGGCAGGGAGACAGCGTCCGATCTCTTTCAGCAGCCAGTAACCAAACCAGTGTTTCTGGCAGCTGTAGAGAGCTCAGAATTCTGGTCAACCTGATACCTCTCTTACGGAATATCTTAAGCCCGTGTATTTCTGGTTCTACTGCAGAGCCAATCACGGCAGTTTTTTACTTTGCACCAGTTCTGACAAACTCCTTCGACATCCCCTGCAGGAGGCCGGCGGCTCCCCGCTGGTGTTGGTGATGAAGGGCGCCCCCGAGCGCGTCCTCCAGCGCTGCTCCAAGATCATGATGAACGGCGTCGCGCACGACCTAACCGACGAAACGCGCGAGCAGTACCAGACCGCGTACGAGCAGATGGGCGGGTTTGGCGAGCGCGTTCTGGGCTTCGCTTACCGCGAGATGGAGGAGGACGAGACTTACCCGTTCAGCAACAAGCCGGAGCCGAATTTCGAGACCGATGGCCTGACTTTCGTGGGGCTGATCTCGCTGATCGACCCGCCCCGGGATGGGGTTCCCGAGGCGGTGGCCAAGTGCAAGCGCGCGCGCATCAAGGTGTTCATGGTGACCGGGGATCACCCCATCACGGCCCGGGCGATCGCTTTGCAGGTCGGTGATCCCCCGAGTCACCTCTGTGATCAACAATCCAGAGGAGCGTTCATCTCGTGCTAGTAGAACTTTTGCACCTTATGTTGGGTGACTTTGCCTAACTCCCGAGCGATCTCTTCTGACATGGCCTTTAAAGAGTGATACTCACTCAGCAAGTTGTTTCTACGCGTCTCTTTTTCACTTACGTAACCTCACTCAGCGAGTCAAATAAGCTGAAATATGCGATAGCCTGAATCTTACACTGCTTATTTTGGTATTTTTCAGGTGGGCATCTTGGACCAGGAGAAACTGGACTCTGGGCGCGCGGCGGTGATCAGCGGCGACGACATCCGGGGGTGGCTGGAAATGACTGACAAGTTGCAGGCGCAGCGCAAGTGGGACGAAGCGCTCGACCACGACCAGCTTGTCTGGGCGCGCGTGTCGCCCGCGCACAAGCTGCTCATCGTCGAAAACTGCCAGGTGAGGGGTTGACAGAGCATTCGTTCAAATCTAGGAGCTTTCTGGAAAGATTGGGCATGCTCAGATCAAGTTTTAAGACAGGACAGAAAATAGTATGCTGACCGCTTTACATCTGGGAACTTCCAACGGCGACCAAAATATGACACAGCCCGTCAAAATCAAGTCGATGTTTGGACATGCCACTTCAAGGTTCAGTGTCGGTTGCTAGAAGTGGTCCAGAGTCGGTGAGCGACTGCTTCTTTCACAGAGCAGTGTTCGTCCAGCCCTAAGTTTGCGAACAGCCAATCACCTGAGCATTTTCAACGTCTCCTTCGCAGCGACGTGGCGAGATCGTGGCGGTGACAGGCGACGGTGTGAACGACGCGCCAGCGCTGAAGAAGGGTGACGTCGGCATCGCCATGGGCATCTCTGGGAAGGACGTCAGCAAGGAGGCCGCCGACATGATCCTCATGGACGATAACTTCGCGTCGATCGTAAACGGCGTGGAGGAGGGGCGGCTCATCTTCGACAACCTGAAGAAGACCATCTGCTACGCGCTCGCGGTCAACATCCCGGAGCTCATTCCGTTCCTGCTCTACGTGCTGATCCAGATTCCGCTCCCGCTGTCGACGGTGATCATGCTGCTCATCTGCCTCGGAACGGACATGGTCCCCGCAATCTCGCTCGCGTACGAGGAGAAGGAGAGTGACATTATGGACCGGCCGCCCAGGAACGCCAAGACGGAGAGGCTCGTCGGCTGGAAGCTCATCTCACACGCGTACCCGCAAATCGGTATCTATCAGGTGGGCGAGGACGAAGCTTAGGCTATGCGGCCAGGCTTTCGAAGGCTGAGGGGCAATGGATCTGTTCTGCTGGCATCAATGATCCTAAACGCGGAAAGATTCGGTCTTTTCCCAAATGCAAAGACGCCTCTTCTTGGCTTCTACTTCTGCCCAATGCTCACCATTACTCTCTGACCCTCAGGGCTAGTTTTTCCGATAGCTGAAAGGCTTGCCGAGAAGAGCGACCGTTTCCTCACTCAGACATGATGCTAATTGTAGACTTTTCAAACTTCTAAGATAGCCGGAAGCTATCTTATTCCGTCGTTGATTCAGTCCTTTTCAAAGCCGAATTTCAGGCCTTCTCCGAAATACCGAGAAACGTTTGGAGACGGAAGTCAGCTGACGCTTCCCCTTGCGCGCGCGCAGTGCTTCGCCGGCTTCCTGGCGTACCTGGTGGTCCTCAACGACTACGGCTACCCGCCACGTGTCCTCTTCCAGCGCGGCCTCAACTGGAGCACCAACGCGCTCATGTGCACAGTGGATGCCAACAACGTGCCCATCGAGTGCGGCTACGGATGCAACAACCCCGACTATGCTGCGGTGAGAGACTGATTCTTTGCCCGAGTATCTAAAGTCACTTGTCGCACTGGGCACTCGTAAATAGTGCATCAGATAGCTTTATTGTCAACTTTCTAGGTTCCGGAGTACCATTCGTCAGGGACCGAGCAGATCTTGCAGACTCCGAAAATGAAGCCGTCTTCAATCGACTGCACTTGTTTTCTGCTTGGAAGCCTGCAACTGGCGACAGCTGCTCACCAACCGTGCTCGATTTTCAGCCACAACTGGTTTCCTGATGCGAAGTATTCCGCTTTCTCCTCGCAGGGCCTCGCCTCCGCGCTGGACTATTGCAAGGACGGGTGCACCATCCCCATGCAAGCCCACGTCGGCAACTTCAGCGACCCCGTGGACCCCTTCAGCGAGTTCAACTACGGCGGCTACAAGGGCCCGGCGCACTGCAGCCTCACCTGCAACTCCTCGCCGTCGCTCTTCCCTGGGGGGGTCCTGCCCGCGCAGTGCGCCGACCCCCTGCTGGCGGCCAGGATTGGGTAAGGGTGTGAAATGCCTTTTAAGCCTTAAATCCATCCTATGCACTGAGTCAAAGTTCAACGGACCGTTTCGAGATAGTGGGGAAACACATCATTTCTTTCAGAGTGATGGAGGCAAAGTGCTGAAGAGCATTATTTTTGTTACCTGTCTGGAGAGCAAGACTACCCACCACGAGAAGAGCTGAGACGCTTATGCTTTTTTCTTCCTTGAGCCGGTAACTCTCGTGCGACCATTCTAAAAGCTTCTAAACGGGACGTGTTATGGGATGCACCCTCATAAATCACCCTCTGCGATCCCCAACTGCTTCAAGTTTGCCTTCGTCAATGAAAGATTCGAGATCGTTGTTGAACTGCCCGGGTCACCAAAATACCACCGATCCCAACCACGCTGTGTCTCAACCACGTGAACTTTTTCCTGCCGCAGGTTCCCCAACCGCGGCGACTCCGGCTCCCCGCAGGCCCCGGTGGGCGCGTTCTACTGGTGGGGCGGCCGGCAGCAGCTGTGGCCCAACGTGGAGTACGCGAAGCAGGCGCTCATGTACGCGCAGACGGCCTACTTCGTGGCGGTGCTGCTGACGCAGTGGACCAACCTGCTCATCTGCAAGACGCGCAAGCTCAGCATCTTCGAGCAGGTGCGTACGGGATGAGCGCTCGCTTTTTGGCATGGTTCGTGCGCTACAGCTGTCCGCTCCAGGCGTGGTTAGAGAGTGCCTGGGTTGATGGCGGCTTCTAAGGGTAGCTGCCTCTGAAGTTCATCTACCGCGGCGAAAACGTTTTGCTTTGTGCAATAAGAGGCGCCATTCCGTCTCGTTAGCCCCGGCTGAGGCCGTCGCTCCTTCTCCCAAGTTTTTTGGGTGCCCTCGTTCCGTGCGGTCTTCGACCAGCACCAGCTTTTCGCGGCGCCTCCTCTCGTCAAGGCTTTTGGCCACATTCTTTTGCAGAAATTAGCTTCGCATTATAAAGGTTCTATTCGTTCGATTCTCACAGTACCCAACTCTTCCCGCAGGGCATGAACAACGGCGTGCTCAACTTTGGCCTGGTCTTCGAAACTGTTGTGGCCATCATCGTGGCGTACGTGCCGGGCGTCCAGGACGTGTTCGGCACGCGGCCGCTCTGGGTGCTGCACTGGTTCATCGGGTTGCCCTTCGCGATTGTATTCCTCTTCTACGGCGAGATCCGGAAGTACCTCCTGCGCAAGAACCCCGGTGAGCGGCGGGTCGTTTGTGCTCATTTTGCGTGTGGTATTTTATGCAGCGCGACGGAGACTGTGCTCAGCATTCCCGACTGCCCAGAACCCCGTCCTGAATCCTCCTGGAGAAGGCCGAAAAACCGCTTTTCACAGATGTGCATCTTCAAGGCGTGCATTTTCAAGGAGGTCCCGACCAATCGGTGTGGTTGGGTGCTTTCTGTTGCTCGCTAGTGAAAGACTTCTTCAAACAAGTTCTGAAACTTCCTTCTGTGTGCTTGTAGGGGGATGGGTCGATCGCTTTACCTACTGGTAGACGTCCTTCTGGCACTGAGTACCGCAAGGCGGGTTGCATACATTCATGCTTCTTTAGGTCCGCGTATAGTGGTTCGGTAGGAGCCTTTTAAGCCGACATTTACCGGTCAGACTCTCGGAGCTTCTGAGCAGTCTCGAGACGAGAGCTGTTCATGATCGCATCAAGTGGATCATAAGAGCTAGTGCTGCAGCAGATCCATCTTACAAGCAGTGCAAGTGGGGCAAAGTTGAGCACCACAAGCTTGATGTTGCTGCATTCATGAGCACGTGAATCTTTTCGCATGACGATTTTGCCAGTCACGCAGATTCAATTTCCGAGTTCGGTGGATCATGGTCAGAACATGCGAGTCAGCAATGCTTATTCTAGCCGCGCCGGGGCCTCCAGTAACAGAGGACACAGTATTTTCCTGAAGTGACAGGGATCCATTCACAGGATGTTGTTTATAACATGGCTTTTTAAGCAGAACAAGAATGAACCCTTTTGCATGTGCACTTAGTCCAGCACTCAGTCGCTTGTGTAACCACTATCATGACCCTCAGGAATGCACGTATCAATGCATGTGCAAGTGCCCATGAAAGGACATAAGACCCGGAGCGAGTTCAAACTTATGAGCAAGTTCTTGCCTAAGTACACTCTATATCGAATGAACTCAAGGGAGGCAGTTCCCGGCAAGCTGCGGACTCGATGGGATATTCAATCCACCTGATGAAGGAAATCTCAGCAAAACTGGGTTTTGCAGGGGTCAAGACTCCTATACTTCAAAGCTTCGGACTGTCGCAGCTAGGCGCGCAATCGTAAGGTTGTTGAAAAGGAGATTCTACCCTCAAATAAGATGCCGTGGCTTTCTGTGTAGAACTTGACAATGCGTCATATCTGCGCCAAGTTCTATGTAGGTATTGATGTCATGGTAAGAAGATACGGCTATGGTAGCGCTGGCGGCATCCTGCAGACTGTCAAGATTCTTTCGGCCGGCATGAGTCTACGAGGACGAAAAAGTATGCTTGAGTTGAAACCGTCGATATCATTGGCAACGCACGATCGAAGGCGTGGAACGAGCCTCGACTCCCACGTGGTCATGCTTGGGATTCTCCATGGCGAATGTCAACATCATGCAGTCGAAAGCCTGCTGCCCAATGTATCATTATGACCTCACATGTGCCTTTTCCTCCCGATGTTGTTATTTACAATTCGACCACTTTCAGGAGCTCAGGGCTGAAAGCGCAAAAGAAAGCTTGCTTCTTTCGTTTGCAGAAACAATATGCAAGGAAACTGTAACTCGTTTCTGAGCCTGTTCACCTCAGATGAGCATTTGGTCCACCGCTCACATGATCAGATTTCAACTCTGTGCTAGATGGATCCCAAGCAGATTGTGACGACACTAAGCAAGACACCAAGCGAAGTTCACAAGGAGGCTGGCTTTATTGCCTGCATGTGCCCTGAGAGAACCACTGCGTCGGATAGGGCACTGCAGAGCTGGCGGCGTTGAATCAAATTGGCAGAATGCAGCGGGGCGGCATCAGGCTATGCCTGCTCCTCATCACCGTCATTGCAGCTTCTTTCATACTAGAGCTGCCAAAGCAGCTTGCCATCTTTTCCAGCAAACATGGTTGCGCAGATCTGCTCAACAGCTCAATCACGCCCCTTCCAGGGGAATACGAGCCACAATGCAATGAGACAGTAGAGAAGGTTGTAGAGAGAGTTGTGGAGGTGCCTGTTATTAGAATAGTGGAGAAAGAGGTGGAAAAGGTGGTTGAGAAAGAGGTGGAAAAGATAGTTGAAAAGGAGGTTGAAAAGATAGTTGAAAAGATAGTTGAGAAGGAGGTTGAAAAGATAGTTGAGAAGGAGGTGGAGAAGATAGTGGAGAAAGTGGTCTACAGCAACCCGCCGGTGAAGGTTTTTGTCTATGACTTGCCGAGCAAGTTTCACCAGGACTTCTACTCGCATCCGGATGCCACAGTAGGTAAATCCTTCCAGTAGATATCAGCATTCCCTTCTCGAGAGAGGTGTTTGACTGCATTGTCAGCCCAGCGCGCACTGAGCTAGGTGTTTTTGGCGTGGCTCTTCGCTGTGTGCTTGAGATTTTCCAGTGCAGCTGTATTTAGGGTGGTGTAATCAACCCTGCCCCTGCCAGGAAGTATGATCATCATGTTAAAAAGCTATTAGTAGTTTGCAATCATCTGCTGGAATCATTGAAAGTTTCCACCAGTTAACTTTTTGATTTTCAACATCTGATGATCAGAATCATCGGCCATCGAGAAATTACAATGGGAGAGCACCCACCTGCATTGCCAGTTTTGAAGACAAAGCTCAATACGGTCCCAACTGTTCTCAGTGGCTACTTAAGATTTTTCAGCTGTGGGAGACATTTGAGGGTGTCGAATTATCCAATCGTCATGGGCTAATCCAGAAGCGAGTTGCTTGTAGCTTACCTCGCAGCTTTGCAGCTTGGTTTAACCTTAGCGGACTCTGATTATGCCGTGTTTTGCAGTGAAGCGGCTGTCTCATTGCAACAGTATTTGTGAGTCACCTCACTTTGTACCTTCCTGCAACAGGACACCCCACATGCCGCGGAGTGGTGGATCTACCAGGATATCATCCAGGACCCTCTCGCCCGAGACAACTCCGTTTCAGTACGAGTGCATTCACATGAGGAGGCTGACGTCTTTCTAGTGCCGTTCCTGGCGTCGCAGTCCTTCAACTGCGACGATGAAACCCAGTTCATGCACAAGAACTTTCGAGACGTCTGTGGCAGCTTGTACAAAGTGGATGATGCGTTCCAGGTGAGAATCGTCGCCCAAGTATTTGGCTAGATTTTAATGTACCCTTTCAAGCCATCGCAAGTCTGCAATACCGCTAGGTGACAGTGAACCAGTTACCACTCTGAGTGTCATAGGCCACCTCAGCTTTCGTAAGGCCATGCTTCAAGACTGAGCCAATGAGTTTTTCTCTACTTTTGGGTCGCTCCCAAAATGTTTGGGCGATCCTTGATTGTGATGTCAAAGGTGTTGTCTGACTCCTTCAACCGCTTTTGACCGATCAAACATGGACATTGTGACCACTGATGGCTGCCACGTGCCTCCAGGTGGAGCTCCGGGATTGGCTCGAGCAGCAGGAGCCGTGGCAGGCGTCCGGCGGCATCGACCACGTGATGCTGGCCGTTCATCCGATGGCGCTCATGAGCATGCTCAGCTCATTTACCGCACAATGTACCAACCTAGTGGTCGACTTCGGCTTCCGCTTTTCGTGGGAGGTACGAGAAAGCTTGCTTTGCAGGAACTCAGGAAACCAAGAGACCGCTTGACGCAAGATTGGGGAAAGGGCAGCTTCCTGAGATGCGGCATCGGTCTGTTTGCGCAACTTCGAAATACTTTTGTGTCGAGCTTATGCCAAGTACAGAAACAGTCAGGACGGCGTTATATGGAAGCCGCCAACCATCCATCTTCCTATTCATGCGCGCGAATTCTCAAGAAGAGTCAGACGACTTCCCCTCTTTTGCACGCCAACTTCAAACGTTCATTTCAGGTGGAAACAGTCAGCGACTTCATCAGCACGCTGCGATTCCGTCTGACGAAAGCCGTTCCCGACTGTTCGTACTGTCTTCACGAGCTGACTTTGGACTCCAAGCAAATGGAGAACAAGCCTTGCTTATCACTTGGTTGCAGGCGAGTCTGGAGAAGGACGTGGTTGTTCCTTATTCACACCTGGCGGAACGGCTGCCAGATGCGCTGGTGGAAACAGCCACCAGCGAAGCTTTTTTCGAGAACGTGGACACGCTGCTTTTCTTTGCGGGGAATTTGCAGCGAGCGGTGAGCTGGACTTCAAGTACGCATGTCCTTTTAAAAAACACCTTTGAAAGGGCGCCGAGGGTACAGTTTACCACCAAAGTGTGAGCAGAGTTACGGAAACTTTGATGCTGATTGGTTGCGACGTTGCCCGTGTCCCGTCTCCTTGCTGTCGACTTCTGCCGGTTCAAGACGATTGTGGATATATTTATTGTGGAAGAATACAACCGGATTTGGGTAGAATGAAGCGCAGGTTGTCGAACGAAAGTGAAGACTCCCAAGCTCACCCAATTGACTGAGCTCTTACGCTTTCTGCACGGAGCTTGGTAGTGTCAATATCCGTGTTCCAGCGCGTCAAGACCAGCATTTAAGGCTTCGACCTGCCTTGTTGATTTATCGGAACTGAAAGGCGTTACTCCATCGAGTCGTCGTTAACGGCTATTGAACCCAGCAACTAGTGGCGGCTCCAGTCCTATTGAACGCCAACTAGCACCGCCCCACCCCTTACTTTTATCTCAGGGAAGCATGCTTGAACCACTCTCATGAACAGAGAATTCGAACGCCCCTTCTCTCATCCGTCAGGTCTGCATAGCACTCACGTCGAGGCAATGAAAAACCCCCAAAACCTGCTTGCAGGGAATGGGTCGAGTAAGAAACGCTCTGCAAGACGTTTTGAAAGACGAACCGGACGTTCGAATACTGAGCGGGACCAAGGAGAAGTCGCTCGACTCAGCAGCGGTTGACGTCACTACGCAAGCCATCAGGCGCTCCAAATTTTGCCTCGTAAGTTCCTTCAAACCTAAAATAAAAGTACGCTCGACGTTAAATTGATTTGGGCGTCATCGGTGTAAGCAAGGAATCAAGCATGAAACACGATTGGCTGTTGTCCCTTGCCAGCTGAGCGCAGAAGGCCTGCAAAGAGGGAGGTCTTGGAACAAGACTCAACAAAGCATTCCAAGATTACAATCAGCATGCGCTTCAATGAACGCCTGTAAATGCATGGATTGCGGGTGTGCTTTACAGTTGTAGCTTCCTTTTCGTGTCCGAAGCGAAACACCAGTTCAGAGGAAAAGCTTGAAGTTGCCTTCGCTTTGGTGTACAAGAGACCAAGCCAAAATAATTGCTAATAAAAGCACCCTTCAAGAGCAGGGACTCGTCCACGATGCTTCAATTAAACGGGGCATCGCCCCAATCCAACTTTTCTGCCTGGTGTGCATTGTCCTGCTGGGGACACGCCGTCTTCCGCCCGGCTGTTCGATGCGATCGTCAACCTGTGCGTACCAGTGGTCGTCAGCGACGATCTGGAGGTGCCCTTCGAAGACCAGCTGGACCTCAGGTCAGGACTATACATGTGAAGCTCTGTAAAAAGCATTGTACAGGGCTCCGTAACTACTGTTTGAAGCATCTTCTTAGCTCTGGAGAAACGCCAGAGGTGCAGATGTAAGTCCCGAAGCTCCGCATATCTTCGATGGGTGGAAGCAGCACGGTTCCTGGAAACAGAGGATAGTCGCAGTAGTGACGGGTCCCGTGTCAAGGGGCAGAGAACAAACGTCACGCCTGCTTATTCCATTTGCACTGCAAAAGACAGCTGGCTGCAAAGTTATCACACAGGTTAATAAAACATGTACAGAGACGTTCGAGAACGCTCATCTAATCTGCTTTACTCTCCTTGGCTCCTGACGTGAGTGTCGTGTAATCGCTGGGTGCAGCGATGCGCTCATCTTCGTGCGTGAAGCGGATGCCGTCCAGCCGGGCCATCTGACGGCTCTCCTGAGGGCCGTCTCCAACGAGGACCTACTGCGCAAGAAGAAGGCGCTCGCTCAGGTGCGCCGCACGACTCTGCGAGAACAGGAGGACTTTTGATGACAGCGCAGAGCGGACGGATGGCAGGAACCTGACGAGCACGGAGGTGGACTTGCCGCTGGAGAAAGTCGGCTTCGATTTGTTGGGGATTTGGGTAGAACGAAGCGCAGGTTGTCGAACGAAAGAGCAGACTCGCAAGCTCGCCCATTGACTGAGCGCTGACGCTTTCTGCACAGGAGCTCGGCGGTATCTTTGGCCGTGTTCTTGCGCGTAAATGCCAGTACTAAGACGGCCAGCAAAGTCGTTGATCTGCTTTGTATTGGCAAACTGATTGGAACTGAAAAGCGCTACTCTTTTGAGGAGTCATCAGCGACTGTCGAAACCAGCAATCACCTTGACTCCTCGCAAAAGCCGACCAGCACTGCCCCACCCCTTCTCTTGCTTCAGGAAGCTTGCTTGATCTAGTCGGCACGCGGCCGCGCCGCCTAGTCGCGGCCGCCCTATGTGCGCGCACGGCCAGTTCACGTTGCTTAAGCCTCGGGGTACAAGCGAGAACATCTGCATTTACGGTTTTCATGCAAAGCTTGATTTCAACTTCCAACTGAGCAAGAGTGGCATTCTGGACTCTCTTCCTACGTCAGCAAGCTGCAGAGGTCGATGAGCGGCCCCTCGAAAATCTGCGACGTCCGAAATCGCGCTCGGTACTGACGTGCTTAGAGCTGAATAACCTGACACGAGGTAATTATCTCCTTGCACAACGCTGCAAGTTGTCTCAATCTCTGAACCTACTTTAAGCCAGCACAGCGGATCTTGAGGATGAGAGCACGTCGAAAGTCGATTTATTTATTTGTTGTAAGATCTTAATTGGGATTGCTGTGAGCGCTGCAGGTACGGGGCAGTTTCGAATACGCCGACGCTTCGACAAGGAACGATTCAGCACCGGCAATGATTTGGAGAGAGGTTGCGGCGCGGCTGCCGATGATGCGCCTGGGAATGGCGAGACGCAACCGCGGGATGACGCGCCGCGAGGCAGCGACGCACGACCGCCTGGAGCCGGGCCGGCGCTTCGAAGACGGGCGTTGATCTTCATCCTGCGATAGTTGACAACCCCAATGGCGAGCCTTTTGGCCGCCATGTGCGGACACAAGTCTTCTTCTAATCCAAACGTGTAAGATGTAGTCTTACTTGCTGAAAAAGTAGGGAGACCCAAGGGTTACAGCATGCGGCTGTACTGCGATTTTGGCTCTAGGCTGGACGACATATGAATGGTGTCTGGCCACAAATAGACGGACAAGATCGGAAGGATACCCAACCCGGGCTGATACCCTCCGGCCTAATTCCGGCTTGTGTCGAAAGTCTTGATTGTCGAGGACTCTAACACAAGCAGATCATGAGTAGACGTTGAAGGCATGTTGAAGCACCGTTTAGGCGTACTGAGTGTCATGTTCTGCCAATCGCGCGCGGCGTTCTCGGTGTCTATTATCTCAACCGCCGGATGCTGAGCTAAGCTGAATGTGACGGGGCGGCCGGGTTCACCTGAGGCCTCTAGTTACGGAGATTAAGATGGAAGTCGAGCGCTGGGCGTACAGAATGTGGCGAGGTGGCGCATGCACGCCCGTATTTGAAAAGCTCAAGTCGCGGAAAACAACTCTGCATTCGAATCCTTGCATGAGAGGTCATAAACTTAATGGCACGTATGTTGCCAGCACGTTATTTCTTTTCGCGCGCTAGCTTCCTTACCGTCCATATACAAGGATGTTTTATGGGGGATAACGATAGGATCTGGCGAGCACTAGAGCGGCTGCTACACCCCGCATGCGCGGCAATGTTCATGAAGGTTCGACAAACAGATATATCGTGCATTTAGCACCCCGCCTTTCAATAGCCGCCCACTCACAAAGTAACCGAAGATCTTATGTCCAACCCTCAACATTTCAGTGGCCGCAGCAGGGCGGACCTCAATGTGCATATTTGGCAGGATCAATGTCGGTTTGACAAGATTCCGTGCAAATACGTGCTTATGTATACAAATGAACAGCCTATGTGACATTCGTCTTAATGGGTTCGACCATTTCTTTCTCCACCTTCTCATACCCCTCGGCAACATCCACGTCTTCCGGCTTGGTTCCCTCCTCCGCTACATCCTTGCTACCCTCAACAGGGCTGCCTTCCACAAGCACCTTCGACTCTTCTGCAACGGACGCATCGGCCGCTTTTTCTCCCACGGCTTCCGCTGCCTCCGCAACTGGCCCTGTCGAGACTCCCTCCGGTTGCTTTTCTTCAGCGCCAGCTTGTTCGACTGCCGGGGCAGGTTGACTAGGCGCAGCTTTTGGGGGCGGGAAAAGGTCCTCCCGGAAGTGCGGGTCGAGGGAGCGGAAGATAGGGTGCTGCCACGTGAGGCTCCATAGAGTAGGGGCTTCCCCTTCGGCTGGGGGCGCGACCTCCGGAACGAGAATAGAGCGGGCATTCATGACCTGGGGAGACAACGACACAAACGTATTAAGGTCACTTTACCAACAACGGTGATCACCCAGAGAATCTGTGGAAGTTCGAAGCAGCTTAGCATCTCTTCAACGGTAGCCATTATCTGGTGAGGAGAAAATGCGATGCTCATGCTCGTTGCGCCACGCAATCAGGTTAGAACGCTCAGGTTTTGGGCTGAAACCTCGATCTGCTGCAACGAGGGACTATGATGTACGTCAACAAGATCAGCTCGCGCGTTGGCCCCTCTGTCCAAATATCCGACTAGGCTGCCGCAATCCGCCAGAGTGAGCTCTTTAAGTTTACACTGCAGTAGATGATAGATCTTCGAAACAAGAGCGGAAATCGTCCTGAACATTGCCCGTTCGTCCAAGCAATAGAATTGACGTCGGCAAAAAATGGTTGTCGAGCATGGCGCAGCGCTCACCAGCAGCATGTTCTTGAGCAACTCCGGGATGTTCTCCGCCATAGAGATACCCGCCGACCGTGGTGCACTGCTCTTCAGATAACCCTCCGCACGGTTTAGCACCGCCACCCATAGGTTTGCAAAACCGGGGTTGGACGCCAGCTGGCAGCCCAGGATCGCACCAGTCAGCAGAAGTTTGGATTTAGTGGCCTGAGCATTGTCGTAATTCGGCCACCATTCAGCTGTAGAACGACTTGTGGTCGCGTATTCAATGCTGGAATGCACGGGCTCTCCAAAGCAAAAGGCGGATTTTGGGCAAGGAAAAACGAAACTTGACATGTCGGACAATCTATCAAAAAGGTTCGTACATCACTTAACGTACATTCAACTCCGATCAGAAAAGGACAATCATTCTGCAGTTTCAAAGCAGCTGAGCAGGGAGGCTTGACTGACCTGCGTGAGGAACTGCAGGTAGACCCGGGAGAGGAGGACCATGGCCCGCCGCAGGGTGCCCTCCATGCCGCGGTACGACTTGGCGGAGGCCTTGTGGGCCAGGTCCAGCAACTCGTCCAGGGTGGGGAACACGATCTGGAGACAAGTAAAGATGTCAGCTAGATGTCAAGATTGGAATATTACTGAAAGCTGATTCGGAGTGAGGAAGTTGTTTGAGGTCTGACACGAAACCGAAAGGTCTTGGACGCTTGCTGGCCAAAACGTTCACCCCTTATAAAAGCGAGATGGGATGAAGGAAATGAAAGGACGCTGCGAATCAGGGGAGGGCTTTGAGCTCGAGCAGCCTCCAGTAGAGAGAACGCCACAAACAATCGGCTTTTGTACAACAGATGAATGGATTCTACCGCTAGGTCTACAATGAATGCACGGATACTTTCAATGTCAGGGTGACATCTGGACCCAGTCGTTTTATCGCTTTGCTCTTAGGATCCGCTACGGCGGTATGTACGACTGAGCGCACTTTCCTCCTCACCTGGTCGAAAACGCGGACCCACACTTTGCCCGATCGAACATCGAGTGCCTCTCCTTGCAACAGACTCCGCTGCAAGCACTCCAGCGCATTGTTCCGAACGTCCTGCGATAAAAAAGCCAAAAGCTTAAGGTCCGACGTGAAGTTCTCGTTCAGGTCGGGACAAAACTCCAGCATTAGTTCAACTCTGAGAGAGAAGCACAGCTTTGCCCGGACTCAACTTCTTGGCAGAAAGAACCCTCCCTCTTCGATATCATCCCACGTTTTGTCATAGTAGCTGATGGGGAGATAAGGAGAAGTCTGGGGTTGGATGCAATGAGACACATAAGGCAGAGCACCGAAGTCCTGAGTTGCAGTCGTCAGCCGCAATCCGACATTGCCATCCTAGTTGTGTTCACCGCTGAGATTTAACTTTGAAAAAGCAAGATAAGAATGATCAACCTCTCAAGCGCCTGCAGCTACTACATTTTTCGCTATAGGATGGTGAAGATACCACCAAACCGCCTACAGTATCGCATGACACAGCCAGAAATTTTGGAAAATTACTGGTCGCTACCAGCCTTTCCTTGAAGCCGTGCAGCACGCTACTTTTACACCCTGTGATGAAGAACGAGAGTACGGAAAGAACTAATAGCACTTTTCGGTTTGTGATCCGCACCTCTCGTTGGTCGAGACAGATCCTCCCCAGCCCCACCGACAGCCTCAGCCACAGGTCAATCAGCGCCTCTTTCTCTGATGTCAGCCTTGGGGACTGCGGCACATCAGTTGCTGACGTGGAAGCGGCTTCCGACACAGCCTGATCCAGGGCCTCCCTCGCAGCGTCTGAGGCGGGGGCGCCGCTGATTGAGGCTGACGTGGCAGTGTCTGCTTGGCCGGCGTTGAGGGTCTTCGCCCAGTGGCCCAGGTTGGTTGAGAGGCTCGCCAGCAGGTCGAGGGATTTCACGGAGCGCTCCACCTGCAAGAGGGAAGCGGGTCAGGTTCTACCAAGATTATTTCCGTCCAGTCCGTCTGTATTTAATGGGATTGCGCTCCCGTCTTGATATTGCATATTCAGATTGCGTTTCATTGAAAGTCACGGAGAAGCATTGCGGTGAAAATGGGCGGTTAGGGCTGAAAAAGATTTGGAAACAGGATCGGGAAGAATCAACTGCTGGTTTTCTCCAGGCTTACATCCTTTCTCAGGCCACAGGACGACAAGTGGTAGCAGGAGGAGCACACCTTCGAAGATTGGGACGAAGTATTGAGTGCTGACTGGCAGACGAGGGTTCAGCTTCGTTGAACAGAGACTAAAGCACTCGCTGCGGCTACTCACCCCCCCAACCCTGCCTTCCGCGAAGGCCAGCGCGGCATCCATGCAGGGCATGAAGTTGACGGGCGTCACGTGCTTCGCGTCTTGCATGATGAACGTTAGCGCCTCAAAGCCGGGTTCCGCCGCCTCGGGGTGCCGCGCAGTCGCTGCCAGCAGCGAGCACACCGTCTTCCACAATACGGGCGACCTGCGAATGGTTAACACTGATGTCAGCAAGCGTGGAGAGATCGAAATTGGTAAGGGTTTGGGACCTATCGGAAGAGCAATCGGAGCGGCAATTCTTTCATGGACTTTCAGGTTTGGTGAACATGGTACTGACAACGCTGCCTCGCAAATTGCCCTAAGCTTCAAAAGCGATTGTGACGAAATTCTGCATGATCCACAACGCTGTCAGACTCCAGTATTAGATCCGCTCTGTAAAGATAAGGTTCAAGCCCGCAAAAGCTGGCACATGTTCTGGCGGCAAACGGAGTTCGGATCATGTTTGACAAAAGGATTAAACAGCTTCGTGAATTCTTGGACGGCAGTCCAGATCAAGCAGAATAAACCCGACAAAACACTCAATACTTGCACGCTTTCACTGAGACCAGAAACTCATGCCGCAGAAAAGCTGGGCGCACTAACACACCACTGGACTAGCCGTACTCGAACCACCAACTTCACCTGATGTAGGTGACGCTGCTCTTGACGAGCTGCAGCATCTCACGCGTGATGCGCTCCGCGTACGCATCCGCCACTCTCGCATCCAATCGCAGCACCAGCTGCAGGCTCTTGAGCAGCTCATCGCCCAGGTCCTCCTTGTACGGCAGCAGCCGCTGGCACACGCGCAACAGGTCCAGCACGGCCTTCTCCACGAGCGGGCTCGGCGACTGCGCCGAGCCCACAATGCTAGCCAGGTGCTCGTGCACGGCGGGCCTGTAAAATCAAAACGATTGTGTTTGAAAGGTGGCTTCGAGGGGACAAATGGATATAGGCACGGCGGGGGCAGCCTCCCCCATTTTGTTTCTTGGCTGTTAGACGTTAGTCCGAAACCCTAAAACCCTAAAACCAGTTCCTGCTTTAGGAATCAAATGTGACGCTGTTCCCGGACGCTTAAACCAAAGCTCCGTCTTCATTAAAAGAGAAGGGGTACTTCGTTCTATCCGGTCAGTCCTGTCAGCCTTTTCTGAAAGGTATGTTTCGCAAGAACCAAAACAATCTGAGAAAACGCTCCAAATATAGGACTTGCGCTTAAACGCTTCCTCGAGCTTCAGGCCGCCGATCGTCCTACTAAAGCTGTTTTGAGAAAAAGCAGTATCGCCAAGGTCAAGTTCTGGGACGCTACGGATCCGGGGCTTTCAGAAAGAATATCCTTGGTCTCAAGCAGGCCCAGGCTCGCTCAAATTCGAGAACTCATGACCAGAATTTGGGGACTCAACCGCCAGAATCGTGGGTAAAAGGTGCTTTGACGTCGAAGAGCCCTTCCGTTCTCCTCACCACAGCAGCAGTATCCTGTCCCGGTTCCGCAGCGTGACCGCGATCAGCAGGTCCAGGCAGAACAGCGCGGTGTCCTCCTCTTCCGTAGAGATATTTTTTTGGTGCGGCTTCCCCGACACGTTGATCAGCGCCTTGACCAGCTGCAGCAGGGAGGCCTTATGCAGGAACTTGCTGTCGGTGAACAGGTCGTCAATGCGGCACGCCTCCACCATGGCCAGCGTACGCTGGTGCGCCGCCAGTTGGTGCTCTGCGATGGTGGACCGCTCGCCGTCCGCGCCCGCGTCCAGCGACAGCAGGTTCTGGAACTGCCGGCTCACGCTGTGGAGGGAGATGGGGAGGGTTAGAAACGTAGCATATTGCAGCATGGTGTCTTGCTGAGTGTCGGTTAAAGAGCAAGTTAGATTGTAACAAGCTGACAAATCATCAAGTAAAAGTAGAAAGTCGTTCATTAGCAAGGAATCTGCCAGCAAAGGGCGTTCTGATGGGCTGCGGGTACTTCAGCTCAGACCGCCATCTTCCAGAACCTTGAGGCAGCATATGTATGCACTTGCAGCAAGCGGCAACACAGGGCCGGTTCACTTACGTGCCAAAGATGCCCGCGCTCTTCCGTCGTCCCATCCCAGCCTGGGTGCCAGCGGCTGCCGCTGCAGCAGCGTTGGCAAGAATAGAAGACCCTGCAGGACAAACGCAAAGGCTTCAGCATCCTTTCAAGTGTCGCTTGATCACGACTGGCTTGCAAAGGACACGTTACGTCTCTAGCACGTCTCTAGCAACTCAAAGGCTGAAAAGAGAGAGGCATTGCCCTTTGCGAAGCTCCTTGATGGGGTTCCCTCGTGAAAGAATTGAGGAGCAGTGTTAAGTTTCAAGTCATTACTCGAACTTCTGCCCCAGATCAATGAAAGAAGACCTCGAAGCAGAGACTACGACGCCCCAGCGATGCCAACGGGATAACATTGGCGACTCTCCAAACAAGCAGGGCTGCCCGATTGACGAAGTGCCTGGTCATGCATCTCCTACCCATCAGACGATTGAAAACAAGACTTGGAAAGTCTGCGGTAAACAATAACGCACGCCGTATCGAACACGGGGGCTTTGCAATATGTATACCCCACGAGCAGATCTGTAAATTCGCCTCATGAAGACAAAGCCACCAAACAAAGGCCAGGCCTTTAGAGCCTTATGACGTCCCAGCCAGTGGATGTCCTGGAGGAAAACGAGGAAACCTGGCTGCTGCTAAAGGTCCTAAAGGTCCTAAAGGTAAGACAAGAAACATGGCTGCTGCAAATCGCTGACCTTCTTGATTGTCGCTGGGCCTCCCCTGGCCGTTCTGTGACTGCTCTCGCCGGGTCGGCAGCAAGCCCAGCTTGTGCAGCCGGATGACGCAGTCAAGGATGTTTCGCCACCCGCTGCGGATGGTGTCGCCGTGCCGGTTGGCGATCTCGAAGACAGCACTGGTTGCCATGCGGGCCTGCAAACAATGGACAGTCGTGAGAAGCTCACATACGACTGTGTCGCATGCTTGGATTGAAGGAAAGGAGGCTCCATTCGAAGCGCAACAAGAACTGCAACATGACCCAGGTCTCGACTGAAGGCTCGGGAAAGCTGCTTGAGAAGGGCGACACATGCGAGCCAAGGTGCAACCATCTACCGATGAAATGAGAGCAAGAAAGCATTCTAACCAGGGCGGCTACAATCAAAGACGAGCAAGAGTATTCATAATCAGCCCTTAACTAGCCAACCTTGTTGAACAAGCTTCTCATCAGATGCAGAGATATTGACACAAGCAGTCTCCATTGGTTTACAGCCTCACCTTAGTGTTCTCTCCAAACGCGACCGCAGCTTTGTCGTTCCCAATGAGCGTCGTGAACTTGCAGAGGCTGACCACCAGGTTGTCAAAAACGTCCTCCATGTGATGCGCCGCTGAAATCTTGGCCACCGCCAGGAACCCGGCCATGCACTGCTGCAGCGTGTCTGCGTCGTCCGCGTGGTCGAACACTGCACGAGCAGCCGAGCAACTTTTGCAATCGGGAGGTGATGTGCAGATCAAGCAAACACCGAGTTCTCCGGACTTGGTAGGACCGTCTTTTGGAGCAGAATAGAAGCGCCTAAACGAGGCTGCTGATAAGCATTGCTCCTACTCGGACCATACAACACTGTCCAGCTTCCTAGCAACACTTTCAGAGACTTAAGTCAGGTTGCAGAACTGCAAAGAGGACAATTTGGTGCAGCAGAAAGGCGACACTTTATGCAGGTAGTGTGAGCTCATGCATCTCAAAACCTGGTCATTGTTGAGATCCATACGCCTGCACTCGTTGAGAATGTGTTGCAGCAGCCAACATATTCATCGGATTCAAATATGCAGCTCAAAAGGATTCACTTTAGTCAACTCTGCGGGATCTTAGGGCGAGACTTAAAGTACAGCGAGATGAATCCCTCACCAACGGAGATGGCGGCGATGGATGGTCCCCAGATGACGGAGAACATGTCTCGGTCGAGCAGCGGCTTGGTGGGGTCGCACGAGAGGAACGGCGTCGTGGCCTGGGAGCGCCGCAGCAAGTCCAGCCACCGGCTGTACGTCATGCCAGGCTCCGCAGCCAGGCTCTCGCTTGACATCCGAATCTCTGCATTCGGCGAAAATGAGCAGCTTAAGGGGTGTCCAACACTTGAGAATTGGGACTCGGAAGAGTTAGGTTCAGGAAAGATGCAAGCTCCTGGCCCAATGTGTCTGATGAATAGGAGCGACGTTCTACATTCGCATTTCCGACCGGATCCGACGTGGATTTGGGACCTCAAGCGACTGCAAGATCCGTTGTGAGATGAGTATCAGCAATCTGCTTCGCTTACTCTGGTCCATCTCGAGTGCCTTAAGCATCAAGCAGGAACCTGCTTTGAAAAGGTGATGACATTTGTCGGAGCATATCAAAGGGATCATGAGCGGCAGCCTCCTCACCGTTCTTCGCAATGGAGTAGTACAGATGCGTCAGCATGTCCCGGGGCAGGTCCTTCCCATCGTTGATCTTCCGATTATTGCGGATGAACTCCTCCTCGGTCATCTTTCGCTTCACCTGAGCACAGCAGCAACCGAAGTAACAGTTTAAAAAGAGGTTGAAGTGATTGCAAGGAGGGCGAGGGAGCGACCCCTCGAATGACGGATTCTTCTTGCGCCGCATAAAAGTGTGTGCTCTTCCTTCCACGGCTCCAGGTCTTCTTCAGATCCGAGAACTTGACTCGCCAGCACACCTGGATGTGGCTCATCTCCACTCGAAGAGCAGGGCGCTCCAAAGTAACGAACATGTCCTAAGTTTAATGAATAAAGTATTTGACCAGAGGAATGAAAGTTGAGTTTGGCTCACCTGACCGTTGTGCTGATCCGTGTTGAGCATAATGACAGAGTACGAGAGCACGTAGGCCGCATCTTTGTGGGCGAAGTTCTGCACATAGGAGAAAATGGTTTAAGCAAATTGACCTAATAAGGGGTTTCACACATGTTAGCAACCACCAACGATGGTCTGCTGCAAATTCAGCAGAAGGCATCAATCTTCTTAACAAAAACATTACCTCTGCCAACAATGGTTCTTCAGACCCCAAAACTCAAAGCCACCTTGCCTTGAACAAAGGAGTGAAGTTGGAGAAGCCGAAGAGTCAACTAGACAAGACCAAGGACAGGAGGAGTACGATTACTTGCCTGCGGGCACTGCTCGTAGTAGTGAGACGCAAATGCCTCGAGCACCCTGCTGATCTTCTGCGCCTCCCCAGGCAGCCGGAACGCCTCCAGGTACGTGCGCAGGGCGCCGTCGAGGGCCATCCCAGTGAAGTTGAACTGCTTCGTGAAGCACTCCAGGACGCTGATGTTGAATGCGTCTGGCTCGCCAAAGTATTCGCCCAGCAGGTTCTGCAAGCGGAAGGGTGGGGTTAGCAGTCAGCAGCGAGCAATAAACCTGCAGGCTTGCTACACAGGTGTGCATGCCGAGGGGAAGTAGGATTCAAGAGGAACGTCATCATTTGCTGACGGGCAAAGCCACATGAAATCTCAGCCTTTTGACCGCGACTTAAGAGACAGACAATATTCATGGAAACTTAAGACCTTTGTAGATGATGACGCACTGCCCAAACCCTAGTGGATGCCGAACACTTCAAACCGAGCATCGACTGGCTCAATGATGGACAAGCCGACGGAAACGTTACCTTGTTGAGCCCCGGTGTCATCCGGAAGAAGAAGGCGACACTCTCCGGGTCTAGCTTCTCGGGCAGGAGGCGGACGCCTTGAAGGAACTCGAGTCCCTGCAAAAGAGGCACGGACGTATTTTCGTCACTCCGCTCAACAAAGTGGACACCATCCGGCGACTTGTGAATTACCAACACTACCAGACCTCCCAAAGTGCTGCTCTTCATAACGTGGATGACGCATTCTTGCACTAACAAGGCGTTGACATTGTCAAGAGCCAGGGAAAGACTAGGCGCGGCGACTAGATTACGTTCTTACACCATCCGAGAACATTGTACAACTCCCATGACATGATCGACGCTGACCAACTGAAGGAGTGCCCGAACTAACATGGAACACACTGACAACCATCGGGGCAGTTCTCAAGGTGCTTGGGACTTCAAAGCAGCAGCTTGATACAAGCCGCCGAGTCCCTCAAGCTTGCGTCCAGAGAAAGGCATTGCAGGCGTCTGTCAGACACAAAGCAGCACTTTCAAAACGGACCATAACGGCGCACCTTTTTGGGGTCCCGATTGAAGTGGTCTGCCCCAATCATAAGCCGCCGCTTGACATACTTTCTTCTCCGCAAAAAGTCGACCCAGACTGTAGGGTCGTTCCAGTTGTCACACTTGAGGTTCCAGAACTGTGGGAACTCCTCCAGATTGTAGTCGGGGCTAGAAGAGCCGCTGCCTGAACGGGACACATCGAAAGGCGTTTCAAGGTGCCCACGAGCTTCTCTACGATTTCTGATTACCGTAATGCGTGAGCACTGACGAGAGATAAAGCAGCTTAATTGAAGTACAATAAATTAGAAAGACGTACCAAGAAGTGAAGGCGCCAAAATACTCTATGACATTATCGATTGCAAAGATTATGCAAGCTTACGAGCGGCATGTAAGTTGTCAACTCTTTCTTGAGATCGTTCATGCCAAGGGTAAGGTCACGTAGGAGGCCAACAGAGCTTCAAAATTGCATGAATTTACAAAAGTTATCCAGTTATCTGGACTCACCTGCAGGCGTTGATGCGTTATCGGCCCTGTCTGCCATGCACTGGATAACTGCCAGCAGCCCTTCCAAGGACAGCAGGTGGAGGGCGGAGAGGGGAGCGTTGACAGGGAAGGCGTTCTTAGACAGGAGGTTGCTCAGGTCCTCTGCCAAAAGAAAGACAGAAAGTCAATCTCAAGCTCCGTTTGAGCACGTTCTTTGGATCAATTCTCAGATCAAGCCCCTAGCATCCAGCAAACGTGGAGGTTGCTTCGGTCCCTCAAGGTCGTTTCAGTAATACGCTTGTCAAGCTCCGACCTTCCTCCGAGCGCCTCAAAAAGCAGATAACCAAATCCCAGCAGTGAACGAAATGCAACTAGAAGTGAGAGCAAGTGACATATTGCTAAAACACTCAAACTGCTACAGGTCATGAGGACCACCAGTCCGCATCCTTCCCTCCTCAGATGAATGCGTCTCTCACCGAAGGTGTTGCTGCAGGTGATGTCACAGTCGGCATTGGCGTACATGTCCGCCATGAAGGACGGCTGCCGGCAGAAGTCCTGCAAGATCTCAAGCGCAGCCTCCTGCTGCTCGTATGTGGCGCCGTAAAATTTGCCCTGCACGGAGATTTGGGAGGGAAGCCTTCAGCACCAAGACTTGCAGAGCAACTTGAGATATCCACCACTCTTCAAGTGAGGGTTCGCAAAAGGCGACCCGAATGTGCTCAAAAGAAGGGACTCTCCTCGGGACAGAGATGCGAAGGGAAATCAGTGGTCAATTTGCAGTGAGTTCGTCTCGACGTACCTGCGCAGCTCGAAGTACGACGAACTCGAAGAAGGCTGCCATTTGCAGCTTAAGGTGATGCTTGAGGTGCTGGTAGAGCGCCAATACGATGCCCGACACTAGCGACAGCACGAGCAGGTTGCTCGACTGCCCCGTCTGCATCAGGTTCCGGAACAGGTCGTCCGTAACCAGGGCCAGGATGCGCGGGTGCTTCTCGAAGGAGCCCCCCGCGACCTCGATGGCGGCGCTCAGCAGTGCGAGGCCAAATATGCTCAAGTCCTGCTAGATCAGACGAGCAATGGATTAACAGGTCGTTCTTGCCAACGGACAATGCGTCGACAAGGTCATGATAAACAAAACCTTGAGACTACTTGCTTTCATGAGCAGCACGGTTGTGCCCGTAAACCACTGATGCAGAAGAACTATCCAACATATCGGCAGCAGCTCATAGTGCTGGAAGATGGGTAACTCTTAAGAGAAAGTACAATGTACCAAGGGTCACCCGTGCTTCGGCAGATACTTCGCTACAAAGGGACGCTTTCAGACATGAAGGACGAGGTTGCGCTTAGAAAGAAGTTACAAAAAGTCCCTTCCGTATTTAACGAATTCATAGAGAACGTTCTCTCTCCCGTCCGCATATCTTTCTCCATATCTACGGTGACAACAATGTACACACTATCGTCTAGCGCGCCATCGCTCCTCCTATGCTGCTCAGTTTTCCACAAGGTACCTGTTCGAGTCTCATTCTCACAGGTAAACCCACAGTTCCGAGATCGACAGGCTCACCTCAGAGTCGTGCTGTTGGGCCTTGTCCGCCCCGTCCTCCGGCACAATGAGCGTGCAAAGGAACCGGAACACCTCAACCAGGCACGGCAGACCGTACGGGCTCGCCTGCACTGATGCCGCCGGAGCGGGCTGCTTCTGCGCACTATCGCCGTTCTCCAACGGAGCCGTCAGACTCTCTGCAGCCGCACTTGGCTGGCTTGCGACCACTGTTCCGGACGTTCCCGCTGACGCGTCCGAAGGCTCAGCCCGGACCCGGACGGGTGGGGGCAGTGGGGGTGCTCCCGAAACAGCGTCGCTCCCGCTCGTGTCGTCCGGGACAGATTCGGACAGGGTCGGAACAATCGGGGCAGCGCCAGCTTCTGGGACTCCCGCTACCACGGGTGCAGTGGAAACGGCCTCCCCTACGGCCGTGACTGCCGCGTCGAACCCGGCTGCAATCCCTGCCCCTGCCGCCGCAAGCGCTTCAGATACTGGCGCACTGTCCGACGGTCCTAAGCTGTCCGCACCCAGCGTCGAATCCTCCTTCACTGCGCTTGTTTCCTCCTCAACAACCTCGACCAGCGACTTTCCTTCCTCAAAAGCTTTCAATGCCCTCGGAGTTAGACTGGGACCATCGTCCGGGGTCCCCTCTGTGGCAGTCGGGTGTGGCCCGAACCGGATGTCAGCAATGCTCCGAATCGCGCCTCGAGACTTTGGTGTCGAGGCCGCGCTGTGCCCCGACCGCGGAGTAGAAGCGGTACTGAGGATGCCTTCTGCTATGGCACCGCTTGGGACTGATTCTAAGACCCTCCCGTCTGGCTGCTCACTTGCGACCGCTGGACCAGGCTGGGTTGAGCCGTCCTCGGCTGGCTCGAACTCATGGAGCCTGGAATCACGAATTTGTTGGTCAAGCGGTATTTAGAATTTGCACAAGCTTTGACTATAAGTACCTATTTCCCAACTTGGCGGCCCCGAGCCTCACCACCTGTCAAGCCCGAGAAACAAGACATCCATTCAAGCCTGAGTTCGGATGATACTTCTTTGACGACATTTCTTGAAGTCTCAGAAGTTGGGTCTCTCGTCCACCTTCGCCGCAGATAGGCACTTCCAATCACCACAACACAAAACCGATAATCGTCATTAACTCAGACTTTGACGTGAGAGTCGAGCCACAACTTTTACGGTCCGAAGTACTCGCTTGTGTGGCACCAGCCTCACCTCGCGAAGATGGCGCGCACCATGTCCTGCATCATCTGGCAGCTCGTGCGCTGCAGCAGTTCGCCTTTTGTAAAGGCTACGCGCAGGCACGTGTTGATGATGTTGATCACGTCAGCGTTGCTCAGTAACGGGCCGGCCCCGCACTTGAGACACGCCAACAGGACCTGGAACATGTGCAAGATAAGGTCTGGCAAAAATTGCTATACATATACAAAACCTTTTCCCGCTCAACGAACGTGTCCTCATCCTGATAAGATGAGAACAATTCCCCTGCCACACCTCACGACCTTGATCGATATGGCACATAAGACTGTACCCCTTGTCCAATGCATTGCTTTCAAGTCCAGACAAGCAGTGCTTTTTAGCCGTCTCGTCAGAACAACCGACGTTGAAGAGGGCAGCAACTTCTTCACGTGAAGTTTTGCATAGATGTGATCTAGTTGACGCGTGATGACCGTGATGTCGATCTCCAACACTTACTCTTGCTATTCTCCAAGCGAGGAATAGCTGCTTCCGTACACTGGAAAAGGGTGTTTCACATTAGCTAAACATTCAAGAGCAACCTCCAATCTGATGTTGATATGAGATACATGAAGTGATCAGCAATACTTACCTGCAAGATCTTCAGAAGGACGACTTCTTCTGATGCTGGGTCGGTAACTTCAAACTTGCAGCCCGTCACAGCATCCACGATGAAGTGCATCACCTCTGCCGCGCCTGCCGTCTTCGCATCTGGCAAGAGGGTTCCGAAAGATGAGCAATCACTCACCGTAGAAGATCTTTTGAAAAAAAGTGAGTTTTGTTGAAGATACTCCAGGCACACAAAACGAGGGTTGCACTTGGCAGATTGTATTGCACTTGGCACATGATGTTTCCTGTCGATACGTCCGCACAACAAACGGGGTCAACAATTGGGCAAGTCGAGCGCCAATCTGCGGCAGTGTTTGATCCATCTGCTGAGGCACTGAGACTCACCAAAGATCTCATAGCTTAGGACCTTGTGCACAGCAGAGAGTGCTACTCCAGTGATTGGGGCACTAGTCTCCTCGGAACGAATAACCTCCAGGAAAGGGGTCAAGTAGTCCGTGGGCTTTACTTTTGGCCAATCTGCAAAGCATTGACAACATCTCAGGCTTTTCCTGCAGTCCCACACCCTAAAGGCAGAGTCCGCACATTACGGCTGGGGGCAGCAGAAAACCAATTGCACTTTGACTGAAGATTGCAGCATACTGTGTAACGAGAAGCCTCCTCTGCACAAGAAGATCTGGATGGGACGAGCGAACCATCTTGTTGACCGCCTACCTTGCCAGGTGAAGAGTTTCCTTCGCAGGATCTTGAAGTCTCGCAAAAGAGGATCTTCGCCCAGCTCCTCCTCCTGCAAATATTACACTATTTCAGTGCTTCTGCAGGATAGTGGCCCATAGACACTTTTGTCCACATTTGGAACTTTACTTCACCTTCACGGTTTAAAAAAGCTCAGAGGTCTATCCCGGAAAGTTTCTTCAATCCACCGACTGCACCGCCCTCACGGTAGAATCTTGAGACTGTGTCTTCTTCATTGACCATCTTATTGAGGAACGACTGCCGACATGAGCACAATTGGCCAACGGCGGCCCTGCCTCAATGTTCTCTTGCAACACTGTGAAGCAAACAACGAATAAGACGCAATGAGAAACTACCAGGCTCAATCGGTGCCTGACAGCACTGTATTTCAGCTAGTTTAGGGTTCTGATGCATTCTAAGACTGAAACGTCTAGGATCACCAGCTGCTCTACAGCTCAATTCAAGCCACTGCATAATGGCTTGCTGGATAAATCGGTGTTGATGTGTAGTGCAGCAACACAAGTGGCCTGTCTTGATGTCTGATAAACAAGCAGATCTAAAATTACTTGCCCAGGACTTTCCAACATTGAGTTGGACTAAAGGAGCTGTAATTTTGAGTTCAGACACCAGAAGTAAGAGGAATTTCAAATGCTGACGGAAGCAGCTTCACGAAAAGAAGTGTCAATGCGACCAAAGAAGAGAACCACAGGAGCTTCTTAGTTTCTAGATCTCAAGTAGACAGCTTCAAAAGGCTTTCACGCTAGTTTCCGGGAAGCCCTTCTCATGGACGAACACAGGTCCAAAACGTCAGGGTGATTGCGTCGCACATTCTTAACCAATCGCTCCAAATCAATCACAACACCCTGATTGACGATTCCTTGATTAACGTGCCTGACATCCAGTTTGACCATTCAAGCACTTAGCAGATTACTGGTCAGGGTTCTTGGCAGCAGCACTCTGATTGCCAAGTAGATTCTGGCCGGGTAATCAGCATTTTCAGCATGAAATAAGAATGCAACATACGAAGCTACTGGCGGCCATATTGTTTCACGAACTCATAGAAATCTGCAAAGTATTGGTGCATAACTTGTATAATAGATGCTCACCAGGTATCTGGGGGCAACAGCCCAGCGTGCATTCTGCCTCATGACCGCCATCACCTGGTTGATCTCTGTGTTGACCATACATGCTATTTGGGGCCCTGTCCATCCAGAACCCTCAGCAAGGCTGGCCACCTGGGGCCCTGCCATCCTGCCCTTCAAATGCTCGCCGTTGGCTTTTCACTCGCAGAATCTTACCGCACAGAGACCCTGATTTTGTTCACTCATTGCAGACGGTCAAGCATGCCCTCACCAGCTTGCGATCGTCCTTGATCCTTCTGAAGCTTGGCTCTGAGAATGTCCAAGTTGCAGCAAGCCTGTGGCGCAGAGCAGACTAATATGAGAATTTGCAGATTGCTGGCAAAGACTCTCGAGCAAGTTTGCTCCAGCTGAGCGAACTGGCTGGCGGCGATTTTGGCGGGCATCGACGGTTCCTGCGTTTCCTATCTGACGATCGAGGGTTGCGGCTAGTCCTCGGCCTTCAAGAGGCATTGTGAATGCGCCCTACTCTGGAATTTTTTTTGACGCATGCCTCTAGGTAGCCTAGCCTAGAGCCTACAAACGGTAGGTAGGTCCTAGACTCAGCAGAGGGAGCAGCGCCACTCAATGTATACCATCCCTTCACGTGCATGATCAGGAGATACCTGCATCGATTAGAGCTCATAGAGGGCTTGTGCATCAACACTCAGAAGGCAGATCCATGCATGGCCAACATGGTGACTGCAATAGGAGCATTCAAGGACGTGTTCGAGACATGAGGGGTGAAAGCCTGAAGGCATCATGAGCTGGCAGTAAACAACAAAGCAAAGGACAATGTAAAAAGCACGGCTGTGCTTGTGGAGAAGCTCCATGATACGGCAAAGGATCCTCCCGTACCTTATCTGACTAGCTCAGTCAAGTCGTTTACTCGTAGCACGCACTTAAGCTCCTTTGCAAGGATTTTATCAAGTCTGATCTCGGGGTCGGTTTGAACCGGTGCAATGATCCAATGGGCCTTCTTCTAAGCATTGTAAACGTTCGAGCTAAGACTTCAGACAGTAAGTTTACAATCAGACTCTCCCAATGAGCTATCGCCGAAATGTGACATGCCCCTATCGCGTGCACTTCAGCTCCCACGCACGCTCCGTGCTGTCTAACCTCTTGCCAAATTGCACGTTGACTGGAATGTATGTTGGCTCTCAGAGCGATTGATAGAACAGCACCGACGGCTGCAGCCTGCCGTTCGTGCACTGCTCAACCACCTTTTCCCACGGGCCTACCACCTGTAAGCAAACGAGAGTATGATTGAGAGACGAAAGAACGGTGGAAAAATGCATATCGATTAGAATGTTCCCACACCAGACCATAGAGTGCGGTTGCAGTGACCGAAAGACGACGAGACGAAAGACGGTGGCAGAACACAGGTCGATGGTTAGGAATGTCCCCAAACCAGATTATAGAGTGCGGTTGCAGCAATCCACTGAGTGCATTGACATGCATTCTAGCTAGGACCCGAAACTGCATACCGCACTCTTGAGGGTCGTTTGATGCAAACCCTTCCTTCAAATGGGGCAAGCAAGCGCATGAGCAGCAGTCACAAAACTTGACACCAGACGTTCCTCTTTGCTCGTTTAGGGTGACCATTGGGTCCGTCCGTATGTGGGTGCAAGTTCACGCTGTGTTCGTGAGGTCACCTTGACGTGGGTGTCGTCCAAAAGGAGCCACTGCTGGGCCTTGGCGCTGAAAGCGAATGCGAAATAGTGCAGCCCGTAGTAACACACCTGCGGCAAAGCACCACGGCCAGCTTAATGGACGCTTTTCCTTCATGAACCGCGAACTAAAAGAAGCCGTCCGGAAGCTAGCGAGGACCCGAGAGCAGCGCTTCCAATAACCGGCGACCAACATGGGGGCATGTGCGATACACATGCCGCGTGAGCAGCCCGTGTGAGAAAAACTGAGCTGTTTAACTCTGTACCGGATGACGATTTCAATCAAAATAGAGACGTTCGAGAAGATGGCACACGGAAAGCTCAAGTTGCCATCACCACAGGTCCTAGTTCATTCAGACTTGCGTGCAAGAAATCCTGGACCATCCATTGCGACGGACTTCCCAAACCCGGTGGCAAGCTCGTTAACAAAGACGTCAAGAATGGTTTAGCGCCAGGTCATACGAACAACTGCGAATACAGCAACAGGAGTGTTGAAGCCTGCGCGCGTGCTCACCACACAGCGGAGGGCGTGTTGGCCTCTGTACTTCAGGTCGGGGAAGATTTCCGACACGCGAATCTGTGGTGCGAACAGCCGCGTCAAGCAAAACTCTTGGAAAGAAAAGACCGATATATCGTCGTAGTCTTCTCCCCAAAGGGTCCACTGAGGTCCAGCTATGATCTCTTCGAGTTTAAGCACCGAAGCGTTCACCCAAACAGGACAAGGGCATTCAACAGGGCGCAACCGCAGCGCAAGCTGAGCAGAAACAGCCGGCTGACCTACGGATCCACCAAGAGATCCCTTACCGCCAGATGTACAGATTCGTTTGGCGTTTGAAGTAAGATGTGCACCTCGCAACATAATAAGTTTACCTCGGTCGCTGACTCAGGACTCTAGCTACTGACAGTCCAAGCTTCCCTCCAATAGGAATCGTTATATAAATATGAGGTTTTTGTCGAAGCAGTGGTTGTTCAGGTAAGGCCGGGCACAGGCTTCGGATGCTCACTTGCGTGCTGATGGCATTGACGACTGAGCGAACCTGGCTCTGCGACGCCTGGGCACTACCCCACACGAGAACTGCAGCGGGCGGCGGGACTGGTCTTAGTAGCAGCGTCAAGCAGGGCTAGTTCTCTTTACAAGTCATACCGCATTTTTCGTTCCAAAAATATTTAACTTGCGTAAAGCACAGCGCATCTTTTTTGAACAAAAGGTTCGCACCAGCTGTCACGAAGTTAGAAGCGGGATTGAATTCTCCATCTTTCGTCCGCCCCGAATGCTAAGCTACCAGCGCTATGCTCCTCGGCGATATAGGGCGCCCTGTAGTGAGTCACAGTTTGAGCGAAGTCGGGTGGAACACCTCTATAGACTGTGGAACGCCCGACAATCCAAAATAGAACAATACGCCTTCACCAGAAAGCCGCCTGAGGGACGGGATTCTGGTGAAACAGAATACTCTGAGTTGGAAGGCGCCCACCGTACCAGGCAATGGGAGAGGGACGAAGACAAAGAAGAGAATAGGGGAAGCGACACCAGGACCCACTTACCAACGGTGAAGAGCTGCGGCGCCTTGTCGAGGACGTGCGTAGTGGGGAGAGGCTCCCCGCAGCCGCCCTCGTCCTTGTCGCACGGCCGCAGCGGAGTGGAGCCGTCGAGAACGCGGCGCAGCAGCGGCGCAAACGGCCGACCCGGCGACTGCACCTGCGCCAAGTAGCAAAGGGATTTTCAAAAACTTGGCGCATGCTTGTTTTGACAAGTTTACATGACTCCAACGGCAACTCTCACATGGCCCTAATGGCTAATTCTCACTTGATATTAAGGCGACTAAAGAAAAGGAAGATTGAGAATGGAAAAGTGTCTTTCCATTTTAGACAATCAAAGTACCTGCCATATGGAGCAAGGAAGTAAGAAAGTCCTGCTTTTGAACGATTGTGCATGCTGGGGAGAACTTCAACCTACGTTCATATGTGGACAGCAGCAACGGAAAAGAGATGGACGGAGACGTACCGCAACGTCCGAGAGGGCAGAGCAGTTGACGAGGTGGAAGTACTGCTGGTAGTGTAAGTCGTGGGTCCCTGCAAAGCATGTGCGCTTTATGAAAACGCTGGGGCACACTGGCTTCAACGTGACTGAATGGGGCACATTGGCTTCAACGTGACTGAATAGTTTCAAATCTCACGAGCCCCTTCGGCCAGACCGGCTGCTTATTCGAGTCTGCCAAGACTACACAGAGAAACATTTGATGCAGAGACACATTCAAGTGCAGGGTCCGACAGTCACCAGGCCGCTCTGAAAGTTTGACAGCAGCACAATCACTCCCATCAGCAACGTTGAGAGTATGTTCGGTCGTCAATTGATTGCTCCCGTGGCTGTCCTACAGGCTGCGAGTTCTTCTCAACCTCAACCTCCCAAAAGTCGCCCGGCAGCTAAGAACCGGTGGCACCCAGTGAGAATCGAGCAGGAATGAAGCGAAGAAGCCGTCTGGGGGCCTCACTTTTGTTACAGAGGCCGCAGTGCGTGAACTCGACCATGTCGAGCCCAAACAGGTCGTGGACGAAGCAGGACCCGCGGCAAACTGTGCGCAGAAGACAAAGAGTTTAGCTCTCCTGTGCGGACACGATGTTAGTCGTTGCTGATTTTCGCTCCTCGCTTCTGCCGGTTACAGCACAATCCAAGTGAAATTGACCAGTCCCTCTCAAAAATGGGTATAAATCCGTCAAAAGGACAATTTGCAACTTAAGACTTAAGACAACCGTTGGGAAGTGCTCGCTTCTCCTGACACAGGTCTACCTACCCGCAAGAGGAGCGTCTTGGAAAGCTGCCAACTCCCGCATGCTGAATGCGGGCAAGAGATGAGCCTCTGAAATCGTGGGCAAAGATTTGCACAGCACTTTCGTGCAAATCATTGACAGACCAGGGAGACGGCTGTTTACGCACCGTCGGTCGCCTTGTTACGCAAGGCCGCGCTATTGGAGGGGGTGGGCAGCAGGCCGTCGGCGTGCTTTGGAGGGGAGGCAACAACGGGCGCTTGGAGCGCCTCGTGCAGGCAGCCGAAGATGGAGAGCAATACCTCGGACGCGTCATTCATCTCCTCCTGTGGGGGCGTCAGAGAGAGGGGTTGAGCAGGAAAAAACGTGACGGGTGCTCGAAAATTGAACGTCAATTAGTGGTTGCGATTCAGGCTGCTGACGGCCAGTCTAAGCAACAGAAGTCAGGGGCCAGATGTGCCTGGGAGACTCGTGAAGTGGTCTGCTCGGCTCCGCCGCTTGTGCTAGCACCGCAAAGGGGGTCAACAACTTGCATCTTTGCAGTTCAAACCACGAACAAACAGCCCAAGGCCCGCGGTTGCAGCGTGATGCGGCTGATCGACGACTCTGATCGCCACTCATGCGAGTGCTTGCTGGCATGTTCCCATGCGCCAGCACGCTGTCTACAGCAGACTGCGGGTCGGTTTGAAAGACTGGCCCAAAGCATGAATTCCAGTCTTGTAGAGCATGCTGGGACATGTGTCACCCGTAAGCTCCCTTGCATATCCGCCGCCAAAGGTGCGAAGTCTTAGCTTAGACGCTGGCGCGAGCGGGGAGAGCTCACCATCTGGAAAAGGTCGCTGCCTTTGTGCGCGTCGTGGAGGGCTGTCCGCAGAGATGACGGATCCACCTGCACCGCACCAAGCGTAGGAAAATGTCAAAGGCGTGTCCTTCGCTTTAAGTGATGTACATCAAGAATCGCTGGTATAACCATTGGGGACCATGATGATGACGAGTACGGTTCCATGCAGGAAGCAACTTACCACGTCTACTGCATCAGAAGCGATGACCATTTCTCGGGGGTTCCCTTCCATCAATCAACCTATTCAAGCTTGGACGGACCTCTCCGAGAACCTTTTCGGTTTCCAAAAAAGTGGAGCCACAGCGGAAAACGAAAGTGCATGACGCAGCCCTTCCTTGCAATTTCTCGTGCACGCGTTTACATGTAGGGGTCACGCTTGTGTGCATTTAAACATGCCTCAAGAACATGCCAATAAACAACGGCTACGACACCTTGTGCTACAAATGGAAGAGCAGCAAAGGCGCCCGCGTATCCACGTTCACTACCTACCTCGTCCCCTTTTTCAATGAGAGGTGAGTTCGTTCCTAACGCCACCTAACCTAGCAGATCCAACCCAATGTGCGCTCATCACAATACTTAGCCGTCCTAGATATTTGTGCACCAGTTATCGAACCGCTCAGAGAGTGTGAGGGAATTTGACTTAGGGAACGCACCGCTGTGGGTTTGCCGTCGTCTGCAGAGAGCGCCCTGAAGATCCCCTTCAGGCCGTGCAAGACGGCCTGGCGGCGCACGTACAGCGGGGCATCCGACGGCGGGCGCTTGGGGACGGGATGTAACATCACGTTCCGCCGGAAAGGGACCAGGTGCCAAAGCGACTGCAGGGAGAGGAAGGGAATGGGCTTTAGTCAACACTCCAACGACTGCATGGTCAGTCTAGTGTATCCGTGTCCCTTTGTGATCGACAAGCACAGGATGGGCTAGGAAGGTTATTAGCAGAGCAGGGTGCGTCCTAGGTAGAGGTCGGCTCAAAGTATGCTCACGAGGACTCTTAAACCGAGAAGCACCAATGTGTCCCCGTGAACTCAACACCCCAACGAGGCAAGGAGCTGGCTGATACCTTAAAAGCAAAACAGCAACAGAACAGGTTTTCCTCCGATCTATAGATTGCTACCCACTCTGACCAGGCTCTTGGACTGCATTGAAAGGACACAACCAACAAGGGCGCAGTGCGCTGACTAAACACAGCCCAGGAAGCGGTAAAGCAAGATGTGGAGCTCACCTGAATGATAACGTTGAGGAAGCAGTTGTACTCCCCCGATCGGTTGGCCAGCCCCTTCCCCACGGCCGGCTTGGGGGCGGCGCTGACGCGCACCGAGGGCCAGCTTTTCGTCTGTGCTGCTGGGCGCTGCGACGCTCCTCCTTGAGACCGGTACTCTGTGCAGATGGGGGATTGATGTCAGTCATCCAAACGGGAATGGTTTGCCAATGAAGCGAAAGACGGTGGAGCACTCACGTACATACAAGTGCTTCTTCAGGACGTTGACGCGGGACCTTAAACCTGCCAGAGGTGCAACTGTTTGCAGCACGGTAGAAAGCTTGCTCTATGGTATGTGGGTATTCTGACGTCGCGAACTGCTCAAGCTTGGGGAGAACGTGTTTGAATCCCTAGCGGCAAGGGCTACAACTCAGCTCGAAAACGGAGAAAGCAGAATGAAAAGCTCGCAATGACCCGTAAGCACCATCTCAAAGCAGTAATAAGGGCCAAACCAGAACACTTCGACTTTGATGTATCCGAATTGGACAAGCTGTTCTTGCACCTGCTGCCGCGTCTCGACCACCTGACTCCAAAAACCAGAAACACGTGTGCTCCAAGACGGCGACCCCCCATAAAGCTTTCGAAATGTGTTGCCGTCCCCGTACCTTCCAAGCTCACGTCCATGGCGGCCTTAATATCCGCCTCAAACTGCTCCTCGTCCGGTCGGCCAGCCACCATTTGCGCGGCTGTCCGCACGGCCCCATTCGCACCAACACGGCCCGCCGTGTGAGCCGCCAATGCCGCCTCATTCAGCCGCTCTCCCTCCCTCACCCTATCAAGGTTTCCGATTTCAGCCGTTCTCACGTCCCGCCAAGGAGCGGGAGCTTCGACGGAGATTCCCCATGCCCCTCTTTCGACTGGCTCACCCGCCTCCGGCTGAGACGCGTCCAGCAAGGCACAGTCATCCAGGAGCTTTTGCAGGTCCGCATCCGACACCGAGTCCTCGTTTGGCTTTGCCTTCTCCTGAGGCGCCACCTGCTGTTGCAACGGATTGTACGCCCCTTTCCTCTCGGGGGCTCTACTGGCTGCGTTTCCACCTTGCGGGGACCGCTCGGTCGGCAATTCTGGCGACATTGACGGCCGACCATGGAGGTACTCTGGCGGAAGCACCATGGATTCCTGAGTCGCTTCGCGGGGCAGTTCAGAGTGCGCAAATGGGTGATGGGCGTACGGACCCACGTGATCGTACTCCGAATGGGAAGAGTAAGGAGACGGCCTCTCTCTCGGCAGCAGAGAGCCAGCAGGACCCAAAAGCTCAGGCAGGGGGGCTTGGTTGACCATGTATTCTTGCCCCCCATTATGGTTTCGCCCCACCTCCGGACCCCTGAAGTCTTCCCCGTTGAAGGAGGGGTACTGGGCCTGTTGCTGATAGCCAGGTACAGTGTTGTCGCCCCACCTACCCCCACTTCCGTCTCTTCCTCCCGAACAGCTCCTCTCTACAGGAGATTCCGGCTTGTACGCTGCTCCAAAAGGTGGGAACTCCGCAGGTTGACTGTTTGGCGAAGGCACCTCTCCCGGGCTCTTCAGCCCCCCGGTCCGCTGGAAGTGCTCCTGAACGGTGGCTTGCAACTTGCGGATGTGCGGGGCGTTTTGCAGGGCGCTCAGAGGGGGAGTCTGCGGATTCGGGACACTGGTAGGCGGTAGGGGGGCGAATCCGCTCTGGTAATGTGCCGCTGGTGGTGCCAAGGAGGGGTGGTTTTGTAGGGGGTGACTTCGGAGGTTGTTGGCACTGTTCCCGTGTTCGGCAGGGTGTTGGTCCGTCCGGAAAGCATCCACCTCCCCAGGCCAACCGGACGATCCTGGCGGAAGTGAGTCTTGTGGCGGGTTTAGGTCGTGGTTAGTGCTCGACCAGTAGTTGAGCTCCTGGTCGGGCATTGCCTGGCTGTGCTGTCCAAATGCAGATGGCACTTGCGCAATTGAACTAGGGGGGCGGGACTGGACTTGTGGCGCCCACTGTGGGGCGGGAACCCACGAGCCGCGGTTTTCTGCCGGATTAAGGGAAGCGAAGTGCGGGGAGCTGTCTGGCCGGGGGTTGAGCGCGACTTGAGAAAAGGGCTCGGGGTCGGAAGTGGATGACGTAAGTGGCGGATGTGCGCCTGGGGGCAGGAGACGGCGGAGCATTTCCTGGGGGTGCACGACGGGAGGGGGCGGCGGTGACGCCTGCAATGCCACAAGGAGTAGCGTTAAGAGACGTGTCTCGTTCTTGGTTCAGACAGGACCTGGAGAAGAGCAACGTTACAAGTGCAAGTTCTCTATACAGAACGTGCTGCGGATCTCACAGGCCCAAAATCAAACGAAGGGTTTCCTCGGTTTTGGCAACGGACAAATGTCTCAGAGTGAGCGCAGCAGCATCTCTTTGAGAAACCTGCACTTGGTATCGAGTTGGCACATAATAACTTGCACACGTTCCCCTTCGGCAGTCCCTCACTGAAACCTTTTGAGTGTATATCACTTTCCAGAATGTTTTGGTTAAAGTCGGAATAGCACTTCAATCCATCCGAAAAAGAAACACCTTCCAAGTCAGTCACACGGATTTTTTTGGTGGAACGACAACCAGCGGGGACTCACGGACACTGAGAAAAAGAGGAACGCAACAATCAGGAAGTGAGACATGAGAAAGCTAAACTCTTCCCAACGACTTGGACCCTGTTAGCATGCATCTGAGTGCCAGAACTTGGCCGGGACCTCGAACGACCAGAAAAATAACACGCTAGCTCACCACGGCAGCCCTCAGCTTCGTTTCGCCTCCACCAGACTCAACGAACGGCACTCGCCACGGCTGCTGCGCTTGCCGCTCCCCACCCCCCGTCCTCCACGTGTCACCCTCTGGCGCCCCTGCGCTAGCAGGGTTCTCCGCAATTGCACTTCGTCTTTCCGAGCTGGACAGACCAGATACGGGCCGCGAAACGTCATCTGACACCTTAGGAACGGCTTCGAAGAAGCCTTTTGGACCGTCCGAAAGGTCTACCGGACGTCCCAGCCAGGACGGCAGATCCTGAAGCTGTCCGTTCGGCCCGCTGCCAAGCTCCGCCACTGCCCGGAGGTGGAGCTGACTCCGCTTATCCACGTGCACCTCCGCATCCTGACAAACGGGCGACTCCGCCGGAGGGCCGAGATTGTGTCCTTCCTGAACGACCGTTCGCTTCACCAGCACCCGGGACAGGACTAACCGAGAGGGGACGCCGGGTTTGCTGAGCGGCGCACCAGCGAGCGGGCTGGAGGAACGGGGTTCGCTATCGGACACAACTTCTCGTGTGCTCGATATTGGCTGGGACGGGGCAACAGCGGGCGGAGCACGCTCGGTGGCGGGAAGGGGTTTGGAAAAGCCGGGCGGGACAGACGCGCCCGCGTTGTTGGGCTGTGCTAGCCTGCCGGCAGGCCCAGCCTCTGGAGGGGGGGTGGGGACGCTCGCCAACTGGCTGCTGAATGCTTTTAAAAGCGGAGTCCGGGAAGAGGGCTCCCGAGGTGCCATGCCAGCTGGCAGCCTTTCCCGCACCTCCGGAGGCTGCTTCGGTTTCTCGGGCGGCTGCAAAATGAGCTGGCTCACAAAGCCCCCCCTAGGAGCTCCACCCGCAGGGCTGCCTGCGCTTAGTGGATTCGCCTCCCCAAACGGTTTTCTAGGGTCTACCGGCGGAGTCCACCGCCGGTCATCTCGCCAATGAGAGGACTGCGCCGTTTGGCGCTTCCGCCACTCCAGCGGTTCTGGCGCCTTCGTCTCCTGCCGCCAAGTGGGTCCCGCTGTTTCCGCTGGCCGCCGCTCTGCTTCGTCCGGTTTCCGCCCCTCCTTTGCCTTCATATCAGGTTCCTCCTGTCTTTTCATTTGTTTCCCTTCCGTTGCGATTGGAGTCTCCCGTCCACTAGTTTCTGCCTGCGTCGCTTTTCTACTTTCCAGTACGGCCAACCACCCTTTCCCGGTCTCCTTTGATGATGGCCTCCCATTTGGACCTCCGTTTGCCGAGTGAGCCCCGTGAAAATGAGCAGCGCGGGAATCTGAACCGTTTTCGTGGTCGCCTCCGCTCTGCTCTGCGTGATCATCGTCATCCTCGTCATCTGAGATAAGATTGAACCCGGGGACGGCGTTGAGAACCGCGTCCAGATTCGACATGTCGTCATCTGCCAGTCCGTCTAGATTCTCGGGCAGGTCGTCGTACCCAAGGTCCACGCTGTCCGATTGGTTCTTAGCCCCATCCGACGTTGGCGCTGCATCCGCCCCTTCTCTCTCCGTGGCACCAGTCGAACTTCTCACCGCCGCTTCCCCTTTCTCTCCTTCCCCCTCCGGACCTAAAAGGTTAAATGCAGAGTCTGATATCCCGACCGGACTGACCGCCGCTTCCACGAAACCGTCCGGAAGCTGCACGTCCCAGTCCGTGTCCTTCTTCCGGGCGTCCGCACTTGGGATACTCAGCGACTTGGAAAGGGAGTTTTGAGCTCCTCCCAACGCTAACCCTTTGAGGGCTGATGCGGCCAGTTTTGACGGGGGCTGCCAAGAGGGCGAATCCGCATTGAGCGCGCTCTTTGACGGCTCAGGAACTTTGACGGTAGGCTGGGTTTGGGTGGGGGTAGCGGGTTGGAATTGAGTTTGGATTGGGTTTGGGGATGGGGTTTGGGTTTGGGGCTTGGATTGGATATGACCTTGAGTTGGGGTTGGAGATGGGGTCCGGATCCGGGGCTTGAGTTGGGGTTGGGTCTTACTCTCCACAAGGTTGGATAGCTTTGAAGCGGGCAGGTCCTGTGAGCCGCTCGCCCTTCTGGTTGGGGGTATGTACGCCTGAGTAAGCGGGTTTAGAGCTTTCGCGTTCCGTGCCTTGGGCGGGGAGGTCTTCAGTGAACCACGTGCAGAGCCGCGTTGCGCATCAATGGGGCTCTGCTCCTGGTCACGGTTGCTGCGGGGGAACATATTTCGTCTCAGCTTCGACCTTTGGAAAAAATACATTTTCAGCAAAAGCTGCAGCTGTTGATAGACGCCAAAATCGACGCAACGTTCTTGTGACCGTTCTCGAAGCAGACATAATGAAGCATTCAACGTATCCTCAGGCGCAAGCATCCAGCAAGGAGCAAGATGATGGCGGGACAATTGACCGGAGGCCTGAGGTTTTGCAGCATTTGCCACCACTTTTGGGGCTTGCTAAGTCGTCAGTATGGAGTATCTTACGTGTCTGCGCTGCCCCCACGGTTCCGACTGGCCGACACAATCTCAATGCCAACAACCGACGCTGCAGCAGCATTGGCAAGGATGGACAACCCTGCACGGACACTCTCAAAAGTCAAACCAATGCTATACGAGCACTCCCACGCATCACATGACGAGTCCTAGGATCCCACACTGGAAAACGACGTGATTACCCAGATCGAGCATTGAAGACCTGCGGCCGAGTCATCCAACTCGGACGCTATCGTAGGCCCCACACAGCTGGTGTACTTCGCTTGTCCTCCTTTCCTGCGTTTCCATCTACTCCGGACGCACAGAAAGCAGTGCTGCCAGACACCAACCTTCTCGGCTGTCGCTGGGCTGGTTCTGACCATCTTGTGACGGGTCGTTCGTGGTTGACGGTAGGCCCAGCTTGTGCAGTCGAAGTATTGACTCGATGGACCTTCGCCGCCCGCTGCGGATCATGTCACCATGACGGTCGACAATCTCAGAAACAGCGGTAGCTGCCATGCGGGCCTGCACATCGCCAGAGGCCGAAGGCTTGTTGGCACAAGCCCGTGGAATCTGATGTAGCACAAGTGCAGCGGAGAATCGACATGCTTGCATATGTGGACGAGAATTTCAGGCCGATCACTGGGTCATGCAGAACTCACTAACTCAGAATACTTCATTGGACGGTATGCTCAGAACAACATGAAAGCAAAGAGCGATTTCTCGACATTTCCAAAATCCTTTGTGACGACGGTGGCCCGCTCCCGCTCATCCTTGTTCAAGTGCTCGAATATGCCCGTCGATGAAACCTGGAAATTGCAATCTCAACGACTGCCTGAAACGCACCTTGGTGTTCTCAGTGGCAGGCCTCTCATCGCCGAAGGGCGTGATGAACTTGCAGAGATCAACCACCAGGTTGTCCAGGACGTCACTCATATGATGCGCCGCTGAGATCTTGGCCGCGGCAAGAAAGCCGGCCACGCACTGCTGGAGCGTGTCCGCTTTCTCCGCGTGATCAAACACTGCGGCACAAGCAGAAGGCGGTAGTTAGATGTTGTGCAGCATCAACCCTTTTGCACGAGGCGGCAATAAATCACGTGAAGACGAGACGCCTTCTGTTGTCAAAGCAAACAGCCAGCGCAGCAGGACCGAAGAGTGCACCCTATGTCGAAGGGCTTGAAAGGATCACAATAATTACACTCCTGGTATTAATACCACCTTTTTTACTTGCCAATAGGGTCACTCGGAGAAAGTGGTGCTCCTGCAGCTCACTGGATTCTGGTCAAACGACCCATGCGACCGTTTGCATCTGGCTGAAAATGCACCGGGCCTACTAACCCCGTTCTTGGAAGCAGAGACGGTTCCTTACCAGCTGAGATGGCTGCGATCGCTGGCCCCCAGATGACGGAGAACATGTCGCGGTCGAGCAGCGGCTCGGTTGGGTCGCAGGAGAGGAAGGGCGTCGTGGCCTGGGAGCGCCGCAGCAAATCTAGCCACCGGCCGTGCGTCATGCTGGGCTCTGCAACCAGGCTCTCGCTCGACACGGGGATCTCTGCGACAAGCAAGGATGAGGGCTCAGCGTGTTTTCTGGCAGACCAGGGAATTCGTGTATAGGATCGTCCTTTCGCGAAGAAAAGAGTCGCAAAGGAAGGCCTCAGGTAGGCAGGTTGCTTGGGCTCCGAGGATCTATATAGTAACGCCGCTGGGTGCATGGAAAGATAGCATTCAATTCGACAATACGTGCTTAAGCTGCCACTATCAATTCAGTACCTTGTTCCGTCCGCGGGTACCCTTCGACGGGATGGAAGAAGGTCAGAGCATTCAGCTTTTCATGACCCAGTTTCCAAGACCCGTCGCAAGTTTACACTCTGCATGCCAACTCTCGTCTTGTAGGAAGAAGCAAAGTGCTAGAAACGTTGCTCGCTTTTGTTACCCGAAGCTTCACAGCTGAGGATATCAATCATCGCTCTGAATCGTGCTGCTTACTCACCGTTTTCTGCAATCGACCGGTACAGCTGTGTGAGCATCTCTCGAGGCAGCTCCTTCCCGACGTTGATCTTTTGATTGCTTCGGATGAAGTCTTCCTCTGTCACCTTCCGCGTTACCTAGGCACAGCAACGGCACTCGACGTCAGAATAAGCAGCTGCCTTATAAAGGGATAACATGCTGAAGCCTATCGGGCACCTTTCGGAACGTTACCCGGTAAACTGTCGAATTTGAGGTTTCGTTCAAAAGACAAAATAGGAGCACATTATCATCTGCAGGCCTCACGAGAGCCGTTGGATCTTTCAACTTCAGCATCTGCGGTCACCATGATGCCTGCATATACACCTCAATCGGCACTTCCAAGCTGCCACTCACTAGACCAAGGGTTGAAAGTGGCCTACTCCTGAACGGGCCTGCAATCTACGACCTTTACTGTGGAAAAGACAAGTTAAGCGGGAGTACGCCCACCTTTTTGGTGTGCAGGTTTGAGTTAAGCATGAGAACTGAGTGTGAGAGCGCAGAGACAACGTCCTCATGAGCAAATACCTGCGGGCAGCCCGAGGAGATAGAGCACGTAAACACTCTGACAAAATCCGCCAGAGATTTTACACAAGCGTGCACGTTGGCATCATGTAACTGCAAACTAACGTTGCCGTTCGAGGCGTGCATTCAGAAGGAGACCACCAATTCGAAGGGGTTTAACCAGAGGACAACGCATTCGAGGAACGTTTTGAAAGACACGTTCATAGACAGGACAACTCGTTCGTGAGCAGCAGGCAAATTCCCTGTGCGGCATCTAATTCGAAGGGCTTTAAGCAGAGGACAACGCATTCGAGGAACGGTTTGAAAGACAAGTTCACAGACGGGACAACTCGTTCGTGAGCAGCAGGCAAACTCCCTGTGCGGCATCTGTTTCTGGCACCACACAGGTCTGGAACAACCACACTTGCAGCTTTAGGCCTTGCCTGTGGACACTGCTCGTAGTAGTGAGATGCGAATGACTCGAGCACCCTGCTGATCTTCTGCGCCTCCCCAGGCAGCCGGAACGCCTCCAGGTACGTGCGCAGGGCGCCGTCGAGGGCCATCCCCGTGAAGTTGAACTGCTTCGTGAAGCACTCCAGGATGCTGATGTTGAACGAGTCAGACGAGCTGAGGTAATCCCCCAAAACGTTCTGCAAGTTGGAAGGAGTAGATGTTGTTACGACGGGTCGTCCTTTAGCCAGCGCTCGAAATGTACATATCAGTAACATATCTCAACGATCAAGAGCCGGCGACCCGACTGGGCGCCTTCGAAAACAACGGCAATGAGGGAAAGCGGCCTTGACGCCCCTCATAAGCAAGAGGAACAAGCCGCAAATGCATCAGTTGATGCAACAAGAAAGCCCCTTTGTTGACGATGCGACACGTGCACATCTTTCATGCAGATCCTAGTAAAGATATGATTATGCTGTTCTGCATAAAAAGTTGGTCGAGAATGCCAACCTTGTCAAGCCCAGGCGTCAAGTACAGGAAGAAGGCGACACTGGCTGGGTCTAGCTGCTCAGGAAGGAGGTGGACGTTCTGAAGGAATTCTAGCCCCTGCAAACGGGCATGATATGATTGTTAGCAGACAGGCTCTGATCGGAAGAAGAGGACTTCTTTATAATGCAAGTCGCTCTGCAGTAAGCAACTAATGAAGGACGAGGATCTGCGCAGTGCTCTTGTTCCTGAAGAATGAGCCTCGCCTGAAAGATTCAAATTCCGCCACATGCAAGGAAGTCCACAGTCCACAATCCGTAGCCACTGAACTACTTCTTGCTGGTGCTAGAGAGTGGTGCAACGCGCGGAAGCTTGTGCCTTACCGAGTCAACTTTGGCACGTTAGACTAAGAAGGACTCCAAAAGGCACTGAAAGAAGGATGGCTCACCCTAATGGGGTCTCGGTTGAAGTGGTCCGCTCCAATCATGAGCCGCCTCTTTACATACTTTTGCCGCCTTAGGAACTCGACCCACACCTCAGGGTCCTCCCAGTTGTCGCAATTGAGGGTCCAAAAGTGCGGGACCTCCGCCAGGTTGTACTCTGAGCTCGAAGAGCCGCTGACTGCGCCGAGACACGTTGAGAGAACCGTTTGAGTGCCCTTATGCTTCAAAGTGAAGCCTCCTGCTCTTCGTCTCTTCATTCCAAAGTTGTATGTTCCAAGGCATATAACGCCAGAGACATAAGCAAACTTTTGAGAGTACTTGCAGGATGAGGCATGGAGGTTGACAATAAAGACTGTCGTTCAAAAAGTAGCAAAAGAGCCTTGAAAAGGAAGCCACGATGCATTGCGATGGTCGTAGTTTGTAACTTGAAACATTTTAGAATACGAGACCTTTTCCGTCTCCCAAAACGAGGTTGGGACCTCTCTGCTACCCCTTACACCCCCGTCGAGAGTAAGATGCATACTCGGACATGCGCTGAAAATCGTGTCCGAACATACACGACCAGTTTTACAAGGTAGGAGCGCAGGACAGTGCAACGCATTACCTGACGCGTTGTCTGCCCGGTCGGCCATGCACTGAACGACGGCCAGCAGCCCTTCGAAAGACAGCAGGTTCAGCGCGGAGAGGGTGGCTTTGTCTGGGAAAGCATTCTTGGACAGAAGGTTGCTCAGGTTTTCTGCAGCGAGCCAAAAAGAAAGGCTTCGATTACGTGCTGTAAAGCTACAAGGAACGGTTCATCCGAACCACGGATCCTTCGTCTATTTCATTCACGGGGCTCTCAAAATTCTACCACGGTGACCAATAGTGTCATGACCTGAGTTGCTTCAACATAACTTGTCTACACGAATTTTAATAGGAAGAGCCAGGACAGGGCGGACACAAGATACCAGCAGGAATAAGACGCAAATCATCAGAGGATCTATTATAGAGAAGCTCGTTACAGAATCACTTTGTATCGGCAAGCATCATCCACTTCTTGTGGCAAAGACGAGGCGTTTGGTCACGAAATAGATAAGACCAATTGCTCCCCTGCAAATTCAAAACTCGGCCCGGCCTTACCAAAGGTGTTGCCGCAGGTGATGTCACCGTCAGCGTTGGCGTACATCTCAGATATGAAGGACGGCTGTCGGCAAAAGTCTTGTAGGATCTCCAGTGCCGCCTCTTGCTGGTGATACCCTCCCTGCGGAATACGTGGGCATCATCATCTGGTCATGCAAAGCAAGTCTATATGATATCTATTAGCATGCCCATCACTTGAACATCCAATCCTAACATCACCCTTACTCGTACTGACTCCCGATACGTCAAGCACGCCCAAGCGAGCCTTTCGCGCTCTGCTTGAACGGAAGGTTAGATACGATGGTACAAGCGGCTTTGAGCATAGCCCTGGCTAATGGCCAAGTAGAAAGACATACTGCTTCGAAGCTAGTCGTCGAGGGAGCTTCTCAAACAGGCAATCAACTATCGACCATGCGTTCTCACATGCTGAAACAAGACGAGACCACCAGCGCGAGCATGCCGTTCGCCACAACCACTGAGTCGGGCCCTACCTGGGCGGCTCGAAGTACGACGTTCTCGAAGAAGGCTGCCATCTGCAGCTTGAGATGACGCTTGAAGTGCCAGTAGAGCCCCCGTACGATGCTCGACACCAGCGACAGCACCAGCAGGTTGCTCGACTGCCCCGCCTGCATTAGGTTCCGGAACAGGTCGTCCGTGACCAGGGCCAGAATGCGCGGGTGCCTCTCGCAGGAGCCCCCCGCGACCTCGATGGCAGCGCTCAGCAGCGCCAGGCCAAACTGAGTTCGGTCCTGTAAAGCAGAGAAGGGGTCAGCATTCAATTGCTATTCTTTGGGCAACCGGACGGATGTTGTTCGAGCCCGGTGAAATTGTTTCTGGCTGCTGTCGGAGCGAGCCTACGGAAAAGGCGTATCTGTAAGCAACGGACGACTTTGATGAGACGAGAAACGGAGAGATGACGATCAAGACACAGCTTCGACAGGCCCTTTCCCGACTTTGCGGAGGCCTGCCACCTAAGGAGAATTGAAATCTACGGGCTGCAAATGGCACGGCTTACCTCGTGCTGCGAGGACTTTCTGTCGGGCACAATTAGCGAACACAGGAGCCGAAGTACTTCCACCAGACACGGCAGGCCGTATGGACTCGTTTGTGACAGCTCCTGCGGACCATTGCCAATCTCCGCAGACGCCGGCACTCTTTCTGGCCCGGCACCAAGTCGGCTCGAATCGGCCGTTTCGGACGCTCCCGCTGGACCGTCTGAAGACTTGGACAGAGACCGGACAGGGATTCCTGCGTCCGTCCTGTTTGCGGTTCTTTCATTCCCGTCAGATCTAGCAGAGCTCTTGGCAGGCGCCGAAGCCGTAGCCTCCCCCGAGGAGGTTACATCTGTGTCGAGATCCGTGGCATCTACTCTAGGGAGGCCATCCTCTGCGGGCCCGAATTCGTGAAGCCTGGAAAGACGAGGAGTGATGATTTAGCAACTTGCTAGGAGGGCACAGAAACCTTAAACGTAAGTTGGAAGCACCGAGATACTTTGGGCATCTGGTGAACATCTCGCATCGAACCATAGAGATGCTTCAACAAAGAGCACTGTCTTCCAATTGTCACTAGCTTGTTGCCTCACGCTGCGTACGAATTCTGAAAACCACATTTCCTTGGACTTGTCCCTCGCACTGCGACCGAAGTCAGTGGACGACGCGTTTCTTTTTGTCCCAGCCGCCTCACCTGCCGAAGATGGCACGGACAATATCCTGCATCGTCTGGCATATCATGCGCTGCAGCAGCTTGCCTTTGGCGAAGGCCACATGCAGGCACGTGTTGATGATGTTGATCACGTCAGCGTTCCTCAGCAGCGGGCCCGCCCCGCACCTGAGGCACGCCAACAGGACCTGCAAAGAATGAAGCGTCAGCGGTTGACTCCTTGGATGAGCACAAGGACAGTTTCAAAGACCAAGTTTTGAACCGCGCTTTTGCGAAATCAATGATTCGAGGACAGATCACAGTCCCTCCAACCTTGACCCTCCTTCTCTTTTACTCAGAGCACAAATGGAATTGATGATCACTCTAGTCCACTCGATTTTCAAGTGACGCCTGGGCTGCCATTCATTATAGTACCTCCTATTTCCTATCTCAAGTGGACAAAGGCAGGAACCCACCATGTGTTGCTTGACGCTTCCCGCTTTTATTTTGTGGGCAGGAGACATAGAAGGCGTTGCTTTAACTCAGTGAACAAGACAGCACGTTCACCGAATTACGATCAGCAGGAATTGACGCTGCTCACCTGTCCGATCTGCAAAAGGACAAATTCCTCAGATGCTGGGTCACTCGCTCTGAATTCGCAGCCCGTCACCGCATCCACGATCAGATGCATTGCCTCAGCCGCGTCGACCGACTCCTTGTCTGAAAGGATTTGCACGATGTCAGTCTTCGGAAAAGTTTACTTCTTGTGTTTCGTTACATGAAAGTGCCCAGCCTCTTTGGTCCATGTACATGCAAAACCTACTAACTCTCAGGTTACATGGGTGCCATGTCTTTACATCTCGAATCGACAGAGCAGCTGAAACCTTTATTTGGTCCAAAGGATTACAGATAGACTCTCACACTGTACAGTCAAGCCAAAATCTTACAAAAAATTGGAAAAGAAGTACGAATCTCCGTTGTGCTACACCTTGGTGTGACAGTCCTACCGTTCGGTTCCAAGTTCAATGGGTCAAAAATAAGTGCTTGTCACAAGCTCTCTCACATACCCTCATGACTTCCAAGTTTGTTCAACGACTGTTTCTTCTGCACAATTGAGCTTATTGCAGAATCTGATCAGGTCAAAGTAAACAAAGAAAATCATCCAATTTGAGGACTCACGGAACATCTCAAATGTCACTATCTTGTAGACTGCCAGGAGTGCTACTCCTGTGACAGGGGCGCTTGTCTCCTTGGAGCGAATCAGCCCAAGGAAAGGGGCCAGATAGTCCATGGGCTTCACTGTCGCCCAATCTGCAAGAAACGCAAACGCTGTCAGCGCCAACTCTTCAAGGAGCAAAAGCTAGTCGCAGACTTCTGAGCTGGCGGCAAGTAGCATTCTCGGGGCGAAGTCTTTCTTGAAGTAATTAAAGGTTGGACCGAGGATGATTTGTCTGACACCATCAACCCATCAATTTTCCACTCGTAAGGAATAAGTATAATTATACGGGGAATCTGACGATCACAAAAACAGGAATCCAACTCTTGTAGGATTGTCCAGGTCATGTCAATGTCTCTCCCACGAGCTGGTACCGGAAGAGACCGGTAAAGTGCACACATGAATATCTAGCACGCACATGGCACCGCTTTGCTGTAAGAACTTGAATCACGGTCCTTGCTTTTGGTCACCAGTTCCAGAGAACCTCAGTGCATACAGAATTGGCTCATGACCAAGCTGGTGTTTTTATGCAACACATGAGGCAGTCAAAGTAACAGCAGTAAATAAGGCAGCACGTTGAAATTTTTATAAGGGAACACAATCGCTTACGTTTCCATGCGAATATGTCCCTACTTAGATCTTTGAATTCCTGTAGAAAAGGGCCTCCACAAACAGCCTCGTCCTGCGATAGAAGAAAGATGAATGAGACCGGTATATCATTCCAAGACCACTGTCATTGATTACAACAAGATTGGCATGGGTTTCTAGAAGTTTAATGGCCAGGAAATCAATAACGACGGATATCGCATTGGCCGTTTGCAGCACAACACGTTGGCAATATAGTCAACAAGCTTCGAAAATCTCAACTCTGCATCGACATGACTGCAATATGTTGACTGCTCCATTCCAGCAAAACGTGTAGTCACCCCAAAAGCGTGCCCGAATTCTGCCTAGAGTTTGAGATGTCTTTAAAAACTGATAACAAGAAGTGCCACCCAAAATCAGAGACTTTTGAACGACAGCAGCGCAGAGAGCAACAATTCTGCTTCACCAAAATATTTAAGGCTGAATTGTTTTGCCAGCTTCAGGTTCCAAAAAAATCCCCAACCGACCCTTTGAATTGCGCAGGACACATCAAGCTGGTGGAAGTGCTTGACTTTTGGCGTCAAAACCAATGGACAATCTTCAGTACCCACATACTTCCTCCAAAAACACAGGACTCTCCCTTTGTCATCATCCCGCGTTTGAAGCACTGATATGGCAAAGGCGCAAAGCTTACCAGGTTCCTTGGAACATCAGCCCACTGTGCGTCCTGCCTCATCATCGCAATCACCTGGTCGACCTCTGTCATGATCAGACAAGCCATGTGAGCCCCTGTCCACCTTGTGCCCTCACCAACGGTCGCCACCTGGGGCCCTGTCATCTTGCCCTGCACACTTTGCTCTTGCGACCAAATCAAGCCATTCCCATGAGGCTAGTGTAGGTGGAATGATATCGCGCCTGTCATCGTCTTCGCCTCCAAGGTGCATTTCATCGGAAATGCAGAGTTCTGATCTCGGAGCTCCCCCTGAATTTGAGCCACTAGCTTCTTGTTTAAGGATTAACCTTGGATGTTAAACCAAGCGGCTTTCAAGTGACACAGCTCTGGGCCACAAACCTCCACTGGACACGTTGTGCCGCATGTGTTTGCGGGAAGGTGTAGAACAAGGCCTTCGTTCCCATACTAACCAATGCTTTAACCCTCAGTTCTTATTGCTGACCATACTGCTCAGCTGCGCACGACACTCTCACGAGTTCCAAGGGCGTCGTGCACACGGCGACCGGATGCCCCAAATCCTACCTTTGGAGTCGCTCAAATCCCACGTGCACTTGAATCTGCAGCGACATGGAGTCGTAATCGATTATTTGGATGTCGCCGGAAATACACATGGGGCAGCTACCGTAGACGCCCGTTGCCACGGGCCACGGCCCACAGCCACATCAGCCTCATGGGCGCTGGCGGCTGGATCAGTCGCCTTGTCTCACATTTCCTCTCTAGAGCTCTACACTGGGGCGAGAGTTCCAAGGAGGCCACCTATGCTCTGTTGATTTTGGTGGATCAGCAAGATGCGGGTGCTCTGCCAGCCATACTGGGTAATGAAATGCAGCGTCTTTGAGATGTCAGGTATGAGCGTAAACTGCCTCACGCAAAAGGCACACTTCCAAGGTAGAGCAACAATAGTAATGAACGGAGTACATCCATTCTGAATCTTATGAAGCTGCTCTGAAGCCCTCCGATTCGATCCTTCTGTTGCTGTTAATAATACTGATATGGTTTGATCTGCTTGGCACTCCAACGCAACCTTCTGCAGGGTAAGAAAGGGGCGATCTTTGGGCCAGCCACTAAGTGTCAGATGATGTCACTGATGCGGCCCCGGTGGCGTCTGAAGAGTGACACCTTGTCAAGGTGTCACTCAAAGCCAGTGCAGGCAACCAAAGGGAGGAGCTTAGCTTGGTACCATCATTAGGGTTTGGTCCCAGAGTGCCTCATCATCGACATGGCGCTTCTGTGTGCTGCCCATGCCCGCGGTGCACTCCTCGGCATTATTGTCCTCCTGTTGCTGAGGACATTGAAGGCGGATCCGGGGGACGGTGAGTATTACCTCTTGGTGAAGTGATGCAGCATTGGTGCAAGGCCGAAGGCAAAGGAGCTTGAAAGGACCGCTCCGTTGTTATCATCAGTCGCTTACTTTTCTGGTTCCCCTCATATCGACCGTTCTACAATTGGCTTGGAGTAGCTGTAACCAACATACAGTGCATTTATCTGTGTTTTAATGTTGCCCTAGACAACAATTGTTCTCAAAGAGTCAAAACAAAGGCGTTCTTGATAGTAACCTGCTGCCACCAGTCAATCCTGGTGGGGTCGTGGAACTGTACATAGCTGCTCATTCATCTATACGTTGCATTCTTTGCTGCAATGCAATGTGCCAGTCCGCATTTGATGAGCTGCGTGTGCTAACTCTAGTTATCCAAAGGAATTGCACATCAGGGTGTTGTCAATGATGTCCCTATGAGGTGTGCATCTTCGAGTTGTTCGGCTCATGGCAAGCCTGGGACTTGATGGTGAACGGTTTTGCAAAATGACTCGAGTCAACCCATTCACTTCGTGCTGCTTTGTGTTGAGCGCATCAAGGCTCAAGCCCCTCTGACGCGGAGCCTGGTGTTGGCAGGTGCCGCATTGCTTGAGTTCAAGTGGGGCCTTAAGAACCCCCAGGTGGTGGCGTCCTGGTCCGAGGCTGTAGGAGATCCCTGTGTTCCAGGCCAAGCCTGGCTGGGGGTCACATGCTCTGGCCTCCGGATTGTGCAGCTGTAAGCAATGCTACTTCTCAATCACCTGGCCAGTGGTGTCGCAGCCGGTTGCCCCATCCTCAACACAAAGTTTTTGAGAAGCTGTGCCGCACTTTGCATTCAGTTGCATCCTTGCTATGCTTCAGAATGGGAGGTCTGACCTCGTCTGGTGGACGCATAGCGTCGCACTCAAATACCAGGCTTGTGTGACGAAATTGCATCCACAATGCTATGTCACAATTCGATTCCTCAAATTTTCCCCTCCTACAGCGTACTAGACAGTCTGGACTTGTCTGGGCCACTCACTCCTGGGCTGGGCAACCTGGGGGCGCTACAACGCTTGCAGCTGGCCAACAACAGCCTTGCATCCAGCATTCCCAGCTCCTTTGGCCAGCTCACTAATCTGCAGACCCTGTAAGTTGCCACCTGTCCTCTTGCATTTAGCTTAGCTGGCAATCGGTTACCTTCTAAATTTCGGCCTTATCTTCCATCAAGTTCTGGTCGGTCTGTCAATCAATCAGTGCATGTCTCAAGCCATCAGGCTATGTAGCTGGGGACTTCAACCTGCAATGACTAACAAATCCATTGTAAGTTTATGCGAGCTCCGGGGCTGACCTTTCTTATTCAGCCGCTAGCTTTCACAAAGAGAATCTACGGGGCGCTGGGCAACTGTTCGAAGCGCAGGCGTCCAGTGTTTGTTCAATTGGCCATATCATATGACATCACTCTTTCAGGGTACTTGTAGACAATAAGTTGGAGGCGCCGTCGTCCAATGCATCACCGCACTTACAGCTGCTTGTTCACTGGTTGCAGCGACCTGCGGGGCAACCTATTAACGGGGAGCATCCCTGCGGAGTTGGGAAGTTTGCGTGCCCTTAGCTACCTGTAAGTGCACTCCGATCCCTTCACCCCAATCATGTGTGTCCTTATTTTGCCCGCACGTTACAATCTGCCCTTTTTTCCGCAAGGCGAGTGCGTAAGATGCTTGGTGCGCCGTAACCTGCATTCTCAGTGCGCTGCATCCCCCCGACCTCCTCAAGCTTTGAGCAACTGGTCACGGTGCTCGTGTCTCTGTGCAGTGATCTTTCATTCAACGGGTTCTCTGGCCAGTTTCCCAGTGCCCTGGGCAGCCTCAGTACGCTCACCTATTTGTGAGTCTGCCCTACCCTTGTGCCCAAATTTGTTCTCGCCGCTTTTGCTGTTTCCTTGATATGAGATTGCACCGTCATGGTGCAGTCAGGAAGAAAGCTACTTTTGCCCTCTACTTCGAAGTAATCCATTTCTGAAAGCTGAGCCTGATCTTTACACGGCAACACAGTTGCTGTGACTGCCGCCTTTCGATATTGGACAAGCTCCAAGTCTTATCATATAATCGGACGGTACCTTGAGCATGCGTTGTGACGCCTGAGACCACTGCTTTGCCTGCAGCTCTGTGAGCGGCAACCTTCAGCTGACGGGGGCCCTCCCGTCCACACTCGGCCAGCTCTCCCGTTGCACCACGCTCCTCCTTGACAACAACCAGTTCCAAGGACCGGTCAGTTATTTTACCAGCTCTGTACCCTCTGATATTCCCTCTGATTCTGCCCAACACGATTTGAGCTGTATGGGGTGCTTTCTTAGCTACTGAGCACTGAAAGCTGAAGAGAATTGTCGAGCCAGAAGTTGAACTCTGATTATGAGCGGAGAATCAATGAAGCAACGTCAGGTGGAACTGACAAAGCCACCATGCCCCTTCACAAAAGAGGAAAGCGGTCCAGTTTCTAGGGTCCGACGAAAGGCAGCTTGGACTTCTGACTTCGAACTTGGGGCCTTCCTTATTGGTAAAGCGGCCTGAATCTTTATGCTCCTCTGTTGCCTTCGAAAAGCGATCCCCCTCTCAATTACATCAGACTGAATGTGCAGGTCCCCGACTCATTTGGCAACTTGAGTGCCCTTGTCACCTTGACCCTGGTAAGCCCGCGCTCAGGGCCTTGAGTATATATGCGGATATGCATGCGAGAATATATGGAGCGACCTTACAATTTCACTTTAGACCGCTTTTCATTTCACCCCTGGTTTTGACTGGCCCATCTCCACGATGATGAGTTTGGAGATTGGTTCCTGTCTATTAGAAGTTGAAGGTGAACAGCACCATCGAGAAATTGGGCAGTCTGTGCAGTCTGTGGACATGTAAATCAAGCAGCGTCTACGGTTTCAGCCGGGCTCCTCTTGGTTCAACGTGGACGACCCTTTGTATCCGACTGTGCAGGAACACAATTCGCTATTCAACAACCTGCCCTCCACCTTCGCCAACCTGGTCAACCTCGAAACTCTGTAAGTGCAATACCCCTCCGCCTTTCCGTCGCTTTACCCTTTCCGTCCTACTTCGTCTGAAGACGTTGTACCAGGATATAGGTACTTAGGTTGAATGTTGTGGCTTGCAGTGAGACCGATCGATGCATTGTGTCACATGGACCTAGTTCGACTTTCATACAGTGTGAGAGCACATCATTAAAGAACGAAACCTCTCATGTGCGCAGCTTGCATCAGGGTCTTGGTTTCTGTACTCAGTCCCTCAAATGAGTGGGGTCCAAGCGCCCAGAGTTCTGATGATTCCGGGACTGGTATGCCCACTGTCGGACGCTTTTGAGTTTGGACTAACAAGCCAGGCATTGACGTTGGACCAGATGTTTCAGTCTGCGTCTGTAGCAAGAGCGCGTGTGTGAAGTGCGGCTCGCCTCCTGGTGACACTTCGACAGAATAGTCGCATCTTGCAGTTGTTGACGGATCAACTGAACAGAGGGTTCATTTTGGAATCCCCTGTCTCAATCGAAAGCGGATGAAACGGGCGAGCAACACAGGCACATCAGACTCACCACCGGTCAGGAGTACAGTGGCTATACATTAGCTCTCGTCCGCTGCATCCTTACTGAATTTCCGTTGCTGTGCAGCACGGCAGGGTACAACCAGCTGAGCGGGCTACTGCCGGCGTTTCTAGGCACGCTACCGCGCTTGCGCACCGTGCGCCTCAATAACAATGGCTACTCGGGGAGCATCCCGGCGGGCCTCAACCGGGGGGGGGCGCTGCAGACGCTGGACATCAGCAGCAACTATTTGACGCAAGCGGTGCCCGCCAGCCTGCTCACCATCCCGTTCCTCAAGTGAGCACACCAGAACGGTTCATCTGCTGGGTCTAATTTTCAGAATCGTTCAGAGTGTCTGTGAATCCGAAGTTAGTGAGACCAGCGAAGTTGGTCCTCGAGGCCTTCTTTGGTTCATTCTTTCATTGTCGACCCTCTTCACGAAGAGCCTTGGTCACATTCTTGCAGCTTCAGAATATGCTACCCGGTCTGTGTCTGAGGGTTGGTTGCATATGTTCATAGTCGCGTAATTCTCAACGAGCTCAAAGTGAGCGAGTGTGCTCTTGAAGTGCTAAAGCCAACCCTGACGCACCGCTGTTTTTGAAACAGTGTCAGCAACAACCGCGGCCTGTGCGGAGCGCCAGGCCTGCCCCTCTGCTCCGACGGCTCCTCCCCTCCATCTCCAGAGACGAGCCCTATTGGCCCTCCAGGCATGCCACCGCCCCCAGGTACAAATCTCCTTTCGTGCTTTTGTTATGCCAGCGGAACACAAAAGACGGACGTCGCACACTTTCAGCACGAAATTATATGGCACCAGGTCTGTGCTTCCGTTCCGTTTCCCCTGCTTCTTGATCAGTGGAGTATCAATCAAAGAAACTCAGGGCCTGCTTAAGGATTCTCTTGTTAGGTTTTTCAGCACAGGTAGCAAGACTACTCGCCCTTTGCCACGTCATCCAGCGTGCTATAGCCTGCTCGGTCACATGAGTGCTCCGCGCCCCTCAAAACGACTGGCAGGCTGCAGATCTCCATAAAGATACAGTCAGGGCAAAGAAATTTTGATTTGCCTTCCGTGTCGTCTTTTCTCAGCTCATCAACTTGCCGTGCAGATGGCATAGGCAGGGGCGGTGGAGGTGGGTCCGACTCAGGGACGACGGCGGGCATCGTGGTGGGCGTGCTTCTGGCGATGGTGCTCGTGATCGCGGGGGGCGCGTTCCTGGTGTGGCGGCGGCGACGGGGGCTTAATGACGTGGCATCGCCAACCAGCAAGGGAGGTGAGCGGGAGAGATACTGCGGCAGAGCCGAGTCTTTATGAGTTAGGAGCAGAGCCGGACCGTGTGCCTTTATCAGATGATTGCAAAGACCAGTGAAGACTTCCTGCAAAAGTGTGGAGCGAGCACGCATAGTGTGCCTATGCGTGCTTCTAAAAGGGAGTTATTATGGAGTCCTCTAGGGAAGCAGTCTTTTTGAAAATTCGTACGAACCATCTTGGTCAGTTGGGTATATCTTTTCTACAGCTCTGCCCTAAATCTTGTCCGCTTGACCGAACCCAACTCAGTCCGCTCAGTTCCAGCAGACGCATGCATTTCCGCAGCTTCCACCACGTCAAGGTGGCGCGCCAGACAGCAAACCGATAAAAATGTGAAGGAGACAACAGTGCCAAACACAGACCAATAAAATGTTATGCATAACCTGATTGTTGTTTGCCCAGCTGCCGCGCTGCTCCCGCTGCCGTCCAGCCGCGGCCCCCTGCTGGGCAGTGCGGCCCGGCCCCTCGGTGTGGCGCTGCCCAACAAGCGCTGGGACGTGTACAGCTACCGCGAGCTCAGCCGCGCGACTGGCCAGTTCAGCGAGGACAACATCCTGGGGGAAGGTGCGCGCCTTCTTTGACCTTGTGAGAGAAGGAACTAGGTGCTCGGCCAAGCAGAAGCCGGAGCAGCCGAGTTGATTGGGCATTTTGCACCTGTTCCTGCATTCGAGTATGCCTGGAAATCTCGTACTGACGAGACGACCGGGCAAGGTCGCATGAGACAAAAACGCGTGCCAGAAGCCAGGTTTCTCTGTCAGCCGTCTTTGCACGATGTGCATCCGACAACTCGTTGTTGGGAGTATCGTTTGTAATCGGGCCTGACAAGGCTCTACTTGCTCTGGTCTTTACTGTGCTTCAGTTATGCTTAAACTCCAAAACTTTCATAGCCGGCAATTTTTGAAGTTGAGTCTTTCATGCGCAGGCGGGTTTGGTCACGTGTACAAAGGTGTGTTGAAGGGCGGGGACGTGGTGGCGGTGAAGCGGCTGGGCAGCGCGCGCAGCCAGGGCGAGCGCGAGTTTCGGAGCGAGGTGGACATTATCAGCAGCGTGCGCCACCGCAACGTGGTGCGCCTGCGCGGATGCTGCTCCGAGGGCGCCAAGCGACTCCTTGTCTACGACTACCTGCCCAACGGCTCGCTCGACTCCCACCTCTTTGGTCAGCGGCCGCCTCCCCCCCTTGATCCTTATGAAACTCGTTTAGATTTCTCGCTGCCGAAGGATTGCGAGCATATCCTTCGTGATAACGTTCTGCGTGCACGAGCTGATCATCTGATTGGCACTTTTACCTTGGCGTGATGCAACCTGCTCGAAAGGTTAACTCGCAACACTCGGAAACTACTGGTATTAAACCGCCCTACAGCCCTGGTGGCTCAAGCTCGTGGTTTCATCATCTTTCCCAGTAATCTTTCGCTCCAATACAACATCTTTAGTTGTGTCCGACAACGGCTCTAACGCACGTCGCTTCTGTTGGATCAGGTGAGCGTGCGCGAGAGCAGGTGATGCCGTGGGCGACGCGGCTGCGCATTGCGGTGGACTCAGCACGGGGGCTGGCCTACCTGCACGAAGACTGCAGTCCAAGAATTGTAAGTGCGACTCCGTGCTTCAGCAAGTCGTGCAAGTCTTTCTCCAATCCGCAGGACGCCGACCACTTGCGGTAATATGTGTCGGTATTGAGGTTTACCGACCAGGCTCCGACGAAGGATTCTGTCTTTGGTGACAACAGAAGCAGTGCTGACGAAACCTTACCCAACTCTCAGCGTAACCCAATTAGCTGCTTCTCGTGCACTCAGAGTAGCAGCGTCTGAGCGTAACCCCGCTCCGCGTGCGTGCTCTGTTGCAGATCCACCGCGACGTCAAGTCGAGCAACATCTTGCTGGACGAGCGGCTGCAGGCTAAGGTGGCCGACTTCGGGCTGGCGCGCCTCAGCGGCCTTGACGAGACGCACGTCACCACGCGAGTCATCGGCACCTTCGGCTACCTTGCGCCAGAGTGAGTTGAATGTATTCAGGATTCTGAAGTTAACCAAGGCCTGAGCCGCACGGCGCGCGTCCCGACCGATTTTTCTCACGACTCGCTTGATTGATGGGAAGCGTGCGTTTGCAAGGAACACTCTTATTTGAGGTCTGGGACTTATTTCCTGGAAAATAGAGCCCTGCTTTGAGCTTTGAGGTCACTCTCGAAGAGGCGCGATGACCAGTCGTTTCGTTTCCCTTCTGCTTCCTATGCAGCTAAGCGTTGCTGGATCTTTGGAGATTGTAAAAGGGGGTCCTGGTCATAATACTTTTCCTGCGTAAAAGGCTACGAGCTTCTGGTTCTAAGGTGACATTGGATTCCATGTTAAAGGCCGTTCATTGTTGCAGGGACACTTCAGAATCGCCAACAATCTATTTGCAGGTACGCCATGTCCGGCCAGCTGACGGAGAAGAGCGACGTGTACAGCTTCGGGGTGGTGTTGCTAGAGCTCATCACGGGGCGCAAAGCCGTTGACACCTCGCGCACGCCAGACGCGGTCAACTTGGTCGACTGGGTAAGAGCACGCATTGTGACAGACTGTACTTTATCAATCCCTGTGAATATACGTGCCCTTCGCCCAGATTGGCCGGGATGCAACGTACTTCGACGCAAAGAGTGTGTGTAAGCGGAAGTGTACCCTGCAGTATCCGTCTGAGCATGAGTGCCATCTATAAAGAGGTGCAAATGCCATGCCAGCTGGCAGAGGTTCAAATGCTTTCTTGAAGCAGCGTGCAGTCTGCACGTGTTCATGTTCATGTTGAATGTTGTGCTTGACTTCTTTCCCAACGAGTCGAGCTTCGAGACCAAAGCCGTCGAATTTAAATCTCTAGTCTGCCTCACATTGAGAAAACTTTGTGGTTCGGCAGGCCAAGACGCTGGCGCAAGCTGGCCGGATTGGCGACTTGGGCGACCCGGCAGAGTCCATTCCGAAGGACGAGCTCCTCCAAGTCGCGGAAGTGGCATTCACGTGCGTCAGGAGGGCGGCCGGGCAGAGGCCCAAGATGAGTCAAGTCATGGCCTTGTTAGAACAGATAGAAAAGAAAGAGTACAGAATTGACATGTCCAACGTGTCGGGCTCATTAGATGAAGAGCCACCGGATTACGGTATGGCCCCCGGGCCCCCAGATTCGTACCCCTCCCAAACGCACCTTTTTGCTGAGCTTGTACACGGAGGGGACGCCGTTGCAGATGCGGCCAACAAAGAAGGGGAACTGGGAGCGCCCAGTGATACCGGACTGAATCGGGCGAACTCCAAAGAAGCACTCTTTGCAAACACGTATAGAAGTATGTAACTTTCTGGTCTTCGGAGAAGGTATTGCCTTGCTGCGGAGAAAGCCGTTGTTAAGGCACAGACCGTAAATGCTGAGGTCCGAGAGTGTGTCGGCCTTGCAAGCAGTGTTGGTACTTCAGATATAGCTAGTGTGGCGCTCAAGTATAGGACCATTCCAAGACATTCCATGGGATCGCATGCACAAAGAGCGTGATCCTCGCAGGATTTTCAGGGATATTGCACATAGCAGATGGTCGTGCATAGCATATGATGATTCGAAGCTTCCAGAGGGGTGTCGCTACCAGGGTGTCGTGACCTACTTTCGAACCTCTGAAGACGAAGATCGAAGACTAAGACTTAGAATAATGCTAGAATAATGATTTTGCATGTTTAGATATATCAATGCTGCAGATAACGTAGGAGTCTGTAATGTTTGTTTGAATTAGTTTAAAAATAACTGACTGCATTCGATAGAAGCATTCTGAGTCTTAGAATTAGCTTTCGAACTTTATAGAGTGATTCCCGGACCTATAAATTGGGCGGGATCCGAACATTCTTCTCATAACTTGGATCGCCAGTTATCAAGAAAGGCCAGGACGGCCTTGGCAGAAAATTCCTGTGTGGTTGTGGCAACGTATTGTAGAGCGGGTGCGCTCTTGGTATTCACATAGTCATACTTGTTCATCTGGTCGATATACAAGCGGTGTGTTTGCTACCCGTCTCGGTAAGGAAACTGTACATGAAAGGCACGGTGCAGGCGCTCCATGCAGTATGTACTGCAGTTCATTAGGAATCCACTGCAGTCACTTATAAGATCGTTCAATGACGTTGATGCTGCATAGTGCTGCTTCTCGAACTTTGTGTGCAACAGTTGGCATGGGTGATAGTTGCTAATCAACTAGTAAGTAAGTATCCCGCGCGAGATTTATCTCAGCTACCCGCGCTTAAAGGGTGCATGCGGATGCTAGTTCTTTTCGGCGCTTGCACTGACCTCAGCCACATGTGCATCAGAAGGCCGCGGCTGAGCCCGACATAGCTAAAGCTATATTGCCCGACCTAGCGCGGTAGGTATGTTTAGATGTTGCAAGCCGGTAGGGCCGCGGCCACAGGGCCTGCATGATCCCTGGACTCAAGACCGGGAAGGTAGAAGATCCGCGCGGTTGGGGGTCTACGGAATCCAATTTTGGGTCGAAAGTATCTTCGTCGATTTTATCTAGGCGCTGTCCAGTGTGGATTGAAGCCTTCCACACTCCGGCCCCGGCCTGATTAGTTTCAAATACCTTCTGCTTCTGCTATAGATAATCTAGCGAGATTGCGGATTCGCGTACTGAGTACTGTGCCATGTGGACCTGCGCGCCGCGCCAAGCATGAACCATCAAATCACATAGAATTCGGCTTTCAAGTTTGTTTCCAGGAATCCCGGTCTGGAGAAAAACGTCACAATAACGCGACTAGCTCTGAATGTGACAAACGGACCGTCCTGATAAAGGCATTAAGGTTTGCTAGTTTCCTACTGAGTCGAACCAATCACAAGCAAAAGTCGTAAAGTAAGTCGCCATCGGCCTCGAAGTTCCGTCTTTTGGTGTACCCGTAGCAATCCACCTACCTTCTGTACGTCCAGACTGTACCTCAATTCAATGGGACTAATTCAAAAACACGGGACGCCTAGCTGAACGACCGAAGTGGCAACGCGTTTCGAACCTGGACGTCGTGTCTGACGTCGTCATAAGAGGCCCGCACGATTCTCCTCTCAGTGGCTACGGGGACCTGCAGCCTATCTGCAGCCCTCAAGTGCTTACAAACAACAGAGCCGGCGTCGGACATTCTGTACAATCCACGAATCTACTGCTGCACAATCTGGCTGGCCCCCTAGTACAGGCCAAGTCTACGTGAAATGAAACACACTGGACGATTAGTTTCTGGAATTAATCCACGACTCCTACGTTTCCCCACTACGTTAATAGCCACGCACTTGCATTGCCCTACGTCAGTACTATACAATCCACAAATGTACAGTCGGTCCCTTCGTCCCAGAATTAAGACGAAGGTGCGCTCGGGATGACGAAGAAGGTTCTCGGGCCGTCGGTGCGGGCTCTCAACGCACGAGCTCGACTAAGCCATGGTAGACTCCGCCTTGAGAGGCCCTGCATCATTCCAGCCAATCAATGAGCTAAAGGTGCACGTGTGTGGAATTCCCTCGCCAAGTCGTCACGACATCATTCTGAGTTGTTTGGCAGCACTTTATCTTATGCAGAAATGAGGGTTTTAAGGCATAGCAGCGCAGGCAGGACTTTAGGCGGGCCTTCAAGTGCAAAGGGAGTCGTCAAGTCGTGAAAGCCGCCGTCCCACATCGTTTCGCAAACGCTCACAGTAACTATGTCTGCCTCACCTTCGATGGGTGCCAACGGCTTGCAACCCTTGAAGGCGAGAGGGAGCGCCTCCACGGCGACAGGGGCAGGCGTGGTGTCGCCCAGGAGGCTGAGGGCGGCGGCCATGCCGGCCTTGCAGCCGTCCTCGTGGAAGCCGAAGCCCTGCGCCAATGTAGACCGAGTATTAGCCCGTCGGATTTTACAAACAGCCGCGAGGGGGACCCCGCCCCACTCGAGAAGCTAGTAGTCAAAAGGATGTAGTCCAAGCAGCGACGTTTGAAGCCGTCAAGAATGTGACCCGAGCTGAAGCAGTTGCTTGCGGACACCGAGATAAGCAAAAGTGGACTAAGAGGCGACCTAATGACGCCCAACGAAAATGCACAGGAGCTTCTGTTGCGCTGCAGGCTGCTAGAGCGGTCCCGTTCTTTGCCAGCGAGTGTTGGCCCATCATGAAGGACATAGCGTTCACATAGCAAGGGCTTCCAGTTGCTCATTTGATGAACGGTTGCTGGTGAATTGCAGAGTGCACCGCAGGAGTAACAGAGCAGAATGGATCCGGCCAATAACTGGGCAAATCGACCAGCCGTTCCGTCCTGGCTGGCCATCAGCCGCCCCTCGATCAAGTGCGCATTAGCGGTACATACCTGGTAGGCGCCCGCAAACCAGGTGTTGTTGCCCCCCTGCAGCTGCGCAACATGCGCATTGGCGGCCGCGGCGTCGGGGTGGGGCCCCTGGTGCAGCCAGGGATAGTCGCCGTCCACCACGTGGCGGGGGGGCACGTGCGGGTTGATGGTCAGGAAGAGCGGCGCAGCGCGCTCCAGGTGCTGCGGCAACGCAAACCACTCGGACGTCAGGACACAGCGCAACTGGGCATCCAGGCCACCTGATTTGTGCAATTGTTGGGCAAGTGATTGTGGTTGCAATCCAAAAAGGTCGGCTTCAAAGGACAAAGACAGCGCAGTTAAAGGACAAGGACGATGCCTCGTTACATCCAAAACAAGCTACAACCTTTGGTGGTCCAAGCCACAGGGTTGAGAAACCGACGGGGATTGAGCGGCGAATCACAAGAATTATTTGCTGTGAACGACAGCAATGAGCTTGCACTTTTAGTGGAGGTCTTCCGATTCAGGGGACAGCGTCAAACGGCCAGCCAGGAAATGTACTGAGATACTCAACAAAGTTTCGGCCCTGGCGCCAGCCAAGGAAAACATAACCGTAAATATGTGCCGAATAAACAGACGCCCACCTGGAGCTTGTTGAGCCAGTAGGTGACGGAGGAGGCCCCTGCGGCGGAGCCCACGAAGTTCCAGGCGCCCCAGGTAGCGCGGTCCGCGGGCATCAGGGCCGCGTCGCGGTGGAGTACCAGAGTGCTGCACGTTTGGGGGGGAAAGGTCAGTGCTCAGGGCGGCCAGGGGCGGCCAGGGGGGGAATGGCGGATATGGTGCACGGGCCAGACACCTGGGCACTTCGTGTCCGAGTCTTTCATGCGCATACTGTAAGATGAATCGGAGCCGGCCTGAGACGGGCCCAGCAAGCACCGAGAACGTAGTCCCTTGACGAAGGGGAGAAAACTGTGGACGATTGCAACTGCAGCAGAGTGCGCCACTCTTTGCGAAAATCCCAGAGCACCCTACGATTCCATGTGCTGTATACCATTATGCTGTAACCAGGCAGGCGGTGTATTGATTGCTTGCTCACTGGAGCGGGCATGTCACTGGGTGGTAATTGAGAATAAGCCCACCTCTTGTTGTACGTGAAAGCCCCCAAAACCGCCTTTTCCGCAGGGGTGGCGCCCTCTCCAAGCAGGGCCAGGGCGTCGGGGGCGTGGGTGGCAAGCACCAGCTTGTCAAAGGTGGCGGAGACCCCGTTGGCAGTGATGGTCACGCCTGCAGCAGGCACCTCATAGGCTTAGCCTTTCAAACAGTGTTTTTAAACGACATTGATGAAAATGCAGGGCCGTGCGTGCATTGAGCTTAGCGGATTCTCATCCATTCTGCAACATAAAAGTTAATCAAGTTGGGCATGATTGTTACATGCGATGCAGGAGTTCACCCTCAAGATGGGGACATGACACACTTCTACACTGCATACAAAGCATCCTATCAGATAGAAGCACTGAAGCATACAGTGCAGGCTACCATTCAAGTATACAGTGCAGGCTGTTGAGAAACTGTGCCCTTGGCGCTAAGAACTTGAACGCACCTGCGGCTGTCCTCTCAATTGCTGCAACAGGGGAGTTAGTGAGAATCTGAACACCATGCTCCTTAAGGCTGCTCACGACCTTGCTGATGTAAGTCTGGGTCCGCCCCTTGACCGTCAACCAGTCCAGGCGCCCAGACGCCTGCAGGGAAGCACATGTTCGGCTCAGTCACTTGCATTGCCAGTGTCTGAGGTCACACAGGCGCATCCCTGCTAGAACCTGGAGGAATACATGCAGGCCGGAGGCCTTAGTAGTGCACAGTAGGGGGGCCACACAACCTTCTTGGCTGGGGGACTGTCTTGAAGTCCTGAGGACCATGGCGCTCCCTCTTCCAAGAGCTTCAGTCTTACTACCTGCAGCATGCATGCATTTCTGGCTTCTGATGACATTCAGAGGACCTATTTTTGAAGAATTGCACAAATAGCACAGCGAGACGTTTTTCACTCGTGATTGCATCTCAGAGACTGACTGAGGGATCCCTTCTACATAAAAAGCCCACACATTGTGACAATCCCCGCACACATTGCCACGTTTGCCAGCACCGCCCCCTCCTTTCAAGGATCCATTCACTGAATGCATTGGCACACGCTGTGGCCTTAGGTCTGCAATGTAGTCCAGAACTTCCAGAACTTCCAAATTCCTCCCCTTTTCCTGCCCCAGTACCTCAAATTGCTCCCTTGCAAAGGCCCCCGCCCCATTCCTAATCTCACCTGGAGCATCTTGTGGTCCCGCAAGAAGCTGAGCACTGTGTACGCCGACGCCCCCAGAATGGCCTCCTTGCTCGTGAACCAGACCGCTGCGCAGACCGGCACCAGATAGCCCCTCTGGAACGCGGCAGAGTAGCCCCCCCCCTCCAGGAAGTGGCCCAGGGTGACCTCGGGCTGGGGAGCAGCCTCCAAGAAGGAAAGCGCGTCCTCAGCAAAGAGGGCCAGGTCGGCACTGGAGGGGCCTTGCGCCGGGGTGTCAGTGAAGTCAAAAGCGAAGGTCAGGGGGGACGGCTCCAGCTCAACCTGGTACTCTCCCAAGAAGCGGACCAGGGTGGGGTACGTCGTTCTGCAAGGGGCAAGGGGAAAGGGGGTATGAGAAACAGGAGACTGGGGGGACATTGGGGACATGCTCTGATTCAAATCTTGGGCCAAGGGGTTCCAGGAGGTGGAAATGTTCACATTGAAGAAATGCAATGGCAGCTTGCACTGTGCTTCATGTGCTAGGATACCTTGAATGTATGATCAGCAAGGCTTGGTCCTTGGAAGGAATTGTCTCCAATGGGCTTTGACAAACTGAAGGCAATCTTTCTGGAGGGTGCAACAACTCTTTCAGCCGTGCCTGTTTTCCACCTTCAGGGTTTCAAACCGGTGAGCACGAAGGAAGCTACTGTAGCAGAGTTGCAGACTGAGGCGGGGCGCACTGACTCACTCCTATTCAAGGTGCAATCATGGGGTGTAAAGGTGAATCAGAATCTTGGACGTCAGTGATTGTCAAGAAGCATTACATTCGCTCAGCAGCCCCAGAAGCCTGGCAGTGTAACAGAATTGCCGCAGTCTACTTACTCACTATCACTGTCTCCAGTCACTGTCTCCACTTATTCGCCCTCGTCTGTGTTGCAGCTCACAAATTAAAAGCAAGACAATGCACGCAAGACATCACAGAACGCGTAATTCACGAACTGCAGCTGCACGCAATCCCCGACTTGCCTGTTGAGCAGCTGGAAGCCCACGTCAACGGGCGTTCCGTCCACCAGCACCGTCCTAGCGTGCCCCCCTAGCTGCGCACTCTTCTCAAAGATGGTCACACGGTGGCCCGCCTTGGCCAGCACGGAGGCAGCAGAGAGGCCGGAGATGCCGGCACCGACGATGGCGACCTTCATGCTGACGATGGGGGTGCGCGAGGACATGCTCTGGATTGCAGGCGGGGTGCTGGCAGTGGAGGGTCGGCTAGCTGACAGAGAAAGCAAGGAGAGGAAAGCTGAGCACGGGCTTCAACAGCATCATTTGACAACTCTCGACCCTCTCGAGTTTCAAGAGCTGGATGCACTTTGTAGTTGCGAAATGCACCCATTGCAGTGGTACTGTACAACTTGTTCCCTGGCGGATTCAGCTAATACCTAGTAATGTCTCCAGCTACCACAACCGTTCCTACGGCATACCCGCATACGGTACTGTACGATGCGTGTACAGCCGGCACCGACCGGTACAATACTGTACACCCGGCTTACAGGAGGGAAAATTAATGCATGGAACTAAAAGTAATCTTCGGATGTGGGACGTCCGATTTGGATAGCGTCAGCTTGTAGCTGCGCCTGATCGTCGATACGTCTGTCCGTAAACTTTTGTTGGTGATTTTCGATGTAAATTGGGTACAAAAGAGTCCCCGTATTGAGGATTTTGTAAGTGTACATCAGAAATACAGCTCAGTTTGCGTCAAACCTGCCACCGGGTTCCAATTGCACTTATCATGATTTCTCTGTGACCGTTGGATCGACGACAAGGAAGGATCGGAAGGGTCAAGATCAGAAACCGGGCTGAGAACAAACGGAACTCGATTGCAAGTTGACTCAAACCGCTGTACGTTCGCTGTAGACCGGAAAGTCAAAATGAAGATTCAGATCACCTTTTATATACCCACAGATTTAATCAATTAGGGTGTCCCAAAGCCGGCGTAGCTTGTGCAGTTGGGGACAAAACAACGATTGCAAGATCCCCGAGACTTCGGTGCCAATGATTGGCCGACTGTGTGCAACAACTACGGTACCTAGGTTAACACACCGTTCCTGATAACGTGCTGCTGGAACGTCAACTGACGTTGTCAAGAAGACCTCTACCGGATTTGCCGTGCGCCGAAGGCCTGGACGAGGTTTCACGACTTTTTCAGGGTCCCTAGTTACTGGTAGTCGTATCAGTTTAACGGTAGAAACGGTAGACGGCGGCAGGTACGTACCGACACTAGCTAGTATGTAGCTGCACTAGATAATATGTAGGTGAGGCCAAATAGGTACCGTACTTGCTAGCTTGGCCGTAGCGACCGCAGCCAGGGTTTTGCGACGGACTTTTGTCCCGGCCGGCTAGCTGCTGGACATACCCGGTTCTGGCGGCTCGGCGGTCGGCATTTGTCTTGACCGGCTGGCGGAGTTCACCAAAAGTCTGCCTGGGCCTTTTCTGCCGGCCAACCAGCCAACGCCGCAACGGTGCCTTCGGCACCGGCCGGGGTCCTGTCTCGGCCAGCCAGGTCTAGCTCTCTTGCCGGCCGCCTGTGGATACCCCTATCCTTCGATGCCTGGCAGGCGAATACCGTACGGTAAGGAAGACCTTGCTGGGGCGCCGCAACACAACGACGTACCGTACCTAGGGTACCTTACCTTAGCCTACCGTACCTATATGAAGCACGGTAGGTAGCACTGACGAGCAGAGCAGCACCGGGCAATATCCTGCGGGCGCTTATATGCCAGTATCTACGGTAGTTGGACGGATCGTCCCCACCAAAGGTGTCACCCGATCATCAAACTTGACGGCTGGCCAATAGCAAGTTCAGCCCCTTTGTCGCCTTATGCCAATTCAGCTATGCCAATTCAGCTATGCCAATTCAGCTCTTTCTTCTGGTGTTCTTTGAACTGCATCGCCCTTTTGTCAGTAGGAACCTTGAGGCGACAGAGAATCAGCGCCTGGATAGTGTGTTTGCTAACCGTACTCTCGGGTAGGAGAACAACTTACGTGAGAAGCATGATGACGTTGCAGGCTCTTCATGTAGTGAACCGCATTTTTCAGGAAACAAAAGTCACTCAAAATGGCTAACTTTGTTTTAAACTGGACCTGGTCCCTTGACAGGCGCAACAATCGGCATGATTGATTATCAGACAAAAAAATCACCGTAGCCAGTCGGAGCTACGTCTGGTCTCAGCTACCGCACATGCCGGTTAGTCGGCATCCTCTGCATCCAGTTCGCACTAACTTGCGGCGCTTGCGGTGCCGCAGTGCGGCTCAATCGGCACTTGTGATAAGTTGAGCCCAACGATATGGTTGTTACGAGGTTAACACAGCTTGTTAATTCTCGCTTGCGCGGAACTCAGCTGTTGACTCCACGATATGGATAAACGGCCGGATCATGACTCCGCGTGAAACTAAGGTTGCACGAGCCTCGTGGTCTCAGGTTTTCCAACGTACGACGTCCAGAACAAACTTACAACCCCGTGTCCTTGCTGTCCTTGCAATAGCGACGATTTTGACAACCGCGACCTCCATTAATTTGTCAGCTTTGAAACTTGTATATTACTGCTGATCGGGATACTATACGAATGCTACCAACTAGCTAGCCTGCATGGTTTCTTGATGTTGCTTGCAACCGAAGCCGACCATCTACCGTACTCAAACGGATTCACAAATTTTGCTGGGTCTTGTCCCTCTTGATGACTCCAGCTGTACGCATACTCCAGTCCTTATAAAGCAAGTCGCTTTCTCAAAAAAGGATGAAGATGGCTTTGGTATAATCCGCATGTCCTTTCACGGAAAGGCCGCTTCGATTTGAATAGAGGAGCTTTGGAGCTCAAGCCTTATTTTAGCTCACGGTCTTCCAGCGGCCGCTTGCATATGCCAGTGAAATCCGGATCAAACTCGAAACACGTAGTGCTAGGAATTTTGCTCCTTGTTTTCCAGGGGTCTCCTTCGGATATGGAGCTTGAAGTAGATTTAATGCATCTTACAAATATTGCCTGCTTACGATTTGTTTCGGACAGCGTAGCTCTTCTTGACAATCTTCGACTGGAAGCCAAACAATATTCAGCTAGCTATCGCCGGGCTGTGTTTGATTTTTGTTTGGGCGGCCAGACGAACTGAGGCAACTGAGGCCACTCTATTTCCGTCAGTGTGACAGCTGCTCGTTACGTGCGATGACAGCCGTCGACAGTAGGCTCGGTATGAGATCAAGATGCAGAATTGGTGGTGCTTACTTTCGCTTCTAATCAATGGTGTCTCTCATCAAGCAGACAGCTGTCCAGAGCGTACCTTCGGCACACGAAGTCTCGGCGTCAAGGTTCCGGAATGATTCTCAATCTTATGAGGCCGTGTAAGGACGTCTCGCTGCCATTTCGTAGAGCTCGGTCACATCCTCCTAAAATTTTGCCGGCACTTGTCAGAAGTTGCTCCATTGTTGCAAGCCTCGCATCTTGGCTTACGTAAACTCCCTCTGTCGGCATGCTGTTCCCACTCCGATGACGCTTTCTGCGTCTGCGCCCCTGACAACCATTTCGTACCGGAGGAGCCGGTCAAGACTATGACATGTGGCAGGCCTAGACGGCATGTTCATTCGTTTTCGGCCGAACATATTCGAGCGTGAGTGTTTACGATGCTCCTTTCAGCGCGCAGAGTTTGCTTCAGAAGTCGCTTTCAAGAGGTGCGCTTCCTCAGGGCTGCCTCTCGAACGGAACAAATCCCCTTCTGAGCAGCGCTGTATATGCGAGCGCGGAAGTTTCGGGCGAGCTTACATCTGCTGCCATGTCGCTTCGATTAATGAGCTGGTTGCAGAACGTTTTAGAGAAACTCATCAGCACCTAGATTCGCTGCGGATGGGAGTCCTTAGAAGTCCTTCAGGGCCTGCTGGACTGACGGGAGACGACAAGACTTGCGAGGTTAGCTTGCAATGTTTCTATCGGCTTTGCTCCACACGGATTCGCACCTCTTTAGCGTCTCTTCTCCTCGTCGCTCTTGTTGCCACAACTACCAGAGGCATGATTGCATCAAGACAATTCTCGGCCTTTTTGCCGTCAGATTGCTTCCCGGGCTTTGATCTGCGCCGTCTCACCCCCTGCATGTTCGCCCGATCGTCATTCAACGCAGCGCCAATGACTTAATATATAGAAATCTATTTCTTCATTCATGAAACTTCATGCTGCATACGTTTGATTAACGGGTGCCCGGAGGCGGAAGGGATCCCCCTAGAGAGGACGTTTTACCGATTTTTAGCTATCCTCCTGCACGCGAACCGTTGGTTTCAATCAAAAATGTTCGAGAAATAAGAAAGAATAGACAATCCTTCGGCGGCAAGATTCCTTATCGGAGTGAGTCTGACACTTGCATTCATTGTTCCAAGGATTCCTTTGTGGAAAACCCTGTGCATCTTTGTAAGAATCACCAGGCATCTGGACGAGAGACCAGTAGAAAAGGTCCTGATATTCGTTGGCAAAAAGTTGACCTGCGGTAAGGCCCGCCGTGACCATGCTCTGGTGGGATGGCGTCCTAATTCGTAGGCATGATTCTTCGCGGAGTTCAGCATATCTCTTCCAACTTGGCCGCTTTAATCTAATAGCAAAAGTCCTGGTTTGCACAATGCAAAACGTGCAATGTGCCAGCCACGCACCCTCACTACACGCCTTCCCTGTCAGAAGCGTTTGAGAACCGGCCTTGGCTTCTCTATGCTCCCCCAACACTGCTTTCACGCCTGCCAAACCGTCGACGCCCGCACCCCTGCAACTCTCTCCACCCAAAACAGCGCCCTAGCGGGGCCGGGGTGTGAATGCACTTGAAGCTTAATTACCGGCGCGCGTTTTTTTAAACTCTTACCAGTGAGTTTCAGTGTTGTCTTATTCCGGACGGTTTGGTTCCTTTGAACCGCTGGCTCGAATTCCTTGGTAAACGCGCAGGAGCTGAGGTCAGCATTGCACTGGGCTGCGGTGCACTCAAGGACTCTTTGGAACGGCCGAAACGAACGCGCTACGGGTGATGACGATCATCATTAGCGCGTGTTCGAAATATGCTCAATCAGCATATTTTGCGTCTTTTGCTGCTGACCAAGTAAAATGCAAATCATTGCTTGGACTCCTAAAATGCGGCCTCTTTCACAAAAATGCGGCCTCCTCCACAGAAGGACTCAATTGCTTGTCATTGGCATCGCCTTCAAAGCAGCATCCAAGGAACGATACATTTTTGAGCCGTCCAGCACGGCAGCATGTTGCTTGTCGACTTGTCAACTCTGAAAACGTAAATAGGATAAAAGCACGCTCAAACTATCGAAACTGGGCCCCAAATCTCCTCAACTTTAGTCAGCTCACTTTCGTGCACAAACGCAGACAGGTGTCGAGGCTTTGTTCAAAGCTACCAATTCAAGCATGGGGCAAACAAGGTACAAGCCCTTGATTTTGCTTGAACGAAGCATCCATGTGCTAATAGCGAGCGCCTTTTGCGGGCACCTGAAATGGTGACAATTGAGCTCCGTACCCTCATAATAAAGAATCCAGTTCTCTATAATATCAGCACTTCTCAGGGTGCTGCTCTGTGGTCCTCTGTGAGAAAATGGATCCTCTCATTTCGACAATCTTTCCTGAGCGAAGCATGCGGGCCGTGCTCATCCTACCTTGAATCGGACGATTCACAGGCTTCTGCCTCTACTCTAACACATGGTTGTCTACCCTAGAAGTCGGCTGTCATCTCAACATGGCAGCGCTCATCCAACTAGGCAGCTAGCTGCCTTTAGGAATTTGAACAGACTCTCAATTCCGCATCGAGTTTAAGACATGGATGGTGCAGGGGGCTGCCTGTACGTAGTGAGGCGGGCCGTGTACACATGAATAAGGGATGAGTCGAAGGGCAGTGGTGGTTTGGTGCGTTTGGGAAGATTTGGTGTGAACAGGGCTCTGCCCTGGGGAAGGAGGCACTCATTGAACAGGGCTCTGCCCTGGCGGCCGGGTTTCCCCCTGGGCTCAGCCCTGAACTCGGGACTCCGTCCCTTAAACGCCTCTGGCGTCGGCGCCTCTCGGAGGAACCGCGTCTGCATTTATACCCTCAAAGTCTGGGGGTTTCTTGTGGGCCAGCTTGCTAAAGAAGAGTCCTGCCGTTTCGATGATGCCACGTGGCAGATCGACGGCTCAGGATTACGCTCGAGTTGGAGGACCGGAAGCAGCTCGCCACGGCGTCTCCGATCAGAAGTTGTCAACCCCGTTGGCGGAGAGCGAGGATGCGAAAAGCGAAGGCGTGAGGGCAAAGATCTTGATTGCAGGGAGGTATAAGGCGGATACGAAACGCACAAGTCTGAGCCCGCAGCGTTTTCTTCACGTATTGAGTGAGGGTCCAAATTTAGTTCCTGCAGCGAATGAGTCTAGCAGGCCGTAAAGGCCTGCACCTTCGTGCTCAGATTCCGCGACTTCGGAGTCGGAAGTGTAGCACTGTGCGACTTCCATCAGCGCCCTCTATGTGTCCAGAATTTTAGTCTCCCGTTCAACTCAGTCATGACCCTCACGATTGGACAGAACGTATGCAAGCTCTGAATTGTTTGAATCAAAGCCGTAATTAGCAGGCCGGTCATCCTCAAAGAAGTCGGTGCAATCACGAGGGCATCCTCATGTCTTGCGCCCTCGCACATACCATGGCTGTGATCACAGCACTGCCGGATGCGCACATGCTGATGATCGCCAGAAGTAGGCCCGCTTCCTGAACAGGCGCCTCGGAGTCTCAGGAGCCGGCTCTCCTGGGATGGCTAGCTTGTGAAGCAATCAAAGGAGCACTTGAGGGAGCCCAGAAAATTGTACACATGAGTCGTAGAATATATATGTTGAACAAATTGATAATCAACTCTATCTAGCAGCACATTGTTGCTTAAGTGTGTCGTAGGCTTTCTGGGCCGTCTTCAAAACAACGACGTCGAGTTTGATTTCCATTCACACAATTGATAAAGGATCGAGGCAAGTTTTGGAACCACCTGGCGCAGACAGCTCAGTTTGGAGCTGCTCCTTCCGGCCATCTAGAATTTGTGTTTTTGAAGTCACATCGATCACAGAGATATACAACATGTAAAAAACAAGCTTCTGTTCAGCAGTAAAGCAGGTCGTTGCAGGTTACTAGCCCGTCACTTGTGGCGATTATGCATTTCATTCAGGCATTCACGCAGACATAAGGAAAAAAGCGCGTCAACTAGGGCATCAGGGCATAATGGCCATGGCAAAGGGATGTACCCATTTCAGAGCGGCAGCGTCATGAAAAAAAGCTGCCGCTTTAAGTTTCAGTACGTTTCGTATGGTACAAGTGACACATTTTTCCAGTACGGTTCCGTCCTACTTGACCGCTCTAACTACGGTTCAAGATATGTAGCAGCACCAAGTCGATGCTTCATGTCATGAGAACGTGCATCAAATAGAAAGAAAAGCAATAACGCGATATCCGATGTCGGTGACGCACTCAAGGAGGGCCCGTCGTTCACTAGATGTCACGGCAAAAATAAGGCACATGTCCGCAGGCTAATGACCTCAGCGGGGACCCAGGAATTGGCAGGCTGTCGGTCCTCGTCTTACTTTTGACTTCCATCAACACGTGCCTGAATAAAATTCTTCACAAGTAAAAGTTCTTTTCGGCGCTCTCCCTCCGACGAATCAATCGCCTAACGGACACCTGGCTTGTTCGACTCCCCTACAGTTGACGTCCTGGATCTTCGTTCACTATCCATCACACAAGAGTCACAGTCAGGCCCCCCTAGTCTACCCTCAACCGCGTTCGCTTAACCCCTCGATTCCAAGCAATCGAACCGTCCCCGCTCCAACAGCCCTCAAAACTTTCGACCGTACCGTCACGCAGTTGTTCGCAGTTACTGCTTGCTCCACACCATGAGGTGCATGTTGGGCCCCACCGGCTTGCTGCTGTCCAGCTTGAAGCTCTGCGACCCGAAGATCTCCTCCCACTCGCTGCGCGTCCTCCATGAGCCGCCCGGGCACATGGCCAGGATCTCGATCGCGAACAGACCTGGGAAACGAGAAGACACAGTAAGAAGCTCAGGTTTTCGACCTTCGTGCCACGGCAGAAAGAATTATGGAGCGGACTTAATGGAAGGAGTGGAATTTCGGTAGGACAATATGGTGGCTGCAATCCGTTCTGGTGACCGACAAAGAGAAGTCAAAGGCCAGAAAGCCGCCCAAAATAAAGCAAAACCGGTAAGAAACAGATTCCAAGCTGGCAGCTATCTGATTGGGAGAAAGGAGATTAAAATCAGAGCTCTCCCAGCAAACTTGATCAGCAAAGCTAAGAATGTACAGCCTCGTGATAGAGAGGGCGAACGAAAGAGGATAAAGACGGGTAATGACGTGTCAATCTACTTACCCGGGGCCACTCCGTCTTCACAGACATTGTTGGTCCTATCGCCGGCCTCCGGTACGAGGGTCTGCGCGAGGCGAAAAGAAGGGGTTGAGACTCAATTTCACCTTTGAGAGCCTGATTGGCTGGGCAACCGGTTGAGCATGAGATGATACAAATGAACCAGTTTGATGACATGAAACGAAGTTTCCCGTACAAAATACGCAGTAGGGCTCAGAATGACTGACTTGGCAGCAAAGGTCACTGCAACAAGCCCCTGATCAAATAAGCGAGAAGGATAAGGACCGCCAAGAAACCCAATACGGCGCAGGTCCACAACGACCAATTGTTCAGAATCAAAGGCGACTACGTCTCGTTCTAAACTGATTCCTCAACCCTGACTCACAAACTGCGGAACGTCTTCTCATCTGAAACACCTTTCTGCTGTACGGAGACCCTTTGCTGCCCTTCATCAGTCAAGGGCTCTCAAGGTCCAAAAGTTCAGACAGTAGATGTCCCGTCCTCAAAAGCCCACCTGCAGCAGCAGCACCTTCCCGTTGGGCTCCAGCACCTCCCCGCAATGCTTGAGCACGATCCGGGCGTCGTCGTCCGTGAATCCGGACAAGAAATGCTTCATGATGATCGTGTCCACGTGGGCGGCCTTGACGGCGTCCGGGAAGGGCGTCCGCACATCCTCCGTGCCCACCAGGGACAGCCGCTCGCGCGCGGACTTTACGCCCTTCGCTTCGAACGTGGCGTCTACGTCGACGCTGCAAAAAGAAAGATGCCCTCGGCATGTTGAAGACCAGACCCATCCGTTGAGCGCATTGGTCAGGATGATCAGGACGGAACGTAGCTGTACTCAGATCCCTTCGTCTCTGCTTCAGTCAGAAATGTTTTTTGGGCAGTGGCACTGAATGACGGATTCTGAGAGCTTGAGCGCACGAAGGAGAGGACGTCCAACTTCCTCATTCTAGGTTTCAGCAGATTGCGAAACTGTTGCCACGCACCAAGCGACCGCAGGTTGCTCACATTGATTGATTTGGCTCTCCGTCCCCACAATCGCAAGCTCATAAGGGTCCACTCCAAAAAGGTCGAAAGCCGACGGCCCGAGAATCTCCCGTGCAAGCTCTGAACAGAGCACCATCCTGCGCCAACAATACTGCTCAAGCACCCCCATTTTTCTTTCTTTCTTACCTGGCGACCACGAAGGGCCGATCAAGCAGCACCCCCCGCGCCTTCTCCCCCGCGTACAGCATGCACCGGCTCAGCAGCTCGCCACGCGCGCCACCCACGTCCATCACCGTACCGACCTGACTCCAGTCGTACACATCCTTAAGCGTGACCTGGCCCCCCTCGTCGAGACTGTGCTTGGTGAAGTAGGTCATTGACTGCATGAACTCCTCGTGGAACGCCGCGTTCTCGGGCTTGTTGTCATACTGGGGAAAGGAGAAGCGGGGGCTTCAAGAATTGGAAGGAAAGGTGTAAAGTTTCAAGCTTGAGAGAAAACCAGGGGGGAAACGTGGAAGGGCAGGATGCTGTTGGGGGTAAGGAGACAGAGCGGGTCCTTGAGCGATGCCAATATTCGAGGCAACTGTCTGGCGTAGAACACCACAAAACTTTGTTCGTGGGGGTTTCACGTTTTTGGAATAGACACAAGCCCAACTGCGTTCACAAGGAGGCCCGGTCCCCGGAGCGTTGACCTGCCAAGAGCAAAGTCGTATAACAGCTCGGAGTGCCCACATCGGCTCCTGAATTAGTTTTCTGCTTTCGCTGTTTCCACACGTTAGTACAACGGAGGAAGAAGGCCTGTAAACGAGGAATCTTGACCACGAAGTTTTTGGAAGTCAATCATCTTTTCGGCTGATCGACACGGAGATAAGCGGCCCACCATATTTCAAGCCAGATCTAAGTAGCAACAAGATCCAATTTACGTTCCCTCTCAGCGACAAAAGAGACCTTTTCCTTTCGTTGCTTGCTTATCTTTCGCAAATCGGACATCTCGAAGCAGCTTCTCACGACCATTTGGAAGCGTGATCATGTATTGTCAGCGGCACCTTACCCCGTACATGTCGGTGCCGTGCGCCACCGCGAAGGGCGTCTTGCCGAGCCGCACTGCCTCGGGCAGGACCTTCCAGGCGTCCCACTTGGGCTGGTTGATCTGGTGGTGTGCAAAGTGGCCCAGCGTCGGCTGGCCGGGGGGACGCACCAGTTGCCGGGTGGAGTCATTGGCCGAGAACTTCTTGCCTGCAACAACCGTCCTTGAGAAAGTCAAACCGCGAGGTGACCCATGCTAAGTCTGCAAACGGCATCGAACCTCTTAAATGCACAATGTCTTGCTAATTTGTTTTTCCTTCCGTTCTCGTTATTATAGGTTCGTTATACCTGGCCATATCAGGTTCGTTATACCAAGGACTTGAGGCAACAATCACAAGATGCTCACTGACGAAAAAGGGAAGATTTTGCGCACAAATTAGAAAGGCAGAAGAAAGGCAGAATCTATGTTAGGTGAAGGTAATCTGCTCAGTGCACCACAGAAGTCTCCCAAAAGGTGTACAACTTCGGAGATCTGTGAAACAATTTCCTAGCTGCAGGGCATCATGCTTTCAGGGGCCATCATTGAAAAATTAGGGTTCTGACCTGCCTCCTCGTCCAGGATCCCCCATTGCGCTAGCGCCCTCAGCACTTTATACAAGTACTCTACTCCAGGTGCAGACACGTCCGACTTCTTGGCCAGCTGTGATGACCACAAAGAACCGTCAGTTCAGAGCTGGCTGGATGCATTGTGCCCATCCGTGCAATTGCAAATGATGAACCGCTATGGGACCAAGCATCTGTTGGGGGCATACAAATTCTTCAGAATCCGACGGTGCGAAAAAGACCTGTGGAGCGCTGAACTGCATTCTTTGAGAGCAGGCTGGTGCACTGGCTTGAGCACTCGAGTGTTACAACATGTCAACTGCCCCACTGGAATCAAAGGAAGCGGCTCATATCGTTGAAGTGCTGCAAACCTGGCTTCGTTGGAATCATTGACCCTGTCTTCTGCCAGGTTAGACAGCTGAGAATGCAACTCACATCCTCAACAGAGATGGGCTGGGTCTCCTTTTCAAGGATGTCCGCAATGTTCAGCTCCAGCAGAACGCCGAGGCAGGCACTGTACCAGTGCCCCTGAATCGCCTCGTACACGCGGGCTGCACCAAAAAGAGTCACACTGGCATCACTTAAGAATTCCTTGAGCTCTGGACAGGGATACACATTCTCGACATAGCGAGCAACCATTTCCAGCAAGCAACTTGTTGGAAGCTCGGGTAGTGCGCACTCACCACAGCTCAAGTAGAAACAGCAACAGATCTGGAGAACATAGCTCACTCGAAGGGCTCATACTCTATACCTTTAGAAGCAGATGGGTCATCGGGCCCCCCTGACACTGCTCAAAAGAGTTCTGCCAGTACTTTCACAAAGAAAGCAGTGCTGTGTCAAAGGTGTACACAAAGTCCGCACTTACCAATGGCCACACTGCCACTAGATGATGATTTCGCATATGCGCTTTCATAGCCAGAGATCTCGGTGGTGCGCTTGGCCCCATTGGCTGCACCTGAGGCAGGAATCATGCTCGCTTCATACACTGTGTTACAATCCAAAGATCAAGGCGCCTGAAGTTGCTCATCATGTACCATACATTCCTGCGAGAGGCTCATCTGTTATCAAAGTCACCGCGCGTCATCTGCTTGGAGGACAGTGAGCTCAGTTGGCTGTGTTCCAGACGGAGAGGAGTAAAGCCTCTGCTGAAATTCCACATTGCTTTTGAGAATTTGTTTGCAGATGAGCAAAAAACTCTTGCTAGATGCTGGGTAAACACATTATTTCGACCAGATGCGCAGCGGCCAGATCTAGTAATAGCCCGGAGTGTGAGCACGAAGCACAACACTTTGCAGATATGGCATACTGGCATCAGCTCTGAGCTCAACGAGACTCATTTCTGCTCAATATCGATGGCATCAAAGATCTCCTTCCGCTTTGCACTGGCCTTCCTCTGGATTTGGCACCACCATCACGAAGTAAACTTACGAGAGGACCAAGCAGAAGGCTGCTTGCGATCATGCGCAATCCTGCATTCAGCTTACGTCACGGTCTTCATCGACATTGGTTTTGCTTCTCTTCCAGCTCACCTGCTGGCTGCGCTGTTGCAGAATCCCCGAAAGGCGTAGTTGGAGCCATGCTGAACACTGAAGTCACGAACACAAAGGGTTGCAAGAACAAGGAATGCACGTACTTCAGAGCTTTGAATACTTGCTATTGCACAAGAGCCAACCACCACACTGAATCGAAGGAACCAGCGGGATTGTGTTGAAGTAGAGCTGGAAGGCTCGATGCAAGTAGATTGCAGAAAGCAATGTGCTACAAAACGCCGGCTTCTCTGATCAGTCTCTTGTCTCGGGAACTTGTTTGACAGCTTGCGATGACGTCTGGCTTCTAAAACTCCGTGCTTTAGCTCAGCTTCCCGCAATGCCTAGGTAGGTACCTACCGTACATGAACGCGCAGAGCTTCTCTCTTTGGAACCAATGCACAATCTGCATCATCAGGGCTGAGTGCCCGGGCTGTACATGGTAGAGAGTACTCAATGTCGGTTAAATCACGGTTTTACCTGTATTTGACCTTGCATGGCGGGCTTTATTGCTTTCCGTGTGACGTATCCCCAATGCATGCAGAGAAAAGGGCCGACAAGGTACTGGTATGCCAGGTGGACGTGTCTGTATGGCTCCCTCATCATGGAAGGGAGATTCCCCCGGATTCCTGGAATCCTGCTAGGTAGCACGACACCCGGGGTGAACGCATGCACAATGCACATGTGACATTGCAATTTGCGCCCCTGACCGGGTGCTGGTCAACTGCGTAATGATGACCGGATCATTGGGGTGAAATAGGTAGGTGCGCGCACTCGGACTGTACCCAGGCAGGTGTAAAGAAGATACTTTCAAGTTGTTTCAACGTGTTAGGGTTTCCTTGTACATATGGTTTGATGTACCTTCCTACCTATGTACCTACCTAATTCTCTAGAGAAGCTTTGTACCTGCGTTGTACCCAATCTCAGCACATCTCCGGTACGTACCGGGTATCCGTACAGAAAAGTGTGGGAGGGCTTGGTACAGATTCGTACATGAAGGAAAAGTACGGCTCCAGCCTCCGCACCTGTGTAGGTATTTGAATGGAGGAGGAGAGCGCTTACGTGTTCGCATTTTCAGCATGCAACTTACTTGAGGTGAAAAAGACCATCTGGCAACGGCACAACAATGCCAGCATGAACATGTTGCACAAGAGTTCGACCTACCTTCTATTTCATAGGTGCAGCACAGGAAATCCTGACCACAGATCCAAAAGAAAGTCCGTCTTATTCAGGGCGACTGCCTGAGACTAGCGCCAACCTCAGCTGCAGCTTCAGGTTCGGAGCTTCCTGCGATCAATCACTGAGTCAGTAAGATCTTTGTTGGAAGGATCCGTTTCTTCTGAGACAGGCTTTCCAGCCTGAACAAAGTATAATTACAGGCCTCACTAGCTGCATTACTGCTTTTCTATACTGAAATATAACTTGCCTAGATAAGCTGTCACTATCATTGGAGAACGCTGTGTCAGGCCAGTCCTGCAATCAAGTGTTAGAAAGTCAGGCAGCCCACATTATAGCCAAGTCCAGCTAAGTTAGGGAACTGACAGCCACTAGCTAGTGTGCTGCTGGCGCTTCTTACCATAAACTGATATTTGTTTACGTCCAAAGATTCGGTAGGGTCTCGTCTCAAGGTTTTAGGCGCGTTGTTGTAGCATCGAGCACAATGGCTGAGACCTCGCACGAAAACAACGGGGTGGGCTATGTTGGGATTGGGGCCATGGGCAAAGGTGAGGTCATTTGTAGCGGTGCCTAGATCATGACAACGCTCTGGAGCTGTCATTTGAATCGATGCTGAGCAGCGGGGGTGGTGTGGTGGGCAAAAGAAACGAGACCTTAGGGTTTGGCGTTATGCAGGCGCGTCGCGCATTGTTGCCCTTGTGACCAGGTCCGAATTGTACGATCATTAGGCTTTCTGAGAAAAGCATGAGGGTCAAAACTGGAACCAGTCTTCCTGAGTTATCTAGCAGCATAGCTGGCCTTCTTGATGGTGCACACCAATGACAATGCTGTTTCAAAATTCATAAGGCTGACACAGCTTTCATTGGGAACCATCCTTCCTACAGTCATGAAGTTACGTACACCCCGGACATCCCTTGTGAAAGTTTGATGTTCTACTATGAAATGGGCACAGTCAAATCGGGTTTCGCTTCTCAATCTCCAATGCAGAGCGGGCCAAGCGGTCTTATTAGTCAAAAGTTTTTACGTACCACCACTCCATCAACGAAAATCCGCCGTCCTTGCAATCTTCCAGGGATTGCTGCCAACCTCCTCGCCTACACTCAACAAGAGGGCCGACCCTTCTTTGTAAGCAACCGGACAAAGGACAAGGCTTCCTTCCTGGTTGACAAGGGTGCCACTCTCGTCAATTCTCCGAGCGACTTGCCTGCAAAATGCTCGGTGGTGATGTCGTGCCTGGCAAATGACGCGGCGGTGCAGGAGGTCTTCGGGGAGTACCTCCAGGGGAAGCCCAGCAGGGGGAGCCTCTACATCGACTGCAGCACTATCTACCCCACCACCGCAGGTGAGCAATACACTTCATACCACATCTCTGGGCGACAATTGAAGAAGACGATAGCAGAGGCTGAGCAACGAATCTTTAACCAGTCTTTAATGCTTGTCGAAAGTGGAGAAGAATGCGGCTACTCCATTTTTTGACCCACATTCAAAATCGTATCCTTCAGTCGTCACCCCGCCAATAGTTGATGGGCACAATTGGTCAAAGCGGGTCGAGAGTGACCTGAGGCTGGCAGCATCCTGATGTTTTATGTGGAGATATCATCTCGTGAATGTGCAATTGTTTCCTGCAGAGGAGCTGACTGAGAAGGGCCAGCTAGCCGAAGTACACTTCATCCACTGCCCAGTGTTTGGAGGCCCGGGCGCCGCTGCCGACAAAAAGCTGCTGGTGGTCTCAGCTGGGGACGCAGAGTCGAGAGCGCAGGTACGAGATGAAAAAGCGACGAACAACTAGTGGGTCTCAATTCTATTGCTGTTTACATCGATATATAGTGATGTCTTTTCAGCACAAGCTCCAAGGGGAAGGTTTTGAACGTGAAACTCTCAATCCCCAAGCTATGAGTTGCTCAAGATAAGGGACAGGCATATCCTTCGGATGGGAGCTGCAGCCAATCTGCTAGACCTTTCTCGAGCCCCCAACGTGTTGAGAAAATCGCCCGCACGATTGACTAGCTCAGCCGTCCGTCAACCGTTCCCCTCCGTTGCATTCCGAAGCTTACTTCTGATCCGAGCCTGTAGCCAACTTCGACACCATTCTATAATGACTGCAGGCCAAGCCGTATTTGGAGGCCATCGGAAAGGGCGTGCTCGACGTGGGCGATCAAGCGCGCTCGTCGGGCGCCCTCAAGCTGATCGGCAACTTCTTCGTCTCGAGCATGATCGAACTCATCGCGGAAGGCACCGCGCTTGCCGACCGGAACAACATCCCGCAGTCCGCTGTCCTGGAAGTGCTCAACCTGCTGTACCCCTCTCCTATCGTCGAGGTTCGTTCGAGAGCACCCGCACCAGTTAGCCATTCTTTGATTGTCCGTGCCGCTTAGGGAGATTTTTGCGTCCCTCTCGAAAACGCGGTTGCCTCGTTCAGGCTGATCTCGCCAGAAGCGACTTTTGGGCTGTCTCCCCAAATTCTTCCCGATCATGCATGAAAACAGGCCCTCTCTAAACGCTGCGCCTTACTTTATGATAAGGACAAGGGGAAAGGTTACACGGGATTCTAAAGCCTGCGTAGTAGCGAAACCCGACGCTCGAAACTCTTCTCTCCTGTTCTTGTGTTTGCCTTTTCTGGAGTCGCGATACAGTAGAATAAACGACCCCAAGATTGCTGCACAAGCACGCCAGACAGTCGCGACCCACACGCCGTCTCGCTCCTTCCTGCAGCGCAACTTCGACCGCATCACGACGGACGCTTTTGAGTGCACTGCGGACAGGCCCGGGACGCCCGTCATCAACGGCATCAAGGACGTGAGCCACATCGTACGGCTAGGGCAGAACTCTGGCGTGCCCCTGGCGACAGCGGAGACTATGCTGCGCCATTTGCAAGGGCTGAAGGAAGAGGGCAAAGAGGGGCTCGACTGGAGCGCAGTCGCTTTAGGAGTGCGCAAGCAAACGAAGTAGATTACAAAGCAGTGGGGAGCAGGTATTAAGGCGCCGATAAACTCACTTTTTGCCCTGGGCTCGAAAGGTTTAGCCCTCTGACATGACGGGGTAAACGCTGTAAGCGGAGATGCGTACATCCGATGTGAAATTTACTTCGCTGCTATTTTCTCTAAAGAGAAGACTCCATTGAACGACGGCTACTTTTAACAATCCAAGAATTCTCACGCACATGTGCAAGCCCAGCCACGGATGTGTTTCAGCTGATGTGTGACAAGTTCGTGACATGTTTGTCAAGAACTTGGGCATTTACATGAAGACGTAGTGTATGTGTTACACCCGCACGTATGAAAGCCCAGCCACGAATATATTTTGAGCTCAGTTGTGTGAAATGTTCGTGACCATGCATGTTCGTCCAGAACTTGGGCATACGCGTGAAGTGGTACTGTGTGAACAACGACGAAGCACTTCTGCTTTGGAACATGACTTCATAGGAGACGGATTGATTATTCTGCGACCGAGTTAATCAAGTCCTGCATGATCGATAGTTCCGCAATCAGTTGCAAATGCATTTCTGCACCACGTCTACTCAAGGAAAAACTGAGTCTCCACGATACCGAGACCGATATCGAGCTCTTATCTATTGTGCAGTCCCCCGACGATTGGGTATGAATCTGTCTTGCGATTCCTCGATGTACTCCTACCTCTCTGCCGTCTTTGTGCGAACTCTGCCACTTAATAACCTCCAAAAGATGTTCTTAGAAGCAGGCTCTCTCCTCAAAATACCCTTAGTCTCCGTACATCTCAATCAGCTTGCCGATGCAGAAGTCGATCTTTTTCCAGGGGTTTCCGCCCAACACGTTCCGCATCAGTAGGACCGGAATCTGAAGGTAGTTGTAGAAGAGGAACGGAAGCGGGTCGTCTAGATCGAACACGCCGTCCTTGCCGGCCGTCACCAGGTGCCACCACGTAGCATAATCTCCGCCTGTCACGGCCGTCCAGAACTCTCCCCACCACCAGTAGATGTGGGCGCTGCCGGGCATGGGCTTCAGGCACTTGCCGATCGACTGCGCGCAGAACAGGGACACGCGGAGAGTCAGTGAGGCGCAAATGGGATTCACTCCGTCCAGATACTTGGGAGCTTCGAAGAAAGTTTTGTTAAACACGAGGGTCATGGGAACGACGACAAAGTCTCAGATAAGGTGGAATGACGATCTTCAGGGATCTTGCCAGCGAGCGAACAGTTGAGCTGGACTTCCGGAAGAAGAGTGAGAGCAGTCTTGCTGAATGTTCGGGACTTCCGGGCAGCTGCTCTCTGCCAGGAAGTCAACGCTGGTGCAAGTGCATAAAAAGGACGAAGAACATCAGAAATAAGGTTTCGGGGCATCCTTTTCGCTGGTTTTGGGAGCGAAACAGATGTCTGAGACGTAACAGCCACGTTCCAATGCTCATGACCTCCAGACACGCTCTTGCGCCTTGCGACTTTCCGGACGATCCCGATCAGATAGTAGCCCTCACCTCCGGGTCGGTGAAGGCGGTGGCAAGCGCGGGGTGGTCGTGGAACTGCGTATTGATGCTGCTGATGCGCGGGTTGCACTCGGTGGGGTACAGCAAACCGTCGTGCGTGTCCTGGATGAAGTCGAAGCACAGGTTGCCCGTGTATTTACCCGCCGCGCAAAAAGCGGTCACCCACTCCCACATCTGCGTGGAGTCCACCTGCGGCGAAGGCGGGAGATGGGCTGAGGGGATCGAGTGGGCAACCAATTGAGCTTCCAGCGTTCAGCTGCTCCGGGTCAGTTTGACGAAATGATCCGGAAGGGAGGTCTCGAGTAGGTATGCGCAATTGCGAACTCATAGGCAAGATAGTAATCAGAACAACCAGTGGCAGCTGAAAACAAAGTTCGGGTCGGGAAGACAGATCCGATGAACGACAAAACTTTGAATGGCGCCAGGCCGCCACCGAGTTCAGCCTGCAGATGAGGTGAGGAAATTGGAGACCCGACCCTCCAAGCCACATTGTTGCTCGCACATGAAGACACATCGGATTTAGACGTCGCGTTTTCTGAAGGGCCTCAACTTGCGACACTTCCAAGGCCCACGAGTGCATTAAGCATGCTTATGAGCTTTCAGATCCCAAGACGTTGCGCAATATCTAGTCCGCCTTTCTCCTCTCACAGCCGCCACGTGAGCGGCCCGCGCGCTCACCTGTCCGTATCTGAAGTTGTTGAGCTCGGCCTTGGTGTCGGCGTGCGCGACGACGCGGCCGCGGTGCACGATGCTGTACGACGAGTACTCGACGCCCTCCAGGAACTGCTGCAGCATCCACGGGTGCGTCGGGTCCAAATCAATGCTCTCCACGTGGCGCTCTAGGCGGGCCTGGTCGCACGGGAGTGTGAACAGCTCCGACCGGCTGATGCAGTCGTACGCGATGCTCTTGAGCAGGAACCTGGAGCAAACGGAATTACTGGTTTCAGGACGAGCCCAAGCAGCTCAAAGAAGTACGTAGCTTCGCGGAAGGTTAAAGAAGATTCGTTGAAAAGGCAGGATTAAGGGAGAAGGTTGTGGCGCGGGAGGTAAGCTCCTGACCATCAGTCGCTAAGGAGCCAATCATGGATGCTGCTTCGAGTGGTCGAAGAACGGCATCCGAGATTGCCATGCTAGAGTAACTGGCAGCTTCACGGCATCTTCGGCTGCCCCTGGTCCCTATTCACCTCCTGCTGTAACGAAGAAGACATCCGATGGTTTCCCAATTTTGAAACTCCATCGTGAGGCTCTACTGCACCATCGAATGAGAGGCTTAACTTTGAATAATCTTCTCGGCAGTGCAGATTCGGCAAAGGAAATCCTAAATGGGCCCCGAGCCTTACCTTTTCCCTTTGAAGATCTCGGGCTTCTTGTTGAAGTCAAGCAGCTGCTGCTTAGTGGCGATGTGGAAGTAGGCAGGTGAGCGCACGCCGACGTCACGGCAGAGCGCGCTGAAGCGGGCCTTGTTGTTCAGCTGTGCCGTTGTGGCCGCGTCGAGCGTCCAGGGGACACACCCGGGGGGAAGTACGTCGAGAACTAGAGCGTCGTACACCTGCAACCGCCAACGTCGCCAAGGTTATGCTTCGACTAAATATCTTTCCCACCAGTTGCGTGCAAAGCTTTAAAGCTTTGATTAAAGGTGCGGGATGAATTCTTGGAAGACCGTGGCTTGGAAGGAGCGAGGAAAACCAATTGAAAATCTGGACCGAGTCGTGTGCTTGTTTCGTTGAGCAGTCCAACATAACGGCGAGCTGATGAAAACGAAGCCCTGGTGAACGCGTGGGCTTATCCAAATCCGGCTTCAGAGGGTTGAAGCGTCGCAGACACACTGGTAATGCTGAAGCTCAGAATCTCCGGATGGGGGGCGGCCTGAAGTGTCAATTCGCTATTCAACGACATCTTCTGGGAGTTTCAACGATGAATCCGAAGACAAAGGGGCGGAGGTAAAGCAGAAGCGGAGGCTTATGGCAAACTTGGAAAATCTGTTACAACGGACTTTGTCTTGGACTCGAAGATGCGAAACTGAACATCAACCATTAGAGCGGACAAGGCTTTCTTGAATCCACGGCTCTGATCAAAGATGCCGCCTCTTACCTCAAGCAAAGCGGTAGAGGTGGGCATGTAGATGTCCGCTTTCTCCTTGGCCAGGATCCGCCGCATTGCCTTAAGATAGCCTACTAGATCCACATCAGGCGGGGGCACCGTGTGAAATGCATCGACGCAGTTGGAGAAGCGCGTCCCCGACATCCAGTACTTGTGGTGCTCAATTGCCACCACGCGCCACCCAATGCGTGAAAAGTGGCGGGCAGTGTGCATCGACTTGCTCATTTTGGCACCTGGAGCAAAAGTTCAACCTTGTTCGGGTTTTAGGGTTTCACTGGGAGATGGACTGCAGACCAAGAGCAAGGGCCTCACTGATTGTAGGAACTCACTGAAGAACTGAACATTAGAAGGGGTCCAAGGAGCGGGATGTAAGCGACTTGCTGATGGCTTGGCTTGCTCCAATTGAATCACAACCAGGAGATGTACTTGGAAAGTCCATGATCCACCTTCCATGTTTAGTGTATCGAATGCGAATAGCGCCCAAGCTGCAGATTCGTGTATGTTGTCAATGCTGACCGCCCAGTGGCTCACCTGTAAGCACGAGAGTTTTCCTGGGGCCGTTTGGGCGGACCCTTGGCTCCGGCTTGCCCACAAGCTTATGCAGGAGCCAGCGGACGAACACGACGGCTGCTGTGGCAGGGAACGACCATGCAAACAGGCACAGCGCAATGAGACTCCTGATTCTGGCCTGGAGCTTCTGCATTGGTGTGATGCGCGCCAAAAAGACGTTGCGGCGGGCGCGGGCGGCAGCGTTGCCGGTAATCACCTCAAGGACCTCCTGCAACCAGAGAGTCATGTCCAGTGAAAACGTGCCTCCTCAAACAAAGCAGCACAGCCTTGCGCATATGAAAATCACATCCTGTTGAAATGACTGGCAATCCTGTTTTCAGAAGCCCAGTGAGTGTTGTCTAGGAGTATGTCAGTTGGAAGAAGAGTCTGCACAGCATAAGGTGCAGAGAAAACTTTGTGCTCCGTCAATGACAGCGGAAGGACAACACAAGGCAGGGTAGCCACAAACCCTAATCCATGTTACAATTAGCAGACTGCCACAATCAGCAGACTGCCACTGCATGAGGAGAAGAACCAGCGGTGTGACAACCGAGGCGTACCTTATTCCTTGCTGACGGCGCTATCTCCAGCAGCTCCTTGATCCACTGAGGCTGCTCCACTCCGTCTGCCAAAGACCCCATGATGCAATGTCTGCGAAGAAAAAACAAAATGTTAAACCACCGCCAAAGCCTCACGCTCTTGGTGCTCTTGGAGCCCATGACCCATCGATTGGGCTACACCGCCAGATGATCGCTGGCTCCTGAAGCTGGGCTTACTTTTTTGGTGTTAGCAGACGATCAACCTTGTCAATGGCAAAGGGAAGTGAGAAGTTCAGCACATCTATAGTGAGCAGTGAGCTACTGCAAGAATATCACCGGGCCCACTGGAACAGCTGGCCACGGTTGCTGATACAACTTTTGATATCTAGACTGTTTAAACTACCACATTGTGCAATTTGACCTCGCGACATCATGAACCAGAGGCAGCCATCTCTTCAGGATGCTGCATTGCACAATTCACGCTGCATGGATCACAGGACCCAGGTACGAGGTCACCAAGAGGCAGCGTCAGCCAAAGGTTCCTAGAGCTTCACAGTCGCATACGAACCTTTGTCACCGAAGACACGAAGATTTAGAAACATAGCACCAGTGATCATTGCAAACCTGGACCGGAACGACTGGGCACCAGTAGGGTGCTTGACAATGCACTCTGGCTTACGAGAGTGCTCTTAGATACAAAATCCCGTCATCGGTCTAGGCAGCTGGCATGTGTGTGCTCACCAGCCCAAGACGCCCACAAACAGCTGTTAATGAGGGTCAGCGCTCCCTTGACTAGATGCAAATGCCCAAGGAGCGAACAATGGCGCTGATAAGGACCACGGCGCACGCGTGCTATTCACAACGCTCTCTGCCACTAGTGAGAGTGCCTGTGGTCATTGAGAAAACAAACCTAGTCCGTTGACGCCCATGCACAGCAGCTGAAAGAAGAGGAGGTCGTCCTAGCTACAGGACATGTCCCTAGTACCTACAGGCTACCACTTATTAGCTGGATTGCAGCATTCCTGCCAGCTGGCATGCACCGAACTTTGGGCTTTGCATTACCTACCTACCTCCTCATGGCAGTGCCACTTTTGTGCAAGAATCTGGAGGTGTTGATGTTTTGTCGTAGAGAGCCCTCGTTGGCAGCGGAGGTACCGTAGGTAGGGTAGGTGACAGGTCTACCTATGCAGGTCTATAGATGATGTACCGTACCTACCCTAGTGAGCTGATTGTGCATGGTGCAAAAGTGCTAGGGTACCGGTAGAGCCTTGTGCACTTTTTGAATCTGCGCTTTTCAATCATGGCCACTGCATGGAATCTTGGTACCGAAGGTCTCAACGTGGCGAGCTTTGAAAAGACCACGGTGTTGGAGGCTACAGAATCCCGGGCGCATTTACTTTTCGACGACGTGGGCAGGTCCGTACAACTTGGATACCGCAGTCATGCGAACACCTACCAGTCCGCGAGTACCGGATACATGTACTCGCAGCTACTCTGTGTGTACAGGGGATGTGTACCGAAGCCAGGTACTAAAAGTAGGGTAGGTACCGTCATCGTATAATACAACATGTACCCAAATGTGTATCTGGCGGCGGCCGGCCGCGTGTCGCGGCCGCGCAGCCACGTTTATGGTTGCCAGCGTCCATTATGGCATGCTGTCAAGCTTTTTATTGCGGCTGACTCCAAATGAGTGCAGGATGGGAGACGAAGGGGAATGATTCAGTGAATGAGGTCGTCAGCGTTCGAAAGGGATCAGGCGTTCAGGTGGCGATACGAGTATACTATATCCTACTTCAATTCCCCTTGGAAATCCAGACCGAGGTCTATACTGATATTTACGTCCTTCTGGGGATACCTATTGCTATCAGAGCATACATCTTTATGGCTAACGGAGCTGAGCTATCATGAGCCTTGCCACACTTGCGACACACCATAATCATGATACTACTAAAGTGGTCGCCGATGGTATATCTTTTCGAAGGCGCCCTGTTATTTTTACTCCATGGCTACAATCGTCTGCCTACGTCTTCAAACGACACTCCACACCAATTGGCGGATACAGCCATCGGGAAAAGAAAGTGCCTGGGTGTAAGACTGTTCGAGCGATGTTCCTCTGGCCAATTTCCTGGAGGATCCAAGCATTTTATTGGTATAATATGGACAACGAATGGCTTTGCAGCAAAAGAAAAAGGTGCTTCCTTCAAAGCCGGCCTAAAAAAAGGCGCGACGCGCAGGCCAAAATGAAAACTCGGTTCGTTCCCAGTTCCTGAGAGTCAATGAAAGCTCATTATATCTGACTGTCCTAACTGTATTGCCTCCGTATTTCTATTCACACTCCCTACGACTACCACAAGCTTTGACCGCCCTCGATGACGAGGTTGTGCCCGACCATGTAGTTACTAGCATCCGAAGCAAGGTACACAATGGCTGTTTGGAGGTCTGCGACTGATGCGAGGCGGCCCTTGGGGATTTGGGACAGCCACTCCGACACCAGGGGCTTCAGAGTTGGGGACTCCTGCAGAACGAAGCAGAGGCGCGCGTCAAGATCCTTTGCGGTCGAATCTGCGGAAGTTCTCTCCAGTACCCTTGAGCCTGAGGTGTAGCGTGTTTGGAAAACGGGGGAGCACTACAATATTTCAGACAAGATCGCACGCTCGCAGGCAAAAGTGACGTGCGCAACCCCATAAGGTTTTTGCACGTGTCTCGTTGGGCAGAGTCTTGCCAACGGAACTTCAGTCGAGACGAGACCGTGTCTCCATTCTGTGGATCTGCTGCAGAGAAGAAACGCTCTAACTACTTCGCGATTTGTGCACCTGCCGGCGGGCGAAGTTAGATTTCACGTGTTCCTCACCATGATGAGCGCCGTCTCCACGATCCCCGGCGAGATGCAGTTGACGTTGACCCCCCGGTCCGCCCACTCGCACGCGAGCGTCTGCGTTATTTTCACGACCGCCGCTTTGGATGAGTTGTACGCGATCTGCTTCTGCGGGTGCGGCACCAGCAGCGTCGCCATACTCGCCGTGTTGATGATCTTGCCGTATTTCTGCGCCAGGAATACCTCGCCCTCCGCCTGTGGGGAAAGTGAAAATCAACCCACAGCCATATAGGAATGAAATACATTATCGTCGCTTTGTAGCGATGGATGTGGTGCGAGAAGGGTGCGATGACACTCGGAAATCCATAAAGCTAGAAGCTGCAGAAAGCAAGACTGCCAAAAACCCAACTTGATCATGTAATCAGACAGGCGCTGACCCGCATTAGATTCTCAGATTTACTCACGGCGCAACCTATGTTCCCTGTCGTGAACAACGCGTCGTTTCTTTCCGTATGGCTGATCAAATTCTGAAAGCCCTGCCTACGGAATAAAAACGGCCGCTGCGTCTCGCAAATCCTGAGAGGTTGGCCGAAAGGTGCCACGGCCAGTTGACGAGGCCAAAGATGAATACAAACTGGCGCACCTGGCAGGACATGAAAACGCCTTTGGTGTTGAGCGAGAAGGTGGCGTCCCAGTCCTCCTCGGACGTCTCCTCTGCCGACGCGTTCCGGTTGATTCCCGCGTTGTTCACGGCGATGTGCAGCCCGCCCAGGGCCGCCACCGTCTCGTCGACCATCCTGCACCCACCGAGGGATGTAGCAAGCCTTAGATGTGCTCAAACCCGAAGGTCCTGTTGACTTCTTCTGAAAAGTCTGTTTGCATTTTGTTGCCGTTCCTCGGGTCATGAAGTCTTTTACGACACTTGCTTTCGCTCTACCAGACTGTCTCGACTCAGCACTTTCGACTGTAAGCCAAGTCCCAATTGGGTTGGGTTTAGTTGCTTACCGACCAAGCTCACAAGAGACTGAGCGTGATCCAAATTGAAATCTTCCAGCCACAGTTTCAAAAACACCCCAGCCCCCTCACCGTTTGCAGTCCTTCTTCTGCGTTACGTCCGCCTGGATGGCGATCGAGCGGATGCCCTTGCCCCGCAGCTCCGCAACCACCTCCTCGGCTTTGCCTTTATTGATGTCCACCACAGCCACCGCCGCGCCGGCCTCCCCGAGAGCGTGCGCAAACGCGCGGCCTATACCCTGCCCAGCCCCTGCAAACAGCAGGCGCGACGAATGGGCAATCGGAAGAGCCCAGCAAGGGAAGGACTTTGTCTTGATGGCTTGAGAAGCGAGTAGATCATCGTTGGCACTGAAAGGGGCCTCTTAACAACAGGAAACCGCTCGCTTGTCTTGCTTCATCATCTCATACTGAACTTGTGGCGTCAGAGCGGGTCTGAACGCCCTGGCAGGTGTAGTTCACGAACACGGTGTGACCGAGCACTCGCTGTCAAGACGGAAAGCGACAGGAAAGCGCAATCGTGGAAACGGAAAACAGCCCCCGCACGAAGACAACAGCGTAGAGATAGAGAGTCCTTCACTGTGTCTGGCAAAACTCACCTGTGATAAGCGCGACCTTGCTGACCAGCTTGAACCGCTGCAAGATGTTGGAGCTTCCCACCCCCGTCACGATTTCGTCCCCCTTCACGGGCCTGTACAATCAAGAATAATTTGTAAGCGTGGTCCTCAAACCAGAACCGATCACTGAGGCAATGTCGTTCTTCCGAATCAGACCAATAGAGCTGAGAGTTCCAAATTCATCCGAAGTCCGGCATCTTAGCGCCGAAACTTTCGTGTTGCAAAACAGCACCCCAACTCATGGTGCCTGCCAAAATTGAAGAAAATGGCACTTTCTGTAATTCAGGCTTCAGACATACAATTAGGGCCAGCAGCAGACGTGAATCCTGTAATAAAGCGGTCCTCACGTAAAGATAGCCGCCTCACCGGCGCTCACGCAAAAGCTACCGGTAAGATAGCTGCCTCACCGGCGTGTGACGATGTTGATGCCGTCCCTGAGCGGGATGGCCACCACCTCCACTCGAGGGTCGTTGCTGACGTACTCATTGAACTCCCGAATCGCGTCCGCCATTTCGTCCTCTTCGGACGGGGCGTACACCCGGCCCTGCTCGCGGACAAGAACGGGAGTGGTAAACGGACCATCGAAGGAGCGGAAAAGCGTACCGTTGACAGTCAGGACGATATCAATCAAAGAACTGCCAACTGAGACTCCGCTTTGAGCCCCTAAAACCCTAATGTGTGAGGTCGAGGAAACAGGCTAACACAAAAAAGCGTGATTCAGCTTGGCACACAAAAAAATTACCGTTCTGAGCACGAGTTTCAGACAATCCATGGTCCCTCAGGCAATACTTCAGAGATTGGGCCGCCTTAAGCCACTGAATCTAACTTTAACCCGCAGCTTCTGAATCGTCATTGCTTCACTTTGATGAGTGGGAAACGCATTCAAAACCAAAAGCTGCAAAGTCCTGAAATTAGAGTGGGTAACTACCTTCATAAGGGAATTGTCAACGACCACAATGCCCCCGGGCACAATAAGGTCATTGTCCATGAGCTGCTTGTAGTAGCCCAGGTAGCCGCTCTTATCCGCATCCAGGAAAGCAATGTCGAAGCGCACCCCCCGCTGGGCCAGCTTCTCAATGGACTCATTGGCAGGGCCTACCACCACTTCAATGCGGTTCTGTAGGCCAGACTTTTCGAAGTAGGGGGCAGTGAACTCTTTGAGGAAGGGCTCGATGTCAAGTGCATAAACCTGGACAACGAATCAAGTGGGTCAGGAAAGTGCTCTACCACTCAGAACCCTAATTGCCCATTCTGGAAGTATGTCACCCCAAAACCCTAATTGCCCATGCTATAGATAGAGACTCCAAGAAAACAAGGTTTATGTAAAAGACAATCTCTCGAGAATAATAAATGGTCACATTGTTGACATTGGCTGGCGGATAGAAGATGCCCAAGCTAGCGTCTGTTTGGCTTAGGTCTCATAACCCTAGCTGAATCGTTCCCCTGGATTATCTGGTAAGTCTAGAGCTCAAGCTCTGTCAAGAGCATGTGGAAGATCACAAGCCAGCACAGTCTAGAAATCTTGAGAGAAGATACCGTGACAGTCCAAGCTCAATTCTCCTACCTTGCCAAAATCGGGCAGTGCTTGGGCCATGGCGAGCGTGCTGGTCCCCGTGAACATGCCCACTTCCAATACGGACGTGGCATGTGTCAGCTGGACCAAAGATCTCAGAAACTGGCCCTCCAGGGAGCCCGCGCAGCACTCCTTCTTCTGCTTGAAGATGGTCTTGCCCTGTACCAGCCGCCAGCATTGGAGATCTTTTAGGACCGACAGATTGACCTAAAAACTTCAGCATCGGCGCAGCCAGAGGTATTCATGGAAGAGGTGAGCAACCAGTGTCAGACTCCTCACAGTCAAATTAGGGTTCCAGGATGGTGTGCGAAGGATCAGGATACTGGCAGAGCATGCTGCTACTCTTGGGATCTACTGATAAAGAGACAGCTGTCAACCAGGGTGTGTTGCGAACCTGGGCATGGAAGTCGCTCCACGGGGCGTTCATTGAAGCTGTAATTAGCTCGTTGATTAACTGCAATTCATACCCACAAAACAGCGACTGTCAGGATCATTCAGAACTCAAGCAGTTGCCAAGCTCATCGTGAGCTTGATCCTGTGCGAACGATATGACGGCCAACCCTAGAAGCTGCCCATTGCAACCCTTGAACCCTCACACTCACAGTTCCTCATTGCCTCCTGCTGAACAAGACAATTGCTCAAACAGCATCTTGTGTGTTTTCCTCATTGAAAGGCTTGAGCTCCACCTGCCACTTACCTGGCCCTCCTAGAGATCTAGAAGTGCCACTCATCAGCATCTGTACCATCAGACCATGACTGTGCTCCAGAGAGGTGGTGGCATTACGGCTGAGAATCCACATTTCTGTTCAGCGGGCCCCCTGCAGAGAGCCTGCTCGCTTACCTCGCTTGGCTTGCTAGATACTTTTTCCAAGTAGGGATCCAGCCCCCCAGCTACTGCCAGCGCCTTCTGCACTGCCCCTTTGACCTCTTCAACAGAGTTGCCCGTCATTGCTCTCTGCAGCAGATCGGTGATCACCTCGATGGGCGTGTCAGGCTGCCCCGTTGCATGCACACCCTCCGGGGTCCCGGCTTTAGGCTGGGCAGCCCCATTGCCATTCATTTGGTCGGACAGAGGCAGAGAGGATGGGGGCGCCGGGGCCGGCATTATGTTCTGTGCGGGCTAGGAAGTAGTAGTTGGTGTTTGCAGGAAAAATCTTGCTTCTTCTTAGGGCAAAAGTGATATCAGTTCAAGTCAAACTACCCGAGTCACCACTTTGCTTGCGAGGACCGTGAAGTAAGGTTTGTGAATTCTATTAGGGCCATCAATGAGAAGGAGATGAGGGGATTGTCGGTGTCGATGTTTCAACCGATTTCCACAAGGAAGGAACTTGGAAGTACCAGTATCAAAAGAAAGCGTGCGACCCCATCTTGGATGACCTGCACTACAATTTTAACCTCCCTGTACGGTCCTACCCCGTCTCTCGCGGTAGCCTGTGGGCGTGTGTACAAATGCAGCAAGTCAGGTTTGGGACCTTGTAGGTACGACAGCTTGTACCTACCTAGGATCTCCCTCGCAGAAGACTGCCACCTGTACTTGACAACGACAATGTCGGGCAACGACCCGAAACTAGCGGGCTTCCGGGTGGTAGCCGTTGTGATCAGACAGTCGGTGTATTCTACCGGCTCCATATGGCAAGGCAAAAAAGCTTGAAGCCAGTCGCTTTTTCTACCGGGACGAAGAGCCCGACAGGCTTTTCAATTCACTTTTTCGGCGTTCGCTTTTTCAGACCCAATCATGTGCATGACGTCAAGCTACAGTTATGACGAAGCGTACTTTTTACAAAAGTATCTTTTTGAGGCAACGTGGCGGCCTTAAAGTTGCAACGAAGCCCCCTGCATGCATCTTGGGATTCTCTCTCGACGCCATGCACTGATTCTGAAATTCTGAAATCGCAACCACAGCCGGAGGTGTACGTGGGCTTCCGCTCTGCCATGCGCAGGCGGCAGCTGTACCCTTCCAAGTACGGTACTGCCCACATCTTTCCTAGCCGGAAGCCGTGTACAAGCGGTAGGTACCGGATCTGTACAAAACTCTTGGAAAAAGCACACACAGAAGCCGGCGCACATGTACACGTATGGTACGATGCTCTGTCGACAGGTTGCACGATACTCCACACCATTGGCGTACGGTACGTAGGTAGGTACGGTAGGCTGAGGTAGCTCTGCAAGGTCTACTACCGTAGGTAGGTGCCGAAGGTCGCTAGCTGGCCGTTGGAGAATCACACCCTTTTCCTAGGCTAGGAGAGATAAGGTTTTAGGGGTTCAACGGCTGCTGCGAGGCCCCGAGGGGACATTGGATGACGTGGAGCTCCGCACAGGAAGCCGGCAAAGAATCAAATGGATCATGTTGGCACCATGACAGAACGGCCACATCAACACAAAAGCGCGGGCTTTGGCCTACAACATGGAGCTGGCTGGGCTGTACCTACTACCGGTATACTGGGAACGACACTGTCAGGGCCCTGGCAGGGCCCTGTCCTGTACACGCTGATCGTTTCCAAGGTACCCGTATGCCTTGGATGCCTCAATGTCGTCCAAGGCATGTTTCCAAGTGTACACCACCAGTATAAGGTAGGTGGACAGGTACTGCTTGGCAGCTAGCTGGGCTGTACATGTCGCTCTAGCTTCCTTGAATGTACCGTAGAGCTCTGTGTACCAGCACCTCCCTTGATTCGCCGAATCGGAGGATATAGGGGATCTGCCTGCTGCATTCTCCCCAGCACACTTGCTGCAAGTTGCTCGATCAAGTAAGCTCCCAGCTCTTCTTCCGCCCCTTAGCATCCAGCTCAGCACTGCTCCTCCGCTCGCCACCTGAGCTGATCCACCAGCAGGGCTTACCATCACGAGCATCGTGCACAGCAGAGCCGCCAGGAATTGGCGCTGCAAAGGTAGTCTACTCCGGTCCAGCAGGCTACCCTTCCGCAGTACAGCGGTGCAGCAAGTTCTTCCAAACCCACATTCTGGGAGCCGAGTCAAAAAGTAAAGACGAGAAATCAACTAGACAGGCAGCAAGATGGACGCCGTCTGCGCAAGGCAGACATTTGGCGGTGTGGTGCGCCAGCCATTTGACACCGTGATGAGCGGCTCCCGGCCTGGGAGGGCTCTGGCGGCCCCGACAATCATGGGCGGTGTCAACTTAGAGCGAGCTGCCAATAGCTCGTTTGTAGGACTTCCAATGGGGGCTATCGCTCAAGGGTGGGTCTGCAAACCTCTCACTTATGTTGATGGGCATAGAAGAGGGGCGTTGCAGCTAGTTTGTGTAGAACGGGAGCTCTGAGGCCATGGCGCTTTCCAGATCATCCTAAAGTGGCTGGCTGTCAGGATGTTTCCCTTGAGGGGCATTGCATGCATGCTAAGCGCCAGATCCTTCATCCATGAAGTGGTCAAGTGTCATCATTAACAGTACCTTCAGCATTGCTGTTATCAGGGCAGGAGTTATGTTGTTTGTACAGGCAATCCTTTGAAGAGGCAATTCTTTGAAGAGGCAAACAACTACGGTCTGGTGATCCTGATGAAACGGACAGCATTACTTCACAACTGATTGTTGTCAGTATCATTCTTAAGGACGCGCAACCTCCTTGACTTCTCAAATGTCATTGGTTTGTCAGTGGTCCCTGTCAGAATTATCTGAGACTTCAATCACCCATCCAGGGCTTCCACTACAGTGTCTCATAGCTCCAGGATCCTACCTTAGCAGGGCGCCGCGAAGAAGGTGGTGTGTCTCACATTTCAGTAGCACTGTGATGCAATGTTGTGACATGGCAGACCCTTCTGACAGTCTTCTGCTCTTGTCCATTCAGATCTGCCAGCCTATCAAGGGCGCCTAAAGTGCAGCAGCCTAGTGCGGTGGCAACTCCTCCACGCCCCTTTGTTGAGGCGCAGCCACTCCCTGACCTTAGGGAGGCTTCTGTTCTTGACAGCGGGCTGACTGGTGAACTGGGGTCAGGCCTCAAGGGTCTCCACACAGTAAGTGGTCTTGGTTCATTGTTCTTCTGTGCAGAGGCTCTGAAGGTACTTAAGACATTGTAATTTTGTTGCTGAGAGCATCTCTGGAAGGGAGTTGGCACAAGTTCTGCATATGAACAGCTAGTGCATGCAGACACGTGCTCAACAGATCTTTTTTGTTTCCAGGGAAAATTTACGGTCCAGGCAACCCAGCCCATCATGTATAGCGTAGAGGAGTGCGAGGATCTCCTCAACCCTTCCAACATGGTAAGCAATGTTCACTAACCTGTCATTCTGCTGTCCTCATCACAATGTTCAGTGATTGGTTCACAGCTTACTCATGTGCTTGGAAGTCACCATTGCCGCTGCAATCCGGTGACTAGCGCCGTGAATCCAGTGTGATCAACACTGTGAATCCTGTGATTAGCACTGTGAACAGACACAGGAAAGGCAGACCTGTGTTCAAGACATACAGAGAGGTACATTATTGTTCAACAACAGGTCTGACAACCCTCGCGTCGCCACACTAATTGACCCCCTCTTTGTCCAGGCCTTGCTGTCAGGCATCGTGCCCAACACGTTCCCGCCCCAGGTGGCCCCTTACACCAGGAGTGCTGGCAAGCAGCTGAGAAGACTGCTGGTTGTTGATGAGAACTGGTACCGGTTGCACGGTGCCAAGCTAGACAAGGTGCGCAGAAGTTGGTATTTCCTGTGCATCAGTCCCTTCGCTGTGAAGTCAGACTCGCACAATTCTGATGGGTTGTCATGAACAGTGCACTCTGGTCATCAACAGTGCACTTTGGCTGGTTGTTAATTGTCCAACTTCATAAGATTGGTCTGAGTTAGAGACTATACTCATCAATATCAGTTGTTTGATCTCAGTCAGGTTCTCAGTTCGTGCTTTCTGGATGACTATGTCTTAAGTTGGCAACTGTTGATGACCCTATGATTGACCGTAAATATGTGATGGTGCAGTACTTGGAGCACCACCGGGTAGAGAGCAAGATCATCCAGCTGCCGTTCTGCGAGGCCAACAAGAGCTTCGACCTCGTGTTCGAGGTTGCTCAGCAGATTGAGGACTTCAAACTGCACAGGTATGAGGATATCTACGAGATGTAGTCTGCTTGACGAGTGTTACTAACATCGCGATGTACTTGCATAGCATGTTTCGAGGCGATTGATGATTATGTACGTAAGTTTGTGATTGTGCAAGTCACGGCCTTTCGACTGATAACGCCCTCTTTGCCAGAGGCTGAGCCCCTTCCGTTTGACCCAGGCGACGGGAGCCACTGATTGCCATCGGAGGTGGGGTGTGTTTGGACGTCGTGGGGCTGGCGGCGAACCTGTACCGACGAAACACACCCGTCATTAAGGTGGGGATCATAAGCAAGCATGTCAATGGTCTGCTCCTTTTTGGGAATTGTTGGCCTTCGGTTCATGAGAGTTCGGCCTTCGCTTACTACAAAGGTCTGGGCGTAACAGTTGCATGTGTCTTCGGGAGCAGGCGGACTCGATCCCTGTCACCCAAATCCTTGTCTTCATTATCATTTCCTTTGTATCCGTCGCCGAGCAAGAAGCCGCCAGATCTGCGACTGAACGGGAACGGTGTGAACGGTACACTAGGATTCACCGGAACGGTGTGAACGGTACACTAGGATTCACCGATCCTCGACGGTTAGCTGACGTTACTCCACAATTTGGGCAGATCCCGACCACTCTGATGGCCGTTGTCGACGCGTCGATCGGCGTGAAGACTGCTGTCAACTTCCACAACAAGAAGAACAAGCTGGGCACATACTGCCCGCCGCTCGGTGTGTTTTACGACCGCGCGTTCCTGAAAACGCTGGACGACCGCCACCTCAGCAACGGCGCCGCGGAGATTCTGAAGATGGCCGCCATTAAGGACGCGCCGCTCTTCCACATGCTCGAGCAGCACTCGGCGCAGCTCATTGCGTCCAGATTCCAGGTGAGGCAATATGGGACGAAGACAGATAAGCTGGATTATCGCATATAACGTTCTGGCGAATGCTGCCTTCATGGTGCAGATTTCGAATTTAATGGCGTAGGTCTGCCTCGCCTTTTCGGCATCCACTCAGCGAACTTCGACGATCCTTTCAAGCTTGACGAGGATAGGTCCTCGGAGTTGCTTAGGATGAGTGATAATGTGGCGAAATCTTTGTGTGCGGTGCAAACACCATAACCAACAACCCGGCTTGTGAAGTGTCAACCAAGTGGCTTGTATCTAACCACAATCGTATTCCCGTGCAGACGCCCGCTGCGCGCCTTGTGCTGCGGCGGTCCATCCAGGGTATGCTGGAGGAGCTCGAGTGCAACTTGTACGAGCACGTGCTGACACGTGTCGTCGACTACGGCCATACGTTCTCCCCCGAAATTGAGATGGCGGCGCTAGAGACCAACGACGAACTGCTGCACGGCGAGGCGGTCAACATCGACATGGCGCTCACCACCGAAATCGCCCACCGGCGCGGCTACATCACGGCCGACCACAAGCGCCGCGTGTTCGCCATCATGCGCGCGCTTCGGCTGCCCTTCTGGCACGCCTCCGTCACCCCGAAACTGCTGATCAAGGTGCGCGCACACTGTTTTTGTGGCCCTTCGATTACTGAATCCGCTGGTGACTATGAAGTGAAGGTCTCGACAGGCTTTCTGCTTCACGTTCACGTGCGGAGTGAAGATGTGTTTTGACGCGCTCTTCGGCTAGGACCACGATCGTTTTGTATCAGAGCTCCTACTATGTGTCCGTCCGTCGTCGGTTTGGTTGTCCGAACGGAGGCGCTGTAGTCTAATAGTTGGACTAACGTGGAGAAATGTTGCTTCTTATGCAGGGGCTCCGCGATATGACTATCGCGCGCGATGGCCTGCAGCGGGTGCCGCTGATGAGCGGTATCGGCGGGGCGCGTTTCGTCAACAACCTGAGCGACGACGAGGTGTTCGCGGCCGCGGCCGCGCTCCAGCACTACGCACAGAGCCTGGAATGCCCAGAGGCGATTGACGGCTTGAGCCCGTTCTTCGACATGGACCATTTCCCCTCCCCTGCCATGCTGGCAAACTGAGCAAAGTACGGTCGGCCCCAGCTAGGTGTTAACTAGAGGGTCTTGCCAGGCCGCTTCTCGAGAGAGGAGATGGGTTCCTGGTTCTCGCATTCTTCGCGTCTTGACCTCGTCAAATTGACGGGAAAGTAGTAGTAAAGCAGAAGATTGTATATAACGGGGTAGATAACTGACTACCAATATTGATTGAGCGGGGATGCAATTTTGTCCATCGAACACTGCATCCTTACTCCCTGAAAATCTGCGTCGTAGAGTAGTGAGGTTTGGAAGTAGGTTTAGGAATGGACAATCTCTTGCGCGCAAGTGTAAACATACTGACAGTAAACGCCATGTCTTGCTTCAATGGCGCTAATAAATGCTTCGTCCCCAAGGAGGAATCTTGTGAGATCAGTTTCGAGCCGCTCTTAGCAAAAGTCTGCATCAATAAATGCTTTTACGCCCATTCCATAATATTACAACCTACATGAACAAATGTGGCCGGAAAGGCCATTTACAACTATGTTTCATCAATCATTCGTCGGCAAACGACAACGAATACTGATCAGTATGGAACAGTAAGGACTGCACTTTCAAAGAGCAGACCGCGCGCAAACACGATCAATTGTCTCACAACGTATCAATCACCCCTACTTTGAATGTTGATCAACCTCCCTCTCAATTATTCGACTAGTCGCGATCTTTTTATAATCATGGTTTGAAATTCTGAATATTCACACATGTTCGTCTTTGAGTTTTCGAAACAATGTGAAGGGAGTTGCACACATAGTCATCTCGTCCTGCACTGGAAAGGGGAAGGCTAACACTGGGAATTTGACGTGTTGGGTCAACTCCGAGACAAGCTTCATCATGCACTGAAGAAGGACTGCGCTCGCTCAACTGGATACAATGTTGCCGCCGCCAATGCATTCTGCAAGCGGTACTTGAAAAAGACTTCAGACCTTCGTAGATACACAAGGTGCGGGCTTTAGAAGCACCTCCACTCGAGCGTCTGCACTGTAAGCCAGAGACCGTCCTCACCGCCTCGATGTCGCACTTTGCAAGCAAATCACGATCGGCAAGTGCTCGAGTGACCAGTCACATGATGGTCTGTCTGACGCGGATACGATTGCAACCCTTTTGATTCATCAAAGCAAAGCAAAGAGCCTTGATGAAGCAAAATTTCAACAGAACTTGTTGTAAGACACGCGCTAGAGGGGGACATGCCTATATTCTTAGGGCGTTGAGCTTCGCAGATCAGCACCCTTGGACAGAGGTTCTCCCTCTGAGAGGAACGGGCACCCAGAGTCGATGCGGAAAGCAGTATCCGAAGGCTTACGTTTCAGTTTGAAAATTTTGGGCTCAACTGATTGATTTGACTTCTGGACTAATGTGGCCGTCGGCACTGCCACGCGGTCGTCTAAAGGTGCAAATTGGATCACACTGCCGAGCGAGATAACGAAACAATTCGAAAGAGAGAAAGGGCTGGCAAAAGCTAAAATCCAAGCGGAGCTCTTATCGCGCGAGGACCGACCAATAGTGCAACCAAGAAGGGGAAAAGTGCCACGGGGGGAGCGCGGGACTGTGGAGCAAGTCACGACAAGTTGATCCGGTCCCGTACTGCATGAACGTACTGAAATTTCATGCATACCATGCGCAGGTAGATTAAAAGAAGAGGTTTCCGGCGCTCGTTTTTCTGGAAATGCTCTGCGGATGCATGGAGAACGGGTGGAGTGATTTGCAGCTAACCTGCTTGTCATGCAGAGTTCGGCAAGCTGTTCTATCCAGACAGTATGATTTTGGGGAACTGCTGAGAAGTGATACTGACAGAGAGTCGCGTGTACGAACTCATGCCGGGAAGTGGTGCGGCCGTCTGCTTCCTGACACCCTCGTTCAGAATAGTCACTCGCTGATCGCCACGTGGCAGCATGGGCGGCTAAAAGGGGTTTCTGAAAATTCACGGTCGCAGCGTTCTGGCCCTCATCTTTTAGTGGAGCGATCCGGGGCGCCCCCCGCTCCAGAGGCAGGCCGACCTCTGTATGGAGTTTTTCCACGAGCTCGAGAGCTCCCCCGGAAAGGTGTGTACAATTCAAATCCCGCCAGATTTCCCCCCTCCCCCAAATCAACCCCTCAAAGGGTTAGCTTTTGCAAATCACCATCGAATTCTTGGCCACATAAGATCTTGCCAACCTTGATCATGACCTGATTAACGTTGCACTAAGGTACGATTAGAGCTCCGCTGATCAAAGGCAGAAACTTCCGCCAAAGCACGCGCCGAGCGCCCAATCAGGCCGAGGTCCTTTGTATGTACGATTAGATGGTGCTTTGTCCTTAGAAAGGTGTCTGACAATTCTGTATCTAAAATCTCGATTTCGTGCAGCCTTATCGAAGCTCGTCATCTGAGCCCTTCATGACGGATCGGTCCGTTTTTGTAGAATTGACGTCGTCCATGAACAAATCCGATATAAGTGTGCGGAATCTCGCAAAAGAAGTCGCGGCTGCTAGCCGTGGTTGTTTGTTATCGATCTGTCCATCCCTTGGTCGTTGTGTAGCTCCAAACCGAAAGTGCATCGATTGACCGCTGGAAGCAGACCTAATCAGACGTTTATATAGACGGTGGTGATTTTATCAGGACCGGAGGTGAAGTGCAAGCATGCCAGACGTTTGCTTGCCAAAGGATTTGTCACGATTGCTCATTGACAACTTCCACGTTAATTGAATGTCGCATTGACATAAGCAAGGAACAGCTTTGAACAAACCCACATGTCACGCGAGCACGCGGCTTGTCCATCTGCGTAAAAGCATCATTCACATACGGGATAATTTGAGAAGAAATTTAATTGGTGGTTCTTGGATACATGAGGTGTTTGGGTTGTTGTGGTAGCGGGTGATACGGGGCGATTGAAGAAGGGAAGGAGTGGTGGCAATTGATGAGGTGGCGGTTGAGTGAAGTAGGAAGTGGCTGAATGGTTTGGGGAAGGGTTGTTCCGGGGGAGCTCCGTGGAGCACCCCTGGACAGAGGGCCTGCCCCTGGGCCGGGGGGCGCCCCGGATCGGTCCACTGATAAACCAGGAGCAGAAAGCTGCCTTATGCATGCGCTGCCTTTCCAATTTCTTTGTGGGCGGACTCCGCCTGCAACCCAAATCGAGTGCGACCCGTCCGATGGTTCCACGTGGCACATCAGACGGCTTCCATGGAAGGCCGTACTTCCGCGGCAACGTGCCGCGTGCCCACCAAAGACACGAGTCGGCTGCGGCCGCTTGGAAGCTGAGAAAGGTTGATCGGAACAGTGTACCTACAGACTTTGTCAGGCTGACTCTGTCTCCACGCATGACTCTTCGCCGGCCACTCGGAATCTGGTTGGGTCTCAGGCACCTACTTGTAGCAATGCATGACCTTCAATGATGTAACTCAGCGCTGCCAAGCTCTGGCTCTAAGTCTATGATATATGAGAAAGAGAACTGCTGTTTGATACGGTCTTCATTTGCACCGATAAAAGAGGTTTCAACCTCAGAGTCTGATGTTACTTATGAGCCTATTCATCTCGAAAAAGCTTGAAGTACTGGACGAAGTCGCAGGTGCTCACTGTAACTAAATGCGGGCATCAAAAGCGGTAGGCGAGACTCGGAGCCCACACTCTCCACGATCTCGAAAAACTTTGCTCCTTGTAAGCATGATTTTCCGGTTTTCACCCCCCCTTGTCTGCGATTCGGTTGCTCTGGTAGCTAGAGAGGCGCGATAGAGCGCCACCAGAAGCTGCGCGTCGAGAGCTCTGGTCAAAGTCAGCTTGCGCACCAACTGATTGCCCACGAAAGGACTCTGCTTTTCAAGGAAGGACGCTTTCGGTTCAAAAATATGCGAAGCCGCAAACACGCTCCTCATTTGGACGCTCCATCTTGCCCGCTTTTACTCTATTCTGGCCCGTCCTTCCCGACCAGATTATAGGCAGGCTAGAGTATGCAGCAGAAGACACTCCCAAAGAAGGAGGACAGACACTTCTGCGTCAGTGCTCGATTTGAACTTCATCTTGTGGTGTTCCCGGGGTGGTGTTTGAAACAGGTGACGGTTAGCTTCGATACTGCGTGAGCTGGCAGTTGGGCTTTCTTTTGAAGCCGTCTCTAGGTTTCTTCTGTCGGAGCTCGCTTAAAGATTCTATCGGGACTCTCTCTTATCATCCACAGCACATAAGGCGGCTGACTTGCCTGCTCGGCCCGTTGCAGCTAGGCTGCCCGCTGTGGTCACACATCCAGGCAGCATGCTAAATCCGGAAACGGCGACCGCTGAAATGAAAGACCGTCTCAACAACTAGAATAGAGCGAAGACATTCGCTCTCTTCTGCCCGCCTCACTTTCCTGTTCTCAGAGGGTGCCTTTACTCCGCTCGCCATTCGATTTGACTCCATGTCCCTTGCACCCCCTTCCCGTTGCAACCAGGAAGACCCAATGAAGACGGCCTGCTTTATCTCGGCCTCCCATCTTTCCCCTGCTGAGCGCTCGCCTCGCCAATCTCCGCTGCGACGTTCATGTCGTTGTGCTCGTCGAAACAGCGCTCGGCAACTGCGGCCACGGAGAGCCTTTTCCGGATCCCATATGCGAAGTTTGTAGATGCAGCTTGCTTTGAACACATTCAACCACCACATGACCAGCCTATTCGTGCAGAGGGGTTGAACCTCTGTATATGGGCGTCTTGATATAGAGCAGGAGCTTGCTCTTCCTTGAGGCCATGAGATTGGACCGGTTCTTGAGGAAGATCATCAACAGCCCTGGAGTCCGCGCCTCTGCACAGAGGAAGTTACCGAGCCCGCTCGTTCTATTCTTCCTTGACGGCTGTTTTATGCGATAGGTCCAACGAAGAAATGCAGATAGGCGTCTTCAATGCGTGTTTGAAGCATCTAGAGAAGGTTTGATCGGAGGAGCGGAAGCTTACCCCCTCTACCGGAGATTATTTGCAGGTCAGGGAGATGAGCGGGCGCGAAGATTGGGAGCTTCCATTCTACAGATTTGAGCAAGTTTTATTTCAGACAAACATTTCTCCTTTATGAAGATCCTCCATTGATGGGGGCCTTTGGACCTCTGGCGAGACCTTCTGGGGGATCCGTTCGGCACGAGCTCTGCTTTTGCTTCTCGCTCTGTGGATCTATATACGTGCCCCTTTTGAGCTGTTATTCCATAAAAATTCGCGAACATGTTTTCCCTCGTCTTGACTTTTCCAATCAAAGGGGTCAGTTCATGAAAAGAAAAACAACAATCTCAATCTGGTGGCATTGAAACTCCTGGCTGACGGAACCTTGTCAGCTTATTGGTCCTCCGGCGCACTCACCTAATGGCCACGTGCCTCTTGCGTGTGCGCAGACGGCCGACGGCGCATAGTTAGCTTGCCAGCTTGCATACGTACCTAGGACGAACTAGGTACGTATGCAAGTTGGTGCATATTCAGGACAATCACTCAGATGATGAGTTGACGCTAGGTTTGATGACAATTTCAGAGATAAGTGAATTGCACTGGACAGCAGGGGTCAAGAAAAACATCTTGGAGCTGGCGGGGCTCGAACCCGCATCTCTCAACTTCCTCAGGAGGAACCTTTCAGGAACCTCCTGAGGACTCCTGAGCTTCGCGCGGGCTCCGGACCACTGGGGCCCGGCAGGCAGCGCGGAGCTTGACAAGCTCCGTGCCGCCAAGGGATCACCCCCCTAGAAGGGAAAGCGGCCCCTCGAGGTCATTGTGACCACGGGCCGGTTTCTTGAACCGGCGGTTTGGCGCTTTACCGATTAAGCTACAGCCCCACGTAAGGTGAACCTTCGTACGTGGTTTCTGATTATATTACGCCTATTCCAAGAAATCAGTATCTGTGGGTCAGTGGTCACATCAGATTTCGACCGTCGATTGAACCTGCATGAACCGATGATCAATCGAGAGCCGGCTCCAATTGAATCCGTGAGCCAACATGTACTGCTCACTGGCCATAAAGAGCAAAGATTCGGGCAATACTGCGCACTAGCGGCTCACGAGAGCCGCGTGACCAGAGTGACTCACGTGAGGCGAGTGACTATCGTGAGCGGCTCTCACTTTGAGTGACTCTCAGTGAGCGGCTCTCGTACCTTAGTAAATTCCTGGTTCCAAAACGCACACGCTGACACTAGAAAAAGGTTATCAGATCGAAGAAGCAAGTGCGCTTTCTTCTGAGCTTGTTCTTTCCGCCAAAGGCTGGAACTCCTGCTATGCAAGATCTATGCAAGATCATTTCGAGACATGGGCAATCTTACATGTGCACGCATGACTCGTATCTATCTATGCAAGCTGTCGAACCAAGGATACTGGTTAGGAGCTTTCATTAAAAGTATAGTCCCCTATGCTCACTGTATTATACGTCGAAAAGATGGTCCTTAGCGATTCGCTTCCGAGCAAGTCAGTCGCCCATGTGGGCTCTACCAATATCGGCGCCACAAGAGGCTCAAGAAGGGTTGCAGCAAGCCCGGATCCATTCGTCCGCGCACTTTGACAGGAGGCTCCGGCGAAGAGGAATCTTAGAGCAAGAGAACAGTTTCTTGATTCCGCGTTCTATATCTGAAGGGCCGGTTTCACTTCCCTGCTTTGGACAGCTTGCCTCCAGCGCGAAGCGGACGATGTGCCGCAAGGCGCGTCCGCTTTCGCGTAATTGTCTCAGAACCGTCCGATGAAAGCCACGTGGCAATATCGAGCGGTAGGAAGTGGCCGTTCGTTCTGGGCCGGCCCACAGATAATGGAGACAATCAGGGTGTATATAAGGCAGAGTTCCTGCCCTCGTCTTTCAGCGGATCGATCCGGGGCGCCCCCCGGCCCAGGGGCAGGACCTCTGTCCAGGGGTGCTCCACGGAGCTCCCCCGGAACAACCCATCACACAACTTACCCCCCAAACAGATCACTAAATCAAACACCCACCTCCCAAACCTCGCCTACATTCATTACAACAAACTCACATTTCGCAAACCTCTCATGCTTCAACCCCAACGTCACACACTCACTTGTCATCCATACAACTGAACCTGCTCAAACTTCTCAAAGAAGCGCATGTTTCCAGTCAATTCTGCGTTTGGCTGAACAAGATGTCTGGCGAACCGTCATTTGGAGATGAACAACTAATAAGTTAGCTGCTTTCGGCGTCATGCATGTGGTTTTGTTCAAGACGTACCAGAATGTGCATGCTCTGGCAAACTCGAACATGGAACAATCGATTCCAGCACCTTAGAGTACAAGCGCTGTTCTACCTGACCTGTGAAGGTTGTCGAATCCGTCATTTTTGCTAACGAGGTGAGGAGTATGCTCGTAATCTGCATTGGTTCTGAACAAAACCGCTTTGCGGTTACCACAGAATAGGTTCATGTGTTATGATTAAAAGCAGACCCCTCTGGCTGGGGAAGAAGTGATGCTGGTTGGTTGTTGGTTCGATTGGGTTTGTTCAGAATTTGGTTGGTTTTGGATTGTGCTGTTGTTGGGTTAAAAGTTGGTGCTAGAGGAGGGAGTAGGGTTGAGGGCGGTGCTGAATTGTTCCGGGGGAGCTCCGTGGAGCACCCCTGGACAGAGGTCCTGCCCCTGGGCCGGGGGGCGCCCCGGATCGATCCGCTGAAAGACGAAGGGCAGAACGCTAGGTTATGTATGCACCGCTCGTTCGAGGTCCTTGTGGGCAGAGGCAAGATTCAAAAACACCTTCGGCCACGTGATGCCACGTGGCGGGCATCGGACGCTTTCGTACGAAGACGCCGAAACCGCACGAGAATGAAGGCTCGCTTCAGGAAGCCCGTCCGAGTTGCAAAGAATCAGGGAGTAAGCAAGACGTTGAAGATTGATCGGTTTCCCGTAGGTGGCCTCTCTGCAGTGTTCCTCCTAACAGCGCACATGAGCCTCCGGCTTGGGAGCACCACTGCCGTCAATCAGTCAACCACGGTAGAGTTTGTAACAGACCCGCTTTTAGATCACTCGCATCCGTCTTCAAGTTGTCAAAGGGTCGGGTACGAAGTCCTGTTTCTAAGACAAAAGCATACCAACGAAGAGAGACCTTCAGCAGTGCCCAAACAACAATCCTGAACGAGTGGATGATAACGTGAACTAGGGTGACCTTAGGGCCTTTCAAGCTCTGGGCAGCAGCCAGCCTCCCGGCAGCGCTTCTGCGGTCCGCTCGGACCTGGTCGTGACTGAGTTCGATCTTCGATCTAAGTCTGCCTCCGAAGGGGAGGCGCCCACGAACAAAGTACTCCTCTGATTGCAAGTACGTGAAGCTTACGGTAATTGCATGTGTCTTGGAGCTTTGGCAAGGAGCTTCGTCAAGCCGATCAGCCATGGTGTGGCAAGTTTAGGACTGCCCACAGCTCCCAACCAAAGCCTAAGAGAATGGTCACGTACAGTGCACTGAATCGCCAAACGAGCGGACGTCCCCGTGGCCGGGCGAGCATCTCTGGTTCGGAAGACACTCAGTGACTGCTACCAATCATGTGCCCCCGGCTAAAACGTTAGTGCACGAGGTCCATGTTCAGACATGTATGAGGCAATGATTGTTGCGTATGCAGCATAACGTATTGCCGTATCTCGGTACGCACGCGAGCCTCTCACCAGACTTCTGCTATGACAAGCGGAATCGCCCCGACAGGCAGACCATACCAATAGTTGTTGTCAATTGCAAGTTAACGACGGAGTGCAGTCCGTGTTGCAAAAAAGCATGTATCACTCCTTGCGCGAAGTTGTGCAGGCCTTGCCTTTTTGTTTCGTGGAGAAACATATTCGATCTTCAATCGGAAAGAGTTGTATACGACAGCAACAGAACTATAGACTCCAGAATCTCTGATGATCAACTAGATTTCGCTTGACTACGCTCATGTACCTGGAAGCTAACTGCATATACCGTTCCGTTGTCTGCAAACCTGTGTATTCGAAGCGCTTGTCCTTTCCTGCATTATACATCCTTTCTCTTTGTACACTTCCAGCAAATGTTGCGGGCACTTGCTAATGTCTAATCAATGGAGCCTTGCGCCAGACACGTTTTGTACAGGTTTGCCATAGTATGGACATGTGCTAACAAACCCTTTACTTCCAATCAATCTACTATAGGGCCGCACAAAGAATGATCAATAGCCCCTCCCTTAATATGGGCTCTTCAATGCAAGCCGGCTCCCACAGTCTCCGCCCCCAACAACGGCTCCCGGATGCCCGCTTCATCAACCTTCCGTTTTGTGGGCAGTTCCGGGTCCGCTTCTTCGCAGTCCAAGCGCATGGTCAAGACGACGGCCGCGGCCATGATCGCCCACACGCCCACCAGCGGGCCCAGCACCCAACGTTCTAACGACACGTGGCAAGAATCGTCACCGACCGTGCACACCGGTTGGACTGCACGGCACAGGCAAACGAGCTACGATCGAACCGCTAGCACAAAGAGAGGAACTTGGAGAAGTGGAAAGTACAACGAATTAATGGCTGGCCTGCCCCCGAACCTTCTTACAGATAAGGCTTAACATAGTAAATGATTGGCAGCGGTTCGAAGTAGGAACGATTGGGCCACTTTTCATACAAGCGTCACGGCAGTCAGGTGCACTGGACACAAACACTGTGATCCAGGTCCCTCGCTCGCTGCACGAGTTCTGGACGAATGGCTTCACAGAATTCTTTCATTTCCATTTGCTCTCGCTCCCCGCTGACTGGGAACGGTGTGGCCTCACCGTTGAACATCTCGATCGCGTACAGCGCCGCGCCGCAGGCCATCTTGTCCAGGAAGCCGAGCGAGCCGTACACGAAAGCGCACCCGTCCGCGTCCGACCCCACCAGCACCGCCTGCAGGCTCACCGCAGGCACCTGCCGCACAAACGGGCCAAGGACTCAGCGCAAAAAAGCAAACGGTCAAGGAAGTATCAAACCGCCACAGCCTCGTAAGAGAGGCGTTGATTTGAAAGTTCAGCCGTTGAATTGCGTGTCGAGCAGAGGCCGCTGCGTGGTCTTTCGTGACAGCAGAACAAACAAGGTCGCAGACACACAATCGTACCAGCAAGCCTCAGATGGCTTCTCGTACTTAAGACAGGTTTTTAGCCATCTTAGCAGAGAACGTGGGACATTTGTATTTTTTTGGAACCATGCAATGGAGGGCACTAATGAACCATCGTTGGCAAGAGAGCAAAGCGGGGGGCCGCTGACCAGCATGAGGGCGTTGGCGGTGCCAACCAGCGCTGCGAGGCCGTAGATGGCGGGGCACCAGCCGGGGCGCAGCCAGAAGAAGCCCGCGGAGGACAGCAGCCACAGCGCGCATCCCCCCAGGAAGCACGCGCGCAGCCGGCCGCCGTTCCAATGCAACTCCTAGTACGACGAGCAAGCATGCAAACGTTAGCGATTGGTTGCAACTAAGTACTTTGGCCGAGACCATTGTGGCGCGCAGGCAACCGCTTTCGTGTCTGCTTGATGTACAATTCCAAAATCATCCAGGCGCCCGAAGACCCCGATGACAACGTGGACTCACGGAGTGAGCGACAGGCTGGATGTGTCTGAAGCGGGCTCAAAGCTGAGCCCAACACGGCGAGGGTGCGCCGCACAGAAAACCCAATCCGACGTCCCTGGTCGGCCTTCGTACCAGGTGCAGGGGCAGATTGACCAGTTCGTGAACAAAGGAAACGGCAGACCCCCCGGGGGAGCAAGGGTCCTACCTGAAGAATGATGGACGCTAGGAAGCTACACAGGAAGATGAGCGCAGGGACCTGCACGCGCGCGCACCACCCAGTCAGTAGGCTAAGGACCGGAGAGTCAAGGGCCGCCCCACGCAACGGCGCAGAGTTCGAAATAGACTGACAACGACCCGCAACACGAAGGTCAAGAAGCGGGCAAAAAAGTAACGAGGTTAAGACTCAATTCGATTGGGGCCGAAACCTGATCAGGCAAACGACGTACGAGCTACTGTGTATGCGAGACTTCTGGCTACGACTGAACGGCGAGGCGAAGCGGCGGAGCTTCGCACTTGACAAGTCCAGCGCGAAAGCCGCTGTTCAGGGATGGGGTACCCAACCACGACGTAACGGGGCGGCGCTTACCACCGCTTGTGCTGACTGGCCCATCAACAGATCTCGTACCAGGAAGAAGGGAATCATGGCCTGCACACAAGAAAGGGTTGCAGCTACCGTTAGCAGTTTCTTCCGCAGGCAGTACTCGGAACTTCTGTGCTGCCAGAGAGGGCCTGACTAGCCCTTTCGCGTACACTGAAATGCAACCTACCATGCCGCGACGGTGCTGTCGAAATGCGAGCGCGAGGCAGGCGGGGCCAAATGTGATCCAGCCATCATTAGATAAGCAGTAAGCAGTCTCGCACGTTTCATGATCTGATTCACGCGTAGTGCACCTTCAGTACTCGGACCATCCGATGCAGCCCACAGTCTCCTTTAATTAAAACAAGATTTGACAACCTCGTCTCAATACCGAAGGCGTAATCCCGCCTGCTGTTCCTGGGCTCGCTGAGGTAACGAAAACATCTATGCGCGGCCCCTAATCATGCGAGGCCCCTAGTGAACAAACGAGTGTGGCCGGGGTGGGGTGCCCACCTGCGACACGTTGGCGATGAGGCGGGTGAGCGTGCACGCGGCCGCCACCTGGTAGTAGAGCGCCTGCCCAAACCACGACTTCCACCCGCGCGCGCAGCCGCGCTCGTGCTGTGTGCGTGCGACGCTGCAACAGAGGGCAACCGCAGGGGATTGTAACAAGGCTCGGAACGAGACAGCCAGCGGGTGCATTTCTCAGTGGAGCGACCGGCTTCAAAGAAAGCTCCACTTTGTGCAAGTTTGCGAAGTCGTGGTGATGCTCTGAAAATTCGATGCAGCAAGAGGCGTCGGAAAAGCAGCGGCTAGGATCCAAATCAGAAGAACTTCCTTTCACTGGAATCCAACGGACAGCCTAACGGGACGTCCATTTATCTTACCTGGGCTCACGAATGGTGAATAGAAACACGAGGACGAAGGCCGAACCGATGGCCACTGCCGGAAGTGCCACTGCCGTGAACTGCAGAGCCGAACAAAACTTTGAGAAGAGACTCTTGGTCGTACAGCAAATCAGCCCTTCACATTTACTAACGCCTGCCCATCATTGGGCAGAACAGTTCTGATTCTCACAAATGCTGCCAAATGATGACGCCAATCTGTTCGATTCGCGTTTTTATCAAGCCCTCTACCAAGCCTTCGTCCAGATTGAAGGGTTTAGATCAAACGAGAGACGATAGCAACGTTTAAGCCCTTTGTCTGCGCGTAAACTGGCTGACTTGCACGTGTGTCACTTCCTAGAAGCACCGTGACCGAGGTTTTACTCGCAACTGCTGCTGACATGGAAGACGTTCAGACCCGCATCAGTTGCAACTTTGCCATGTCCGTGATGAAGGTTCAAGTGACAGAACTCGATAATGCGCTGGCAAAGCTCACCTGGCGTTGGACTTCCTCCGGATTATTTCCTGGCATGTTGGTGAAGGCCAGATATGCGAGCCCATACAGGCCCAGGTTGGATATCTGCACCAAGGAGACGGCCAACTGAGTGGTGTGCCACTAATATACACCCTCCTTATATCTCAAGGCAGCTACCGCTTGCCTTAGCGAAGCGCAAATCCTTGTGAGATCTCGTCCCAGGCTTTCAGTTTATCAACGACAAGAGTCGTCGAATTAGGATTGCAAGAGAACTGCTCAAGGCATGTTCTGCCTGGCTCTTCTCGAAATGCAATATTGTTGCGACAAATGTGTGACAAGGACGATTGTAGATAAGCAAAACGAGTGACCATAGCTTGCGTAGTATCAGTCTTTTGCTGGCGAGTCCAGTGGGACAAACCGGAGGCAGGGCCGATCAATCTGTATTTTTAAGATTGATAGGCATGTCTATTTGAGAGCACAACCACCTGCCAAGCTCTCAGAAGCAATTTAGCTTGCAACATGGAGAGACCCCAACACTGATCAAAAAAGATAGACACTGATGCGTATGCGCCCACCATGGTGAATGCGTTGCGGCAGCTGTTGAGCGCGACCCTGCTGGAGGGGTGCGCCGTGAGGCAGGCCACAAGCGCCATGTGCGACACTTGCACGCACGCCCACCCGACGTTGAACACGCTCGCGAACACGGCGTAGCTGGCCGTCATGAACGCAGACGACGAGGTGCCGAAGATAAAGCACGGCAGGCAGCCCCCAAAGATGGAACTGAACGAGAGGGCCACCAGCGCAGAGCCCCCCGCGTGCCACAGCTTTAAGTGACCGAACGCGTCCATCATGCGCCCCGCCACCAGCGTGGCCAGCCCGTCCGCGACCTGGCCGCACATGAGCACCAGTGCAGCTTGGCTGGAGAAAGGCGGGGAAGAAGGTCAGAAACAAGCGAGGCGGCGGATGAATGGGCACTGGGCAGACTGTGCATCCTGCATTTCTGTGGAACTTGTGAGAGATAAACTGTGCTACAATGTCACACTAGTGGGTCTGCTGTTTTTTGATCAAAGAAACTATAAGAAGGAAGACGGAGAGTTTGCAAACAGGGACCTCAGGTGCCTCATTGTGTGATGACGTGTTTGTTACTCCAAGACGGTTATTGACTGCGAATCACCACGCAGGTCGATTCACAGTCACTCAGCTTGCAATAGCGTCAGCGTCGGTGATGCGGACTGCTTGTGGACTCTGGCTGCCCAGGTGGATGCCCAACAAGCAGAATGTAGCGCTTACTTGGAAATCACCTCAAGATACAAAGTGCTGACCAGCATTACATTGATGTGGGTCCTCGAGCCCAATGTCTCATTCGAATTGGGCGTGAGTATGAGTAAACTTTTGAGACATTCGACCACTCACCTTGGCGACAGCCCTATGTGTGTGAGGAACAGCAGCAGGTACGTGAACCACGCGGCGGAGCACAGGTCATTGAGGACATGCCCAAAGCCATACAGGAACACATTCTTCTTTGGGATAGGCGTCCCACATGGGCTGCCAAGCAGGGCCACCTGCCCTGCTGGCAGCTTCTCCGCCCCATCAGGACGGACCCTCAACAAGCTCTCAAGATCTGGGCAATCTGCGCCCCCTGGTTGTGCAGGGAACGCCTCAGAGCCAGTCGCTTGCTCCATGAGGACACGTCAGCCCGCTGGCGCAGAGCCCTTGCGGGAAGCCCTCTGACTAAGAAGGACGGCGGCACTACCTGCATTTGACCTTTTCAGGCTTTGACACAAAGAAGAGTCGCCAGCATGATATGCCCAAGCTGCTGTGAGCAAGTGTGTCCGTTAGGGACAAAAGGGTAATTCGAGGGTGGTACGAGAGCGCCTCTCGTCCTCTTCTAAGTTTAACTAATTCCAGAAAACAGCTTCGGCTTCAGCATGAGCTGCATGCACTGTTCAAAAGCTGCAGCCACGTAGGGGCCTTCCTCCATGACAACTGAACCCTAAAATTTAGCGATGCCCTTGGCGTCAAGGACTCTCACTGAGAGGCGCCGCCGATACGCTTGACACTATTCTCTGAATACGGGCGCTGGAGGGCATCGAGGAACACTGGCAGTCCGAGTTGGTATAAGCGTAGACTTACTAACATTTTGTGAAGGATCGACGCAAATTGGTGGTTTGGGCGCCCAAGCTCTGGCCCTGCAAGGTTGAGGGTGTTCCAGTAGCAGAAAATTGATCAGGCTCGAGGCATAGCGAGTTGCCAAAGGTGTCACTTGGTCGTTCTGAGACTTCCGTGGCCGTGCGTAAGAAAGAAGAAAATTGCTGCGGACTTGAGGCAGTTAAATCCTTTCTGAAAGGAAACAAAGGGTCCTTGCACGTCCTGCCTCGTTGTGTCACAAGGCCAAGCAATTGCAGTCTTCTCTGGGTAAGAAGAAAGAGTGCAAGGCTTGCGAAGATCATCAAGCACTTTCGGTCTTGAGTTTTCGCACTTGCTGATAATAACTGGTGGTTTCTTGCACTGGCTACTTGATTAGGTGCATGTAGCCGGTTTTGCGGAGCGGCTCAGGGCCTTCTTCTTCCAGCATTGTGACACCTCTTTCTTTGGCACTGAGGTTTGTGCTTCTTCTCTCTGATTAGGGTTTGGGTAGTATTCTTCACTTGCTGCAACCATAGTTGGGGGAACGTTGATTGTAGCCCTTTTTGCGGCCAGCGGAGAAACTGCTGCCTCAGCCCATCACCATGGGGAGCACAGCGGGGGACACCTGGATGCGGGAGTTTGAGGATGCGATGCGGCTGGCGGACGAGATTATGAGCAAGATTCAGGAGGCCAGCGACCTGGCGCGTGCGGGGAAGGATGCGTCACGCAGCGTGTCGTCCACACGGCGCAGCATCACGCGCCTGAATGCCAAGGCGGACCGGCTGGACGCACTGCTCAAGGAGGGGCCCGAGAAGGCGGGCGTGTAAGGCTACACCAACATGGGTGCATGGCACAGGGATTCATGTACAAGCTGGGACTACTTTTTTGAGTAGACAGCTCAACGCACAGTTCATTTTAAGTTAAATTGTGGAAAAGACAAGAGCTTGAAAGCATTGTAAGAGTAATATTTGTGATCTGGTCGCAACTCTGCCCCGTACCATTGATTCTAGGTCACAGCAATGCAAGTCTGGCTTTAAAGTGAGCTGGTGCTTGCGCAGGTCTGAGCGGGAGCTGTACCGGCGACAAGACATGGTTGTAGGCATCAGGTGCACAGTCCAAACCTTACCTGGCCAATGCAGGCAATGGCCTGGTGAATGAGAATGATTCTTGGAACTTGCACAGGCCCTTGTCAACGTGATGGGGGGAAACTTGCCCCGCATCTGAGATGATCAGAGGGTGTAACAATGAGCGGGCCCCGACCGACACACGCTTATTGCTTCTTTGGTCTGACTTTGACCGTTGTTTGTGGACCAGGTACCGGGCGAAGAGCCAGGCAGCCACGTTGACGCAGATAGGGAACTCAGCCGACAGGTGAGAAAGACAGAGCCGAGACAAGGCCTGCGCATGCGCTGCTCCATGCTGTTCATCTAGTGATGTTTAGCTGTCAAATGCAACTCTGGTGAACCAATCTGCCCCCCAATTGTTGGCGAGGGTGTTTGGCGAGGGTTGTTTGGCGAGGGTTGTTTGGCGAGGGTGTGACCTACTACAGCCAGCTTTGTTTTGAGGTGCTTTGGTTGACGTGCAGGGGGGCTCTGCTGCCCAGCAGTTCTCAGCCTGCTGAGACGGATCGAACGGCCGGTCTGGAGAACCAGGGGATTGTGGGCCTGCAGAAACAGATTATGAAGGGTGAGTACGTTGGGTCAACCTCCGCAGTCCAATGCATCGATGCTGGATGTTCATTGCCTTGAGGAGCCAAAGAAGCTCTGCTAAGGAGAATCTTAGACAGGCCGCCACTTTCACGGTCCCACGGCCTCCATAGGGAGAGGGACACTGTCCATCTTGTTCCGATGTCTAGAAACTCGACATCTTGTCTGCTGATCCTCCTGATTAACGTGCGCCTTACAAGGTTCAATGCATCTTCCAGAGCTACCAGAATAATGGATCTGTCAGATGTTGTTTGTTCGAGGAACGCTACGTTGTGACCCTATCTTCTTATCTACGTGCACATGGACTTTGCTCCGCGAGGCTGTGCAAAGGGCCAGCAAAGCTATCACGTGTCAACGTCCTTGCCTTGTAGTCCCGCTTGGCGCAAGTGTGAAGACGGTAGTTCAGTCGGATGCCCCTTGTCGCTTGTGGTGTGCAGAGCAAGACGATCAGCTGGACGAGCTGGCGCAGACTGTGAGCAGCACGCACCACATTGCGCTGGCGGTCAACGACGAGCTGGACCTGCACACGCAACTACTGGTGAGGAGCAGCCAGCCATAGTCTTGTGCTGGTTGCAGCAAAATGATTTAAACCATGCCTGTGCATTCTTCTGGCTGTCCCATGCTCGCACCTTCTGTCTTTTCCGCTATCTGGTCAGCACGCTTACCATAGCTGAAAAAGAATCACCTGTACACTCTTTGTTGCAGGACGACATCGACCGCGATCTTGATTCGACCAGGTCACGTGTGAAGAACGTGCGAGACAAACTCACGAGGTTGAGCAGGCAGTCAGGTCGCAGCTGCTCATACGTCTGCTTGTTCCTGACGATGATTGGTATCATCATCGTCCTGCTAGTGCTCATGGACGTCTTGAAGTGGTTTTGAGTCTGATATAGCAAGCTCTCTGTGTTTGGAGTCAACAACATGTATTTTACACATAGAACGTTCATAGTTTTGCGACAAATTTTAATAGAACGGTCCCGTGATAGAGCAAACGCGTTGACGAGGGGTGATGGGTTGTTGCGCTCCACCTTTCAACTGAAAGTCCTTCTACAGAGCGTCCATGTGTGGAAAGGTTTAACAAAAACTGACGTCGTTGTATGTCCATGCATGCCAGTGGCTGCCAAATGCTGCTATTATGGTGCCACCGGATTTTATTGCATGACAACCATGCATGCAACTGTTGTATATGGGCGGGCGGTCTACAGCCATGTGCACAAACACGTTATTTTTCACCTATACGTGCATATGCGCCCTGTGATGACCTTATCGCCACAGTTGTTTGTAGCTGCCAGTGCGTGTGCCAGCATGCACTGGCACATGTCAAGTGAAATGCAGCTAGTTGTGCTGGCCCAGGTCAGCTAGCGTCATTTCGGAGCTGTGTACCGGATGGAGAAATTCACCAACTTGATTCAGCGTGCGCACGGCAATCATGTCCGCGAGTGGTGCGATTGAGAGGTGCATCTGAGTGCCTCGAAGAACTCAACATACTCATTGTACGTGATTAATCGTGCATGATATCGAGCCTTGTAAATATTCGTGATCCGGTGATGCAGTGCTACAGCATGAGCCTACGATTCTGCATTGCAAGCGTTTGCCAGTGCACGCCATTCGTTAAAAAGATGCTCCCAGTTTCTCAATTCTAGGCTCATTTTACCAGTTGACTCAAAATGAAAAGAAATCAATGTGTTGAGTTAATTAGACAACCCTTTTAACAATCCTTCATTTAGACATGTACACCGTCATGCATGGCGTGCAGGCAATCCACGCCTCGCATACCCGTACCTACTGTTAGTATGTGTGAGCGGTGGCCTCCCCGATAGTAACCACGGCCGACAAGACAACGCTACCTAAGCGGGCCCTTTATTCTGCTTTACTGGGCTTTATCGTGGACCTGCTGCTCAGGCAATGGTATCGATATCGATATTCGGCTGACCCGCGCCAGGCCAGATGGGGCCTGACCGGGCCTGCACCATGCGCTACCGGCTGGGGCCACCCAAGAGATTCTCACGGATGAACCGAGCAATGACTCGGCTCGTCAGCCGGTTGACAATCTCCGGCAGAACCTGTACCCAGAAAAGCAACAACGGTGAGCGGCCGCAACGATTCCCAACTATAAACGGCTGACAGGTTGCAAGGGGCGTTTCCAATCGCCGAACCAAGAGCACACCGAGAACAGAAGATGGTCGGGTACCCGCGGAGCCAAACCCCGACCTACTCAGGCGGCGGTTTCAAGCAGCACCTTCCAGGTCCGATACACATCTTGGGGCCAACTTCCAGAGCGGAGACGAGAGCCGTCCCTTCAAAGAAAAATTCAGCAACAGAAAGAGCACCAAGAAGCAGCCGCTGACTATCTTAACACTTCATTGAATTGGTCAAGGACTAAACCCGCAAGCAGGAACGACGGGAACAACCGGCAAACGCCAAGTGTGCTAAGCGCTGGCCTATGCAAAGTGCAAACATAACAGAAGAAAGGCAGCTCAGGGACACGGTCGAGTACAAGCCGAGCGGCGCAGGTGGTAGGGCAGGTGCCGCACCTGCGTGGCGAGGGACGGCAGGACGGGCAGGATGTCCTGCACGCTCTCCAGCAGCTTGGCGGGGTTGGCCAGCGGCGCGAGCGCGCTCTGGTTGCGCCGCGAGTTCTCGAACGACTCCGCGAGGGGCGTCCCCGCAAAGAAGAAGGCCAGCACCTTGTTCACGTTGTCCGCCACCTGGCAGCACCCCGCACAGCGCACAGGTCAGCAAGGGGGCGTTTGGGGAGGGGATCCAAACACTCAAAGAGCTTGGGCAACAAGGGAGTGCGATATACGAATCGATGCCAGCTTATGAGAGTACGAGAGCATTCAGTCAAAGCTCGTCTCTTAGTCACGAGCAATTGACGCGACTGGCTGCCCGGCCTCCACTCCAGCCTCTGACGAATTTAATCGAGCGGATGGAAGCGCCGAAATCCGTGGCGCCCCTTCCCGCATTCCAGGAAACCCCGAAGAATACCCGCAAATGCCCAGGGCTAAGAATCAGTTGTAAGGCAAGTTGTGCAAAGCCTGCCAATGCGCGTCCGTGGCCTCACCGCGCGGTCCTCGCGGGTGATGGGCGGCGAGAGCGGGATGGGCACGACGGCCCCCGGCAGCAGCAGCGGGATGCGCGCCGCCTGCAGGCCCTGCTGTGCCACCAGGCCAGCGATGCGCTCGCGCGACACCGCGTCGATGCCCTTCACCACCTGGCCACAGAGACACGGCGCGGCAGAAGGATCAGAGACAGCCGGCAGACTATACATGGCCGAGAGCGGATCGGAGCTTCTGAGGAGCACAGGTGGTGAAGGAACGGGGGCAGAACGCAGATAGGGGGGTGGCGGGAATTGTTTGAATACTGGAATTCCAATTTTCTCATGTTACGTGTAAGAGTCGCCACGGCAGCGCACGCACAATATGCATCCGGCCGTTTATGAGTATGCAAGGGCCCAGCGGAATTGCGGCTACTTCTACGTTCCTCCCAGAAACCGAGAAGGTTCCATGGCAATCGACCGTTGGGGATTCAGTCACAAGAAACACGTGGACCAAAGTCGACGACCCGTGATGATTGCCGTACCTCGTCCAGGATGAACTCGCGGAAGAACTCGCCGTCCTTGGACAGCATGAAGTTGAGCGCCGCGCGCGTCTGTACCCCGGGCGGGCCCTGCGCATCCGCCACCGCGCGCGCCGTGGACGCCGGGGGCAGCAGCTGGCCCAACGACGCCATGCCGCTGCCGCTCAGCTGGCCGCCCTGTAATTCAAGAACGGAACAACGGACACGTGTCACAAGTGGGCCGAAATTTAGGTTGGGAGGGGTGTTGAAACTCAGCGTTGATGCAATGAGGCAGGAACGACCACAGCACCGCAAGCAGCGGTGACCCGAGAAGCGTATGGAAACAATGGAACGACAAAACCACGGAAACAGCAGGAACGCAGAAGTAGATTATGTTTTGACAGTGCGAGGGTGCCACACAGGAAGACCGGGAAACCCTCAGAGTACGATGGGAAACCCCCGCAGCTGTGAAGGCGGTGATCGATGCGGGGAGCGGCTCACCCCGGTTTTGGCCTGGTCGGTGAAGGTCTCGAAGGCCTCCATGATGTCGATGAAGCGGTCCACGTCGAAGACGCCGCTCTTGCCGTACACCGTGTACCGCAGAGCAGCGCGCAACCGCGGGGACGGGTCCGTCAGCAGCCGCTGCACCAAATCCCAAATATGATACGTCAGCAAGACTGCAATTGAACAACAGCGTCTTTTGAAACGGAGTAAGGACAGAGACGGGCGGAGGCCGAAATGACGCTGATGTGTTACAATCTCATCTTGTTCTGTGGCGGTGGCGATAATTCGGCCTCGCAAAGACGATTGTTCCGGGTCCAAGTACAAGGCCTAGTGAACCAATGAAGGGACCGACTGAATGACCTGATAGTAGGTTTCGAGAGGCAGGCAAAGAAAGGCCAGCACATTCTCTGCGAGGCTGGAGAACATAAGACACGCAGCCGAAAGCGTTGTTCGCCGACCGCAAAAACTTCCCTCCAGGTCTGCGAGCCTCTCCCTTACGAGGGTGATTGGGGAGTGCGCTCTGCTTTCTGCTTCTGAGACCCTCTCTGATTTGATATCGGGCCGCACTTTCAAGGCCAGATAGTTGCAAGCCTCCATCCTCCCCCAGCCGCCCCACCTGCGCGATGTAGGGGTAGGCCTCGTCGACAATGGCGAAGTCTGAGTTGCCGGTGAGCGCGATGCCCTCCAGCACGCCGATGGCGCGGATGATGAGCGCGAAGTAGGGCGGGATGCGGAACGGGTAGTCGAACGTAATCTGCGCCAGGTCCGCCGCCAGCTCCTGGAAGTTGATGTTCTTCGCGCCGCCGCCCTCGAGAGCCTGGTCGAACACCTTGGCCAGCACCGGCAAGATTGGGCGCAGGTCCACCTAGGGGAAACAATGCGGCGGGAGGGTCAGCCTCGGGGCGCTTCTAACTCTTGTTTCGTTGACGACGGGTCCGCTCACGAGTAAGCTTGCTCTTCAGGATCAAGCTCAATCAGCATCATCAAGAGGGCATTATCAGTGCTGATTCCTCATGGTGGAGGCAGACTGCTCACAGGTCAAGCGGCCTGAGAATGATGGACTGGCAGAGACCCGATGCAGTTTAGCAATGAGAGATCCACAAAGTTGCTCTTGCGGTTAAGTCAGGCCCGAGCAAGCGCGAAAGCGCAAAACGAGAAAGGCGGCAGTCGGAGACACTTGCGCTCAGTGCGCAAGTGTGCAGGGCGGGGTGGCGGCTCACCCCTGGCGGGATGAAGTCGAGGAGGACAAAGTCCTCGACGATGGCCTCGTAGTCGCGGTGGATCAGGTGCGAGATGGCCTCGATCATGCCGTACTTCTGGTCCTCCGTGATCTGGGTCATCAGCCCTGCACGCACCCCGCCACCAACGTCAGGCCGGCAGCGCGCCACAGCAGGAGTACAAGTAAAGACACGCAAATACCTCTCCTACAAAGACCGGGAGCGTCCGCTTGGCCGATGGTACTAGTGGGAAAACGGCCGAGCACAAGGACAAAAAGGGGACTTCAGGAGGACTTCACGGGTCACGTTTGGTAGACCAGCCCAGTTGTCTGCAAAAAATCCAACGCTGTGCGCGCTGAAGCCCACCCCATGAATTACCGGCTCATTGCCATCGAGCGGCGCCTCACCGAAGTCTAGGATGGCGAGCCTGCCGTCGGGCGTGCGGATGAGGTTCCCCGGGTGCGGGTCGGCGTGGAAGAAGCCGGTGTCGAGCAGCTGCTTGAGGTAGCAGATGACGCCGATGTTCACCAGGTCGCCCACGTCGTCCGCCGTGCTCTGGCTCAGCTTCTCGCCCTCCAGCCAGCTCGTCACCAGCACCTTGCGCGACGTGTACTCGGGGTACGTCGTCGGGACGACCACCTGCGGCACGTGCTCGGAGTCAGCTTCAGAAGCCCGGCGCAGCCTCACATGACTGCTGGTAACAGCCGGACGAAGCTGACATGACTCTCCACCCAGGGGCCCCTTATGGTCTACGATACGCTGAGCGGAGAACTGGATAGAATATCAGAGTGCCCGAGTGCGTCTCTCTTCATGCTAGCGTTGCTATCGCAGGGTCTGCTCGTCGCTGACAACCTTGAACGGGTATGTGGGAGCAGCTCGCACTCCCCTTAGTGCAATAACCTCAAGCATGCGAGCACAGGATCCTGTCAAAATGACCTCGCGCAACTGATGAACAGAGGCATTCGCCATCTTTTTGGCGTTGAGAGAGAGCATGCAGAGAAGATATCAAAAGACGGTGGGATAGTCAGCAGATCAAGAGACGGGAAAGTCACAATGCAGTTGTTCGGCTGGCAACCATGGTGCGCTGTGCGAGCGCGCAGGCGCGGCCTCACCTGCGGCAAGTCTGCGGCCATTTGCTGCGCAAAGAGCGTGCCGTTGCGGCCCTCCCGCTGGTAGTCGAGCTCCTCGAAGAAGCGCGCGGCCCACTCGTCGACGAGGCCCACCACGTCCGTCGCGATCTGCGGCACGCCGCGCAGCGCCAGCCCCAGCTTGCGGATGATGAACAGGTCGATCGTCACCTGCGCGCCAGCAGGAACGAGGTCAGGGGGGGTGGGGCTACGAGTGACTGCCCTGGATACGTGTTCAACTGCCCAAGGCCGGTAGAGCGGGAACTGAAGCGGAAAGTAAAGTTCAGAATTAAGGGTCACTATTCTTTCTGCTTAGGTCTCACAAGGTCAATAATTTGGAAACAACTAATCTACGGATGCACCATGAAAAGGAAATCAGCAAGAGGCAGCCGCTTACAGAGACTGTACAACGCTCGACCCTTTTGACGGCCCACTTTCATGATTTGGTGCAAGGAGGCAACGAGGACCCACAACGCCTCCAGTAAGCACAACATCCTTAGAAGGGGCCCGTACCGTTTCGAGGACGTACGGCCGCTGCACCTTGACCGCCACGGCCGCCCCGTTGCTGCGCAGCTTACCCTTGTACACCTGGCCCAGCGACGCTGCACAAACATACGGGCGAATTTACAACAACGCCCACAAAAGCGCCGCCACACAAAAGTGACGCAGGAAATTCGCTCACAGAAATCCTCTATCTACTGGACCGTGAGCTTCGCAGATTGACGGGGCGTCCCATGCTTGGCCATGGTACGTGCATCAGTCTGGAGCTACTCTGACCTCAGGCGCAATGATCTTCGAAGTTGCAAAGAAGACAGGGATTGGAGCTTTGAGGAATCGGTCGGACGTCTTGGTCACTTGCAAGCGGGTCTGAAAGAGCACTTCCGACTGGGGGCCGCTTGGAGGGCTGACCTGCTGCGATGGGCTCGGGGCTGAGCTCCTCAAAGATTTCGTACCAGGGCAGGCCCAGCTCCTCCTGGATGAACGCCATCGCGATCTCGCTCGGGTACGACGGCACCTGCCCGGACAGGACACGAGACACGTTTGAAGGTAGAAAAGCACTCGAGTTCTTACAACGTTCCGTTTGGTACGACAAGAATAAGGCCTTCAGATGTAGCAATAATAGGCCTGTCACCCCGAGAACGGCCAGCCTGTAGGTTTGGGTGCGAAGCAGGCACAATTGTGGTTATGAGAATTGTGTCAAACCGCGAACTCTTCTACACCAGCTTATCTACCCACATGTCACGTCTCAGCAGGGATGGCGCACCTTGTCGCAGAGCTTTTGCAGCTCGTTCATGGCGGCGGGGGAGAGGATGTCGGGCCGGATGGAAAGCGCCTGCCCCAGCTTGATGTACGCGGGGCCCAGGCTCGTCACGATGTCGCGCAGCTGGATCGCACGCTTCACCTCGTTCTGCAGCGGTGCAGCGTACAGGCTTCAGGGGCTTGGACTATAACACATTGCTACCTGTCCTACGCTTTCAAGCAACCGTGCCCTTTTGTCAGGGACCCATTACACGGTTGACAAACGAGAGTTGTAATCAGAACCCAGACAGACAGAGATGAGGTATTCAGACGTGTTATAAAGCCTAGAGTCCCGCTACTTCAAGCTGAACTTGCATCTGCTAGAACTCTATGTGGGCCAGGAAAATCATCATTCCAATCCCTCCAACGGCTTCGGCGACTCTGACAAATGATTGAACATCCGCCAATTGCAGGGCTAAACGTGCCGGCAAGTGCACGGCCCCTCCACTAACGCCAACGAGGGGCCCGAAATCGTACAGCGCCCAAATGCCAGCAACAAAAGGCCTCGGGGATGCCAGTTTGGTCGAACTTTGCTGCCGCAGCTTGATTCAAGTTGGGTGAATCGTAAAAATTGGACCGTAAGATGGTTGGAATCGGGTACTCGAAAGGCCTGAATATTGCCTCCGCACTGATTGGAAAAGCAGGAGATGTCCAAGGTCGAAAAGAACTGCTTTGAGAGTTTCCCGGGGCTTCTTACAAATGCCTTAGGCAACTCCGGTCTCAGAAAAGTCCAAGTGTTCCCATCTTCATCCAGTGCACCAACAACATCAAAATTTTGGAGGCGCAGCTGACCTCCTTTGTCCTATTTGTAATGATGTCCATTGCGATACTGGAAAGGAAGCCCCCCGCAATGGACGTCAGCTGCGCCACGCGCGTGGCGACGGCCCACGGGCGTGCCCCCCAGAATTGCGCAATCAGCTCGGGGTCGTACTCGAGGGGCAGCCCCTCCACCTCCTCGCGCCCAATCTCAATCAGCCGCATCTGCACGTCCGCTGCACCGCACCACGCAACAAGAGGCTGAGCGTGAAGTACTGGACAGTGAGCCGCACAGGGACACTTGGCCAGTGCGCGACGAGAAGAAGGACAAAGAGCGTCCTCGTTGCAATCGTTTACATTGGTATCCAAGGTCAACTGACCCTGTCAAGAGTCAGCCCAGCCCGGATGCGCCAATGCAATGGCCGCCAGTGGGTATGCCCATAAGCCTGGCCTGCACCGTGGACCAGAGCACTGAGAAGAGCTGTCCTTCTCACGCCCTCTGACTAAAATGTGCCGGACTGCTGTACCATTCGACTCTAGCGCTCATAGGTCCATTTTTCTTGCCCAAAGCCCGTGAGAGACGTTAGAACTTCTTGATCATCAAAGTCCTTGGCCACCCAACCAGCATGACCTGTTAGCACCACGGCCAAGACATGTTTCTGTTGGTCTTAGGAACCTGTGGCACTTGTGCGAATGCCCTGGGGGGCGTAGCAGACCTGATGCAAACTGCTCGTCATTGAGATTCTGGCCGCGCAAGCCCCGCATGAGCGTCGCCAGGTCCTCGTCCTCTTCCATCTGACGCCGCACGTCTTTGAACTGTTTCGTCATGTCGGATAATCTCTGCACACGAAAAGCCAGGAGTGCAATGAGAGAATAATCAAAAGCTTTTCTTACTTCCTTTCCTTCGCTCTTTCTTGGTTGCTTAGCTGGCCGCCCTTTTCCATGTGGAAAGTGCACCGCCAACTCCAAATGCGAGCGGGTCCTACCTTGGCGGGTCCTACCTTGGCGGCATCGCCGGGCAAGCGGAATTCAAATGATCTTTGGAAGGTCTCCGCAGCAAAGTATCATAACATGATACCTGACTGTGTCTCACGTAGTATGTGAGTAGCCGAATGCATCGAGGCAAGAGAGTAAAATACCGCACACTACGGGTTCAATGTGCGGCTCAAAGAACCACCAGGAGGGCCAGTCAACGACTTGACGGACCTCGTCTTTTCAAGCCCACTGTCAGATGACGCCCAATGAGAATTACCTAATTCGAGAGGAGAACTTGATGGTAAACTTTGACTTCCACCAAGCCGCCGTCACGCACGGGAGTGTGAAGGATGATCGCCCAGAACAACATAGATCTGACGAGCCCAATATCTTGAGGGATTGCGCAAACGGTGGTTGTCTGGGGGCAGGGCGACACACTGATGTTGAACAGCAGTACAAATGATAAACCATGGTAAGAAGCCCATCAAATTGAGCAACTTCCGAGTTTGTGTGCGAGCAAATCTGGGATTCCATTTGGTGGTTGAGCTTACAAAATCGTCAGCTACAGTTCGAAATGCACCAAGCTGTAACAAAGAAGTATCTGGTGGGACGTGCTCATCACTCATGCCCGCTTTGACCTCAAGCCTCCTCCACCCTACACTCAGACGTCAATGCCACCTCTGTCAACACATGCAGTAGCTTACCCCCACTTTGACCCGCGCCGTCCCGTCCTGCCCTTCTGACAGCACCGTGCGCCGGCCATTTTCGGGATCTACCACGACAGTCTCCTTTCGACCCGGCCCTCGCCCGTCGCTGTACAGTCCTGGCCGCTCCGGGGCAGCCACTGCAAATGCCCCCTTGCGAGACCCACGCCCCCTACGCCTGCCCACCTGCGAATCCACCTGCAGATCTGCCTTTTCCCCCATGAATGCTGACCCGGGCGCGCCCACCCCCTGGCACGTCTGCCCCGACTGCTCTGCATTCCTTGAGAGCTTTCGCGGTGAGCTGGAGATTGAGGGGTAGCTCGTGGAGACCCCCGCTTGCGACCCCCGCGCTACATATCTGCTCTCTTGCCAGCCGCGCTGCAGGCCATCCCGGGCTTGCAGCGCCTGGCTACACAAACTGCAAACCCCGGCGCTGGGGGGCCGGTGCACGGCTTTCATCGCTGATTGTCTGAGTAATCAGCAGACGATGGCAAACATGCAGGGTAAGGAAAGCAGGGCGGCAGACAAGACAAGACCCCAACAAGACCGACTTCTTCTGAGCAGCAATCGGATCCAGGTACCTAATAGGCTTAGGCTTCATTCACGCCATTCCAAATCATGAAAACGTTCCTCGTTCAATGCTGCGCGGGCACAGTGATTCATCAGGTGGCCGCAGACCTCAGACTCAGAGCAGAATGGCATGTGACGTGGAGGGACGTGGGCAACCTGTTTTAGAACTAGAACGGCGTACATTGTGATGTGTCATAACTCATAAGAGAAGATGACAGAACGTCACTGATATTCCGAGGTATCGGAGGAAGGTTCTATCCGTTCGATACATCCTACGGTTGTAAACCTTTAAGCTCGAATTGAACCACCTTGATTCGCCACGCGTCGCGATTGTAATAATAAGTGTGATCAACTTTCACAGCGAATCTGCTCCACAACTGCGAAACTGCCACGCCGGATCTCCTCGTGCTCAACCGAATATAAAACCCTGACAGTATACATCACCATGTCAGGAACCCCGGCCGCTGCAAACGGGTGGTTCTCCTTATAGGACCTCACCCGGCGAACAAGAACCGGCTCAGTCCTCTAAAGGACCATCTTGACAAGTTTCCTGGGCTTTCAGCAGCGCACTACTTTTCTTCCTCGCGCGCGCGAAAAAAACGGGTTCAAAGGCACGAGAATCTCCAATTTGTGAGCAATTTTTGAGCCAGGAATTGGAGTGCGCTTCGCAGATTGCGGCTCGGAACTGCTCATTCCAAGTCCAGCTTCAACGCCACATCTTTCTTGTGGACCACAACGAACTCCCTCGCAAACTTCCAACAAGTTGACCTTGGCGCGCTGGTTGGCTGGGTTTGCGCCAACCCAAGTGCTGACCTTCTGGGCCCTAATTCGGGCATGACCGTCATCTGAACCGTTCATCGAAGTGCTTTCGCATCTGGCTCAAGTAGAACCTAGCTTTTCAAACCGTTCGATCGGGCCAACAAACCTTATGGCCGTCGATGATGCCCAACCGTTCCGGGCAAACCAGAAAGCCCAAATAATGGTTGCAGGGATAACCCAGTACCTACATGGGCGCTGCCTGGGCGACTTTTCATTGAGAGAGCACTTTTTCAAGTTTTTGCACTTTCTTGGCTTTGTGCGAGCTTCTAGAGAGTCGAAAAGTGAAAAGCACCCTCGCGTCTTCAACTTGGGCCGCCACTTTGGAAGAGCTCACACGAACTCATGCAGGAGATAGGTTCTGTATACTGTATACAGTAGGTCCGCATACACTGGCATCCAGAGTGCCATGGTAAGCATGCTCTGCTAATGACAGGGAGGAACAAAGGGTGAAAGCAGGCCCCTGCTTCTTGGCTAGGATGGACACGACTTTCGCTTTCTGGCCTGTCGATTACAACCGCACATTCCCTCAGTACACGTGTCAATGGCATCCCTGTGGGGAGTTGAGCCCCCAGCCGCCTGTTGTGCACACATGTGGCTCTCAGGGGAAGGGGGAGGAGGCATGGGAGGACAGCGACCGGCGCAGCGGCAGCTCTGACGCAGGCGAGCCCAGCTCTAGTGACTCCAGTGCAACGTCGTCAGGAGCCTTTGAGTGGCCCCCTTACAGCCACCCACGCTGGGAGGCATCCAGGCTGCACGCCGCGCCTCCTCATGGGGCTGCGCGAAGGTCGTGTCCCTTCCCTGATTTGCAGGGTGATCCCCCCTGCCCATGCGAGGAAATAACAGCAAAGCGGCTGCACAGTGATGGCTGGCAAGGGGCCAAAATGCGGCACAGTTGGGATGCCCTGTGGGCCCCCTCAGATCCGAGTGTCAGCAGTGGAGGTGCGCAGCAGGGGCTGGCGGATAGGTTAGCGAGCAAACGGGAGGTGCAGCAAGCAAGAGAGCCTGCAGAGGTGAGCACGGGGCTACTCGCGCCAGTAGTTGGGCTGTTGGAATGCTCGGGATTGCGGTGGCTTTTGCGACCAGTCAGATATGGGCAGGGCGCCAGCAAGAGTACGAACTAGCTTCACCGAGGAGCATGGAATGTGCAGGAATGTGATTGGCACCAGGATATTCAGCACTGGGTTCATTCATTTCCAGCAGCTTTGAGGCTGTCTTCGCTGTTGTGATCGAAGGACCTGCAACGACAAAGCGTCAGAGCTGGATGAGTGCTTTCCCTGATCTGTCCGTCTGAGTAAAGCAGGTCCCCTGCATTCTACAATAGAGCAAATATGCAAATTGGATTAGCCAGATGCAGTTCGAGTAGGAGATGAGGAGGGGGGTATTATTGAGGACGTTGGCGTCGATACCTTCGTGCTTCTGAGTTGCCAGTTGCCGAGTAAAGACCAACGCTCTCAGGGCTACAGATCCTTGTCGTCGTCAGCGTCTTTGCAGTATGCCTGCCGTTCTACTTGCTTTTGACAATTGTGCATAAAAGCTCGCAGAAGCTGCAAGAAAGCAAACCTGCTTGTCCACTTTGAAGCTTGTTGTGAATTCTTCAGGCCAGTATGATCATTGTGATTACCAAAAGTTCAAGCGATATGAATAGCGCCCAGAGTACTCAGCAGAAGCTTATTGGGGTAGAACAAAGAACTTGAGGCGGAATCTCTGGCGATGACCGCTGCGCCGCAGCATGTTTCGAGCCTGCCCCTCCTCCAGCCTGATTGTAAACAAGTCCGCTGGTACGATTGTCCTGACCTGCTCCCTGCTCCTGCTCCTGCTGCAGCCCCCTGCGCTGGCGCCAGGCTGGCAGCGGGACCTGGGCTGCCTGGCCCAGTGGGCGCGCGAGGCCGCCTCCCTGGCCGGCCGCACCGCCATGGCCCCTGAACCCCCCCTCTCTCCTAGCTGCTCTGCGCAATCTCCTCGTCCGCCGCACCAGGCTGCCACGTTGAGCGGGAGGCACAAGAGATTCTCCTCCGGGGCGCTTGCGCACTCTCCCGTCAGTGACGTCGTCTCTCCAGTCCCCTCTTATCGCTCTCCCCGAGCCCGGCGCCATGTAGCCCGCCTCTCGGAGCCGGGACAACCGCATCCATCCGCGCCTGGAATCGCGACGAGAGGCGTCTCGTGCAGCGAGAAGTGCGCTCTGTGCAACGATCTTTTGGACCTGAACCGCGCGCTCTACAGGACGGACTGCGGCGTGCTCTGCCATCTGCAGTGCGTGCGCGTCGAGAGGAACCAGTCCCCACTGATGTGCCGCTTCTGCGGGCGAGCTGACCAATGGTTGTTGTCCTCGCCTCACCGGCCAGAGCCTGTAGGTGTGCATTAGACCCACAATGAGATGGGGACCTAACCTGTCCACTAACCAATAGGACTGGCGATGGTAGCAGCATCTGGCTTGGAGCAAAAAGTTAAAAGTTGAAATAGGTGCGACAGCCCATCGCTTTGTAACATACGTAAACCATACCAACCAGTGGCAACATGTAAATTCAAGCTAGTCACAGACAATATAGTCATTGTAGGCATGTGCACGCAGAAGTTTCAATAGGATTTTGAGATTGACGAGGACAAGCTTGTGCTTGAGAATACGAAACAAACACGATTACGTCATTTATTGGAGCATAAGAGCAACATTTAACACCAAAAATGGACAGCATGCGCTGTTAAGGGTCAGCCCTATGAGGGGAAACATCAAGACGATGATATGAATCAAGTCGGCGCAAGGGCTATTACTTATGAGCAACTCCTGTGGTGATCGTTGTGAGTGCTTGTGGACATCATACTGTTCAGTAAAGTAAGGGTGTAGTAGCTTGCACCTTGCAACCCCTTCAATAGGCCTGTAGCTGATGTGTGTTTTCTTCAAGGTTACAGATGTTTCTACTTTGTTCAAATGCATGTAAATTCTATAGCTCTGGCAAATCCTGCTAGTTAGTGAAGTCTAGGAGTCCGTCCCTGAACGTTTAAAGCATGGCGTAAAGGCTTCAATGTCGATCAGCTACTGTGCATGTGAGTCAGGAGGGCCTGCCCGTGAACTTTCAACTTGTGACATGGCATAACGCAAAGTCTTCATTTCATCATGGTATTGATAGACTTAATGCAAGCAGGACTCTGAAGTGACATGGCATAACCCAAATCTTTATTGCATGGTGTTAATGGAGCCAATGTGACATAGGGCTAAGAGTCAGTGGTATACCATATACCTGCATGCCCGCCTCTTTACACCGTCAGTTGCAGGCAGGCTGGACCAGTCACTGAAGGGCCAACATCCTTGCATGGGTCCGTCACTCCCTAAATTGAACGAAAGCTTTGTTTCGAGTAAAGTGCAATCGTCGATTGCACACAAGAATCTCGTGGTGCCATGCCAATGCGTCATAGAATTGAACTCGGGCCGTAGCATATTGCATCCAACTCAGAGGTAACGCCGTTTTCCAACAGCACTGGCGGTCCTCTGACCGACCAGGGCTTGACAGCAGCACTGCAACGCACGTGTCTGTTCTTCTGGCAGAGCGCTTGTCCGAGAGAAATGGCGACCAGGTGCTGGCCGCCGTGCGTCGCTATGCTCGCCCGAAACCTCTGCCACCCTCTGCAACTCAGATGAACGGTAGAAGCGCATACTCCAAGTAGAAGAGGTTCCAGATGAAGCGGTAGAAGCCGGCCACGCCTTCCTGCACAGCACCCACCCGCGGCGCGGCAGCCCGTCAGGCATGACAGGGGTAGGGAAGCCACAGCAGCGCATGACGCAATGCCCGATCGTCATTCCTGCCGTGTGGCCGCATAAGAGAACGCATCGACCAAACCGCCTGACCCCAATCTGCGGAGCCAGCCTAGGAAGGTACAAAGCATCCTCTCCCAGACTTGACGCTAAAAGCCGAACGCGAAATCACCTGGTCTTATGGATTCGAAGTAAGTGACCATGCCACAACGTCGCCGGTTACTTTCTGCTCATATCAGAAGTACTACTGCGGAGAGACTGCCAACGCGCAGGTGCCCAAAACGCACTAGACAATAGGGTACAGTTGCACGCTCATTCGCTTTCTGCAGAGCGGCCCTGGTGCGGTCCGTGCGGCGCGCGGGGCTGACCTGCGAGAAGCGCGTGCCCTCCAACCTGACGCCCTGGTACACCAGGCTGGCTGCCAGCGCCGCGTGGCCGCCCGCCATCACCGGCAGCCGGAACGCCTGCGCACCACACGCGGCCAGCTGTCAATCAGGCGGGCACGCCGGCAACTCGAAAAACCGCGGCGGCTCATCTCCCACTCAGCGGCAAGTCCGGCAGATCCTCAGAGATGAAGCCAGTAGACAGCGGGAGCAACCCAGCCCCAATGCCCCACGATGAAGTGCGTGACGACGCATGTGCCTTTTACTACTTGACGCCCCCGTCGGCTCAGCCAGCTCTCAGACAAGGGTAGAGCTGCATGGACTTGCCCGATCGAAGCCGGGGCCCAACGAGTGGCCGGACCAGAGCCGGCATTGCGAGGGACTGTCCCCAGCCCTGTGCGGGTACAACGATGGGGCTTTACAAACGTGCCACAGACAGTGATGACGTGCTTCACTAGAACAAGCTGGTCGGCGATTCCTCTCTTGGTGAACTTCAGTTTTGAGGGCCGGGCCGGCGCTCACCCCGGGCAGGACGAAGGCGGCCGCGATGGCTGCCACGTAGTTGAGGAGGAGCAGCGCGATGCCGAGCCAGGCGACGGCGCGCGTGCCGAGCTGCGTGGAGAAGGTGGTGATGCCCTGCTGGCGGTCGCCCTCGATGTCGGCGAGGTCCTTGGTGATGGCGATCACGGTGGCGAACAGCGTCACGAACGCCGTGATGAACACCACCGAGGGGGACCACACAAACGGCAGGCCCAGCGCGGCGCGCGTCGCGTAGTACACGCCGAAGTTGAGCAAGAACCCGCGCACCTGCAGGAGGGGGGGGGGGGCAGGATGACGAGCTGGCGCCAAGGGGGACGAAACTTACACAGGACGCACGGGTGTCATCTTGGGGAGAGACGAGACACCGATGCCGTCGCACTAAGCTCGCTTGACGCGTTGCGACACGGTAGACTTTCTATGGCCGCCTTGCCGTGGAGAAACATTGACAGCACGATGACCACCTGCAGGCCACATCTGCTCTTGACTGTAACAGTCCTCTCGGACAAAGGCACGAGGCGAAATGGGAATGTAAGCCACGGCAAGAATCGGATGCGGTTTTGGAATGCTCGCCTTTGCCCAGCATACCATAAAACTTGTGCGCAGCTCGTTCAGAAAGGATGACACGTACGGTGCGGGGAAAAACCCAACGCAGGGGGTCAAGAAAAGTAACAGGAGATTGGTTCCGGTGACTCACGGTGGCGATGATGAGGAAGGCGGGGATGGGGAAGCGGCGCAGGCGGAAGGGCGGCACCGAGTAGAGCGTGCCGAGGGAGAGGCCCAGCGAGTAGAGCTTGGTGATGAGGGGGCCGAAGTTGGTGGCCACGATGGACACGCCCGCAGCGGCCAGCGCCGCGCACAGCAGCCATGCAGCCGGCACGGACAGCTCCCCCGCAGCAATGGGCAGGTACGGCTTGGTGATCCTGGGGGAATGCAACGGAGGCGAGGTTTGGGAGCAGTATCTCGGGATGTCCAAAGAGGCGGGGAGATTGCTGAGAGCACAAGAGAGTCCAAGTACCAGCAGGATACGTTCCCGGAAGACTACTCGAGCTGCTTTGAGGGATGATGGCAGAATGGAGCGACGATTGGAATGAGCGGTGAGGGGCGGGGTGCTGACTTGTCTATGCTGACGTCGTAGATCTGGTTGATCCCCACGATGTAGCCGTTCCCACACAGCAGCGCGAGGAGGCCACGCAGCGCCCGCGGCAGAAGTGCCCAGTCGATCAAGTGCCGATTCTCCAGCAGCGCCTTTGCCGTCAGCGCCCTGCACACACGACACATGTCAGCAAGGCGGCACCAACTCTCTGGCGTGGCGCATACGCCTTGACAGCGTGTGCACTGCGGACTCCGAGGGATTTGACGTTTGAATGTCCGCGCTGTCCCTGCGCAAGCACGTTTGGGAAGCGCGCAGGGACAAACCTCCTCTGGCAGGTGCTTGCCAAGGGATGCCCATGACAAACGGCATACCTTCTCCAGAGAGCTGCCGCTCTTGCGTCAAGGGGAGACTGTGCATTACTAACGGGGCAGTCTCAAGTCCCTCTTGCATTCGGGATGTCAGTGAGCAAACAAGGGGCTCTGGGTGTTCCGGAGCGCTGCCAGCAGGCCCCGTGAGGCAGCCCTTTCCCCCGGTGTTTTTCACTAGAGCGGGGGGCAAGTCATCACACGATGGCCAGCCATGTTGCGATCCTCATGTGGTGTCGGCAACTCACGTGGTCCCCAGCAGCGTCCCCCGGATGGTGTGCGGCCTCACAAACTTCCAAAACGCTGCCACAAACTTGGAGGCGCTCTCCACCGGCCCCACCTCCGACCCTTGGGATGCCACATTAGGTGCATCGGCGTCCGCAGCTGCAGATGCGCGCGGTGGCCCCCCTCGTCCCCTTCCTACAGCTACTGTCCTCCTCCCCAACCCTGCAACACGATGCGAACAGCAGCCTTGCCCGCCTACTTTGTGACACCCACGCCTCTCGGGTCCGCTCGCAGAGAAGCCCACGCTGGAGCTAGACGGCCATCCCGGGTGTCTCCTATCTGATTCATGAGCCAGCACCTGAGGCGGCCCCCTTCCTAAGATACTATGTTCCTGGGCCCCAGCTCTCCTCCTCCTCCCTCGCTGATGGGGCTCCCCCCCGCTGCCCCAGATGCCCGAGACCGGGCATGCGCCAGTGTGCACCACCACGTGAGAGGCAGCCATGGGCGCCCCCCCCCCTCCCTCACTCTCTCTTTTCGAGCAGTGTTGCACCTTTCGACTGCCACCACTACGCCCGAGCTTCAAAGTCTCTCAGATGGCCGCCCCGCCGCACAGTCTGCACCACTGCAAAAATGCACCAAAGGGCTTGTCATGGTGCTCTCTTGTGATCCACGCCTCTGAGCATGATGTATGCCGCACAATAACATTCACATTGCAGGGGCTCCCAACACAGCCATAGCCATTGCCTTCAGCAGCGCAACCAATGAGCAGACGCCAAGACGGACGGCATTGCTGGGCTGCTGGAAGAATCCACAAGCGGCCAGGAGATCACACACCAAAGCGGGGGGGATCCAAAGCCAGATTTCAACATCTCCAAAGTTTTACACAAAGCTCACATGTTGTCCAAGGCTGTCAAGAAGTGACAAACCATCAACGTGCCCAGCGAAGCGCCTTCATAGATGTAGTCTGTTGAAGCACCGATCTACCTGCCGCCTTGCTTGATAGAACACTGCGCTCTCTTTCCATCAATGTTTCGTCAGTTCGGCGAAGGTGTCGATGTCACAATGTGGAACACTTCAAATACATAAGAGGACCCAGCTGTGCGACAGGAAGTTCAAGTTGAAGGATTGAAGCGCCGCCGGCGCCGAAACACACCTTTTGGCAGGCGAAACAAATTTGATGAACGTGGCAATCGGATCCTGGCTTGCTGCAGATAGCTGGTTGTTTGACGATTCTACCCGCTCTAGATGCTGAATGGTAATGGATAAGCTAAAACCCAGAAGCGGTGCATCAGACACGGGTTACTTGCCCGTGACAACGACCCTAATTCT